ATGCTTGCTTAGTCTTCCACAGTCTGGATTATCATGACTTTGCCGACCAGTTCCCACGGTCGTACTCAGGGCAACCTCAAAGCGTGATAAACGTTTAATTTCTCAAGAATAGTCCATCTACTATTACCAGTAAGTATCAGCCAGACCGTCACAGGCCCTTTGAACGCGACCTCACACTTTTGGAAAATTTTGTCAACATCTATCAGTATCTACTATCTACTATCTACTATCTACTATCTACTATCTACTATCTACTATCTACTATCTACTATCTACTATCTACTATCTACTATCTACCATCTACCGAGACTCTACTGTAATGAAAGACTACAAACCGGCACGTTTCGGCTATTTCTCGGCTGAGAAGTTGAGATAGCTGACGACAGCGCGCCACTGCGTGCCAACTTAAGGTTTCAATCACGAATTTGCATTTGGAGAATGCTCGGTCTTCCCCATTTTTCATGCTTTCTCTCACCCGGTCCACCAAAGGGCGGGGGATCACGAGACTGTTTGAGCGCGCCTCGCTTCCTTGATGTAATCATCGATCCCCGTGCGGGTTCTCCGCTTACACCTCTCACAGAATGTATCCATTCATGTAAGCAGAATTGCAGATGACTGTGTACTTGACCACTTGTAGGGGTAGTGTACCCAGTACCGTTCCTCTCCTGCTCTTGTGTATCTAAAATTGACTGAAGTGCCGATCCCACTATCACCAACATGACCACAAAAAAGGCAAAGTCCTTGAAGCCTCCCCATGTATAACTGCATTGCATATCTGCGCAGTCCCTGATTCGATTGCAGTCAGATTGATCTATCGGCTCCAACTCATGCTTGAATCAGTTGGTTCCGGGCGCATTCTCTCCTCCCTCGGCCCCACCGCCGTGGGCGAATGAGTGCAAGGCTGCAAGCTGGGTGCACCGTCGACTTGGTCCCCGAGGGCGCCTTTGGGGACTATTTACGAGGACCACCGTGCAGCCATTTGAGCATGGAAGTCCGGGATTGGCAGGATCCAAGTACAGTAGTACCGAGTGCTGACCAGCTCCAAGATCCACCAATTTCAATCTGGTCCGCTCGATCGATCAGGGATCCATCAGAGGTGTTATCTACCAGTACCCAGTATAGCACATATGGCAAAGCAGGATCTGGCCCTGGTACGTACCTCGATAGGAGCTAGATGAAGCAGAAACCGAGTGATGGCAAACAATCCCAAAGGCAAAAGAATGTGTGCATCTTTTATGGCAAGGGGAGTCCGTCTCTGCCGGGCTCGAGAGGGGGGTTGGAGGTGAGCATGCACCATCGATACTGATTCACTGCTTGGCTCGCAAGGCTCGCAAGGGCGTCCACAATTTTCCTAAACGGGCAATACCTCTTCTCAATTGCCGACAGGAATGAGCAAGGTTGCTTTCTTTTCTGGATACCTACTTCTACATCAAGACTCCGTGCCGGGCCAGCCTCTGCTCTACAGATGGATGCAACAACACGATCTACAGCCTGCCTCGTGTGCCTCAGGATGCTCCATTGGCTTCGATCGAGGGTTTGATCACCTGGGGTATGATATCCACTGCAGGGAGGAGTCTAGATGTCTAATATCCCTTCTGAAGATTAACTAGGAGTATTGTCTCCTCTGGCAGAGTACCTGGTGATCGGTGTCCTACAGCAGCCCTTCCGTCAGCGAGCATCTTATCCGAGAAGATACGAAGACACACCTCGGCCCGGGTGTCCGCTTGCGACAGATCTTTCTTTTCTCAGACTTGACTCAGGTATACTTCCCGCAACGGACTTCTCGGTACATACTCCATACATCGCAGAGTGTGCAGACGTTTCGAGTCAGACCGCAAGACGGCAAGATCTAACGACTGCATCTGATGCAGTGCTCTCCGTGGAACAATGTTTGCTCAAACATTGTCTACAGTCTACACTCTCCAGTATGTATGCATGCATGCACTCGTGGAAGTACCTCCTATATGATCTCGTCCCCGACGAGGAATTGCGCGCCGCGTGAGAGCTGGACGCTTGTCTGGGCAGGCGCACGAACGCAGACTGTCAATCGAAAAGATTCTGTCTCCCCAAGCTCAGCTGGAGTCAATTTTGAAAGAAACGACATTCAGACTACCCGAGTGGCAAAGACAGACTCATACGCACCACCAATCAATCAAGCCCTGACTCAAGTCCGAATCCTCCAGGGCTGAACGGCCGCACTGGCAGGGTTCATCGCTTCCCCTTCAACTTTAATTGATGGGGAGGGAGCCCATCCTTGCTAGACTGGCTGTCCAGTCGCGCTGATTCGAGCGCACGGTCCCTGGGCAGTTGGATTTGCGATCACATCTCATGGTTAGGGGCGCAATGGGAATGACCACATCCTGGAATATCATGTTTGGTGTGAGGGTGATGTTTGACAGTGAGCCAGTTCCCCCTCTTTCATCGTTGTATCTGTCTTACGCGCGCACACACACTCTCTCCTCCTCCCCCCCCCCTTCTCTCCTTCTGCCTCTTCCTCTTCCTCTATTTCTTGGGGGTTGCCCCAGTGTCGATCAACAGAGAAGAGACATGGCGCCACATCAAACGTTTCCAAGCCAAACAAGGTCTCAATCTCGTGCCAATTCTTGTCATCTCTCGATTATCGCTATGAACCTAGACAGGTTTCTCATCTGTCTCGACAGTCACAGCGCTCCAGTCAGTCAATTCGGTCACTTGTGGGACATAACCCTCCATATGCCTGATTGACCTGGAGAGTACTCCGGCCAGAAACCGGAAACATGTATTCAGCTCGGCCCATCGCAGAGTGATCCGTTGAATTTTGAAAAGCAATGGTGAGAAGCTGACTGGAATCTAACTACCCATCTCAAAGGACGCTCATATGGTCTCCTTGGCGAATAAATGATTATGAGAAATGGTCGTGGTCATGTCGTGCCTTGACGTCGCCAGAACGAGATTCCCGAGACCTGGCGTACAGCTCTATTCCTGCTACTTGAAATGCGGGGACTCGGTGTTCTGGGCCGGTGAAACGTACTGACACTCCAGCCGGGCTAATTCACTACACTCATGACTCAGAAGCACTCGTTCCCATCCCCCCGAGGGACCGGTTCTAGCCTTTTCTCGGGGGTTATCAGCCTGGTCAAAACCTTAGTTCTCGTCGTCCCAGCTGTCGCTGCTCCGATATGCTTGCGACCTGGGTACCTACCGAAAGATACTGTCATCCACTGTCGGACCCGGAAGACCGGACCTCGACCGATGCGCAGCTATCGTCCCGTCTTCATGACATCCCCTGAAAGAAACCATGCGAAGGTTGATAAGACCTGGCGGCTTCACAACCAAGGCTGAAAGTCTTTGGGATCGGTCCGATGTTGTAACTTGTCACCTCTGCACACAGCCGGGAGAAGTCACGGTCTCCTGGTTACGTGTCATACAGAGGACGTGAATGTAGATGCGATGTACGATAGACCATAGACCCTTCATGTCAAGAAATGTCCTTGTCCTCGACACTACCCCATCTTTCACATGCAAATAAGAAAAAAGTGCCATCACCCCCAGTCTACGCTTCAGACGGACTCGTCTCCGTGAGATCCCGGCTCCCGTGTCAAAAAAGCCAGGCCTCAAAGATGGGGGCTGTCTAAAGCAAGCGAAGCGTGCCGTCATCGCATATTTACAAAGTCGTGTCTTAGTGAAATAAGGTTCCTGTCGCTCCAACACCGGTCATCGGGTCTCAGTATCTGGACCGGGGCCATTCAATCCCTATAGACCAGACGCCATCTGTCCGCCCCCTCCTGCACCCCCTTGTTAATCATCCCAACGATCCCGCCATGTCCAAGACAAGACTTCGTCGTTGATCACAAGGGACTAGAGAGGTCGCATGGTAAGACCGAACCAGTCGGACATCGCCGAGGCAGCCGAGGCAGCCGGTCAGCCCGGCATTTGAAGAGAAAGAGGTGTCTCGAAAGCCAATCCCCTGAGATGATTGACTCATGTGCTGTACGGGGGCCCCGTTATCCTAGTCAACTGCCGGCAGCCGTGCTGACGTTTTCCCATGGGCCTGGACCAGAAGCTTATGAGGCTCCGCGATGTGGGTGTTCGGGGTCGGTATGGATGGTTATCGAAGAGAGTTTAACCCGATAACAGGTTAGTCCGACGCGCAATCCAGACTCTGGAGACACAGTGATCCCGAAGGAGACGCCCGGGAAGTATCTTAATGTAGCTTCTGGAAAGCACCAGTTAGAGTATCCCACTGTACAGAGGGTGCAGACGCTTATTTCTTGGACAACTACGCGGGGGGACAGGTCGTGGTAGAGCCAAAAAGCCAAGGAATGTCACCACTCGGAGAATGTCGAGCGCCATCTGTTGACTCTCACACGCTATTACGGAGCTCAGAATGTAGAACCCAGTCGATCAAGAAGCCGCTCGCTCGGCACAACATTTACCGAAATTGGATGGTCGGCTTGGTCATGGAAGGTCATCTTATCATTATCAGGCTCAAACTATCTCCTGGGTGCGTAATGTGTCCAAGGCTTGTACTTTCCCCTGCGTATCTCCTGATCAAGCAATCGACTACCGTCCATCGATGTGAAATCCAGACCAGGCAGTATAGTGATTGGTCATAACAGGACGTCTGACACTTCACAATCGCCACACAAGAGAAGCTTTCACTCGGCGCAGTTAAACAGAACATCGGGTCGATTCAGATTCTCAATCAAAGCCAGCGGTGTGACATGGGCGATAAAGATGAGAATGGCACATCCAACCCACCTATTCAATATACTGGACTCCACTCGATCCTAGGAACTGGATCTTTTTTCCTAAGGCACGAGGCGTAACGTCATTCAGGTCATTTCATCGATATCAAATGAAAAGGTCAAGAAAAAGGCAGCGCCAATATCGTTTGATGGCTGAACCTTGACCTCTTCGACGAAACTCAACGTGTGGGTGGTTGAACACGAATCGAAAATGGAGCTTGGGATCAAAGTCATGCTTCATGTGCTCGGGTTTCATGTCGATCGCGCATTGCGTTAAACCCCATCGGCAGGTACCTTCCCAAGAGTACTCCGGCCCACAAAGTCGGACTGACGGATATTTCGACTCATCAGTCCCCGTTGGAGGCCATCGAGAGACCCTGAAAACACCTGTCCGCCTTGGCCGTTCTCATCGGGGCGGAAACCCTCACCGTTGAGGGCCGCTTGCCAAAGGTTTCTTAGCGAGGAATTCCAATCGCGGAGCGCACGCAGTCGCTCCGTGTCACTTGCGCTGTCAATGGTCACAATACCGCTTTCTTGATCGATCTGGGCCTTGAGTTTGTGGTCAAGGATCAGGAAACTTGTGATTTCCATGACCTCCGGTACAGAGATCTTCAGACGCTTGGCTATGAAATCAATCGAAAAGCGAGTGTAGGGCGCAACCAATTTCAACAAGGCCTTTGTGCGCATGTTTCGGCTGACTTCATCGATATTTTCCGCAATGAATGGGTCCGACAAGACGTCCGGGTGCTTGCTCAAGACATCTTCATAAGCGTGAATGTCATCACGCTGGAACGCATCAACAAGGTCGGTCATGGCAGAGATCCGAGGATCATTCTTGTAAGGCTTGGTTTCTTGGGAGTCGAATGGATTGATATCCGACTTCATCAACATCGTAGTCAAAACAAGGTACTTGAGGACCTGAATGCGTTGCATCGAGCCAGCTTCATCGTAGTTGCGGAAGGATTCGAAAAAGTCGCTCTGGGCTTCTTCCCAATTTTCCTCGCTCATGTGCATCTTACCACCGCACTCACGGATGATGCCCATAATTTTAGGATGTGGGACAGCTGATCGGACCCGCAGGGCCCGCTGATAGAGGACCTTGAGACGCTTGTTGTTCTGCATTTGCGCGTACATCTGAATTTCGAGCGCAAAGAGCTCAAGCAGATAAGTGCCCTTGCTTGTATCGTCTGTGCCATCCTCGCGTTGACATGCCTTGTGCAACTCTTTGACCTTCTTGGTAAGCTGAGCAAATTCCTTGCGCTCCAACCACAAACGACAGAGCTTGATATTCGTCTTTAACCAAAGACGCTCATTGTTGGTGTTTTGGAAGGAGTCGAGCGTCAGGGAGTAGAATTGTTCCATGCACTTGTAGGCCTGAGCGTCGTCGGAACCTTTCTCGATGTAATCGAGCATGTTATTGATGGACTTTTCGGAGTAGTTGCGAGTGACGGCAGACTTGACGTAGGTAAGCAGCTCTCGGTAATGTTCGACGGCCTTTTCAGACGTCAGGTAGTCAGCTCAATGGTGTCGGGTATCAGGATTAGATCGAGCTGAGTAGAAGGGCTCATACATCACCGTAGCGCCCAAGCTTGAATTCAAGCTTGATGGCTTGCTTCAGACCCTTGAAACCCCTGCAGCAGACGACACTGGTGAGTAGATGGCAAACATCAAAAGGATGAGGAGTATGTTACCATTCACCCTTATCTTGCTCCATCGGAGGCAGGCCGAGGAATTCGTCGATAGCCTCCAAAGGGTTGTCCACCTTCATCTGCTTCGCATTGTAGTACTTGTTCTCAATGCCAATGTCGCCGGACTCTTCATCTTCGTCATCCTCATACTCAAAGTCGTAGCTAGATGCGAGCTTGGGGTCAGCGTATTTTCTGAAGCTGGCGATCGAAGATCGAGTGGATAATTCGGGGAGAGAGTCTCACTCCTCGTCGGCCGAATCCTGCATGAAATCATCATCGTCCGACATATTGTCAAATTGCTGCTAATGAGTCGCGAGGAAAAGGAAAAAGTATTGAAAGACCGTCGAATGTAGTCGGGGCGAGAAAGAGAGACGGGAAGGATGGACGCAGGACTGCTGCGACAGTATGCGTGAGAGGTGGGGGGACGGGGCGAGACAGATGCGGGGACGAGACAATGAAACGGAGGAAATGTGTAAGACTGTTGACGAGGCGAAAACGAAAAGTTCGACCTGAGATTTCGAACCGGTCGCTGGTTTGGAGGTGGGCAGAATGACAGTAAGAGAGAAGTGGGAGATGCGGAGGATGAAGCACAAGCTCACTTGGACGTTGCTTTACTTCGGAAGGAACTGCGGAGTCTCCGCCGTAGTAGCGTCCCCGCCTGAGGCAGACTCCAGCACTCAGGTCACGGCTTGTCACGCTTGTTTGTCACTCTTGGCAAATGTGCCTACGCAGACCTCCAAGGACTTTGGGCGGTGGAGGGGAAACATTGATCTTTCACAAGTAATTGAGGAATCTACAGGGTCTTCGATATGAGACACAGTCTCTCTTGAGTGACTCTGTCGTCACATAGAGCGCATGCTTTGGATTTCCTGCTAGATGAGTTTCCAGGTCATCATCTCGGGCAAGGATCCATAGCTCGACACGCAGCTTTTTAGCTCCAGATCCACTTCAGCAATGCTGAACATTCTCGTCGAGTACCCATGCGCCTTTCAACATGGTCGATCTGGACCATGATAGAAAGACCTGGGTGGAGAAGAAATCAAGCTCTCTCTGAGTGGCGTTGAAATCTGAGCAAAGTCCCAATCGATTGACAAGACGGCGTTGTTCTGGCGCAGTCCAACATGGACACTAGGGAGTGCCTTTCCGTGGCACGAGCGAGGATGCGCCATAGTCAAAGGGCTTGGATAACAATCCACATGGTTTGAATCTTGGCAAGGCCCTGAAGAAGAGGCTGCGATAGCCGAGCCGAGTGGGCCATCAGGGGGTCATTGCAATAGCAGGACCCGGCGGAGAGCTTATTCGCTGATCCCTTTTTCCAGGGCGATGTCATCGACTCGGCCAGTGCGAGAATTGGGAATCTCCTCTCCGACATTCAACCCTTTCCCCCTCTTTTGTGACACTCCTTGAGCATCGCGCCGCCAGATTTCACTGACCCTCCAGAGCCCATTGCTGGTTCGCGATCTGGAGTCATATACTTTACTCATCATTCCTGTCGATCACCGCGCCGCAGCTCTTCTTCATCACATCTCGTCGCAATGTCGTTATGCGGACGCCAAAAAGTCGTCGAGCGCAAGATGGTGCTGCTGTTAGTATAAAGCGCGACACCCTTCCACGAACGGGCAAGCTCGTGCTCATCACCACTATTATAGGGGCGACGGTGCCTGTGGCAAGACTTCTGCGCTGAATGTCTTTACAAGAGGGTGCGCGATCATGGACCCCCCTGCTCTGGCTGCTTATCTAGCTTTCCCCACACCATGTTCGAGCGGGACCAAGAGCTAACGCTGGATGAACAACCAGGTTCTTTCCCACAGTCTAGTAAGACAATCTCTTCTGAAGCATAATGAGATTATCTCTATCTCGGCGAGTTCAGAAGTCGGCATACTAACCTTCATCTCGGGATTTGCAGTGAGCCCACAGTCTTTGGTACGTATAGCGTCCTCGAAGCAGATGCCGCCCGGGTTCATACAGTTGCTAATTTCATCTTAAATATAGAAAATTATGTCCATGGTGAGGCGATCTGCCGATAGCGAATCCGAATTGACTTTCGTCCCATGCTCACCCGCTGCAGACATTTTCGTTGACAATGTACACATGGAACTCTCCCTGTGGGACACGGCCGGGCAAGAGGAATTCGATCGGTTGCGGGCCCTCTCGTACGAAGATACACACGTTCTGATGCTGTGCTTCAGTGTAAGTCCGACCATTTCATAATAAAGGATTGGACACAATGGATCGATGGAGGAAATGACTTACCCACAGTCGAATGCAGGTTGACAGCCCTGATTCTTTCGAGAATGTTGGGTCAAAATGGATCGCCGAAATCAACGAGAACTGCCCTGGCGTGAAACTCGTCTTAACCGCACTCAAATGCGACTTGAGGAAAGACGAAGACATGAATGACAATCCCAACGCAATCACCTTCGAGCAGGGTCTCGCCAAGGCAAAGGAGATTGGCGCCGTGAAGTATCTTGGTATGACTCGTTTTCGAGACCTGGCATCAGTTGACCTTATGGCGTGCGGAAACTGATACTTTGTTATGCAGAATGTTCGGCGGTGCAAAATCGGGGTATCCGAGAAAGCTTCTACGAGGCTGCCAAAGTGGCTCTAGAAGTGAAGCCCGTGGGTGGGAAGAACTCCAACTCATCGTGTGTGATTTTATAACATTGTCCGTCGTGGACACACCTCTCGTCCCTCTCCCACTCATCTTCTTTCTTCTTTTCATTCCCCTTTTTACTTCTTAATCTTCTTTCGCCCTGGTTATACTCGCAGGGTATCCGGCCAGCGTGCGCCCAGCACCCCTTCATCTCCCTGATTCCCATTTGCTTCTGAGCTCAATGACGGGCCAAACTCTACGTTTTCTGTTTGGTCATCCAGCGTGGTCGAAATTGGTACTCTCCTGCATTGCTCCGTTACGAAAGACTTTCGAAGCGTTTCCAGCGAGGCTGGCTCTTTATCACCTTGCCCATTCTCCTGTGTTTTTGTCCAACAGCATGGACCATTTATCTAAGTAATGCTTATTAACTTCAATCTCTCATGAACCGTTCTTCGGAATGATCGCCTTGTTCCGCTGTGACAATCCAACGAAGCATGTAGAATGATCAATGCAGGACACCCACTTACTCTGCTCTCATCAAGTCCTCCTCCATGACGGGGTATACCTCCTCGATCTTCTCCCCAATCCCATTTTTGCCCGCAAAGTCTTGATTGACCCTCCGCACAAAGGTATCAACAAACTGGTCCGCCACCTGATCGACCCCCAACCCACGAACTCCCAGACCCTCCAAACTCGTAACCTCCCTCCCTTCCAATCCACAAGCCACAATCTGCCGGAAAAACCACATCGGCTCCTCCGTGACATTCAATCCAATACCAAAACTGCTAATATTCCTCCTCAAATGCACCCCCACCGCAGTAATCTTCTTCGGCAACTTCGACTTTAAGTCGGAGCCCGAGCCCATCTTTTCCGCATCCGCACCTGCATCTGCATCTGCATCTGCCACCCACACGCCCGGATCCTCGGTCGTGAACCCCTTCACTCCATACAGTTTCAACAGGTCTATCACGCTATTCTCCAGGACCCGGATATGACATCTTGGGGAGAGATTGAGACGTTTGAGGTCTAGAATTGTATACGCGACCATTTGCCCTGGGCCATGGAATGTGGTTTGACCGCCGCGGAGGGTAGGATGGTATTCGGCCTTTGGGGGCCGTGAGCCTGAAGGCGTGAGGAGCGAACGGATTGGTTCCAGGGGTGGCGGGAGGGAGAGGGTAGATGGGTCTGGACCCTGCGGGCTGGTGTTGGATGGGGGGAGGTCGCGGCGGCCGGTGGTGTAGACGGGGTTGGGGGTGAAGGTGATGATTGTTGGATCCGGGGGTGGTGGGAGGGCGGCATTCAGTGAGAATTGGGACGCTGGTGAGGAAAGCTTTTTGTGCTCGAGGAAGCGTGTGGTGAGCGCTTGCTGGATTGCGGAGACGTGCGCGAAGGGAGTCGTATGGGGGAGGTGGAGGTGAGCGAGCCTCATGTTGAGAAAGATGATGTGTTGGGGCTAGGCATGCACAGGGGTCTCGGTTCAATTGGCTTGGAGATTCCCTTTATTGGCGAGTCCGAGTATTCTGGCAGTCTTTTTGTCAAAAAGTCTTGATGTTTGAACAATGGCGGGTTTTTTCCCCTCGGAGATCTTGGGGGGACGGGAACTTTAGGTTGCGGAGAACCTTTCGGGGAGCTCCGCATTGATAAGTGCGGATAAGATCCGAAGACGCCGACGGTGGTTTTGGGCGGCTGCATGCAGCATGGAAGTCTCCAGTCAGACCTTCGAGAACCTTTTATCTGCAGCGCTGGAATTGCATAGCGAGAGGGCCTTGTCCATATAGCTTAGTGGCAGCGAGCGACATGTCTGACACTTCTGGCTCATGGGGTTTCTAATGCATAGTGCCCTGATCGTACCTGGGCTGGTAGTACACGCCGATCGTTCCAGCCGGTCGCGACGGTGATGCTCGTTTTCTTTCATTTATTTGCGATTGGTATTTTTGGGGGGGGGGGGGGGGGGCCGGAAGCATGGTTCCTTCAAGGACAGCTTGATATTCCGTATGAATCTGGTCCACTCCTTTCAATGAGTGGCTTGTAAGCGAGGTACTTAATTTGTGGTAAGGTGGTATGCAAGTATGAAGGGATACAATGAGGGCTCGAATTGTAGATATCTCTGGGACATTGAGTGAAGCCGTACCGAAACTGACAGGAAGAACTTCTACGGGAGGACACTTTGAGACTCGTGTTCAAAGTCGGACGAGCCTTGATGTTCAATGGTGACTAGATGACTCGGGAGCTGATCTCGTCCTCGATGGACCCACCAGAAACATGTGCTTCTCTTCAACCGTCTCTCTCCCCTCTCGTTATACTCCATTGACGAGGCTCTCCTGAGTAGCCTGAGAAGGAAGCAAAATCCAGTCACGAACCCCACCTTTCCAGTCAGCAATACGGCCTTCGCGCACCGGGACAGTCACCACACGGACGTCGCCCTCGATGGTCATGCTGGGCCGACGGGTGGCAGCGTCACCGTGCTGTTGCTGTCCTTGTCCGAACAGATTGATCTCCTCCTCTTCAAAGGTGTTATTCTCCAGATGACGCTCCTTGCACCAGCGCTCTTCTTCGGAGCCCGGCTCCAGGAAGCGCGCCTGACCCGTGATGGTTGTAGAGATACTCGACAGAGCGCTGGTGTTCAGGTTCAACAGCAGACTCGCGAGAGATGAGCGGGTCGCGGCCGGAGGTGGAGAGCCGTCGCGTTCACCCTGCGTGTTGGGCGCCCGAGTTGGTGGACGGTGGGATACCCAGTCGTGCACCAGCAGCGAGACGCGCGGATTGGAGAGGAGATGGTTGGTTTTGCGGGATGCGGTGTTGGTGGTCATGATGATGGTGGGGTACGGATCGTAGGGCGTTGAAGGGAGGTAGGTATAAGACATCAGCGAGATGTGCGGGGTGAGGTTGTCACATGTTGCCAGATGCAGCTGTATTGATGGTCGATTAGATCAATTGCGGGGAACTCTCACTGCCTCTCCGAGTGCTGGGGGAGGAATCAGACGATGGTGCATTGGTGAAGGACTTACAAAGCGGGAGTTCTTCAGGCAGGCCACCACCTCCGAGGGCAGCGAGGTGGCCTCATGAGGGTGGGTTGTCGTGGCAGAGGGCTCATAGGAGAGCGGGGGGTTCATAGATTCCGCCATGATGTTGTGATGAGGGAAGAAGTCAGCCAAAATCTAGCGCGGGAAAAAGATGTGCAGTGTATACAATCTGAGCGCCAATATCTCTCCGGTCTGGAAGAGTCCGGACGTGGGGTGATCATTCTGCCAAGCGGTGAGCACGGCGCCCCGACGTCATTAGATTGGCCATCTCGATGATCGCCGTGGATTCACGGTTTGGCGTTCTCCATGGGGCTGTATAACTTCCTTTTACAACGTGCTCCCGGCTACAGCAGGTGGAAAGCGGCAAGATCACCTGGCCCTTCATGTAGATTGGGCAACTAGAGCATTGGATTTGGATACAAGCAAATTCAAATTACTCTCTTGAAAAGCTCGGCCTCTGCTAGTCACTACAGGAGAAGAATACGATTAATTCATCAGAAAATAGGTATCTAAGGTTGCTGTTGGGCCTCACGGGCTTGCCCGAGCTACCACGTTGAAGTTCTATCTCGCGCTCTCTTTTTCAATTACGCAAGACCCTCGCATCGTGCTGCTCCCTGAGTTGTTCTAGGTGCAAGATCCAATAAGCCACCACGACCCGGACTTTGTGGATGTGAACCGGGCAGGTGATTCGCCGGAGCTATATCATGTTCGAAACAACCGGCGCAAATCATCACCGAAGATGATCCGTTCCTGAGTCCATGGAGGCGGTACGTATGCTTTGGTCGCCGAGAGCAGGGCTGGTGTCAGCTAGCTTGATTGTCAGCATGGCCTCATGATGAGAGTGATCGATCTAGGGGCTTTCAGAATCGCCGATCTCCGCACATTCACTCTGGTCGTGGACTGACGAGCAAACTGGTTACTTGAGTGCTGGAAGACACAATGTGGATTGAGGATGTGGACTCGGGAGTGATTCAAGGTGGAGTCCCTCCACTCCGGTACCGCCTGTATTTCAAGTGGACGCGACCATTCGCTCAGCCCCCGGTATTGATACGGTATTCCAATGTCATCATGACTCGCGAGTCGAGGGATTACAGTAGTTGGACTTGGGGGTGTGGTTGCCCAGCAATCGACAAACTATTTTATAAACCGCCAATTCTCCCTTGATGGGCCCCAAGATCCAGAGGACACACATTCCACCCTCGCTGCTTGATGGATCTCGATTATCATACCATCATCGACATTGATTCTCAAAGCCATCACGCCGGAGGGCCCATTTACATCTTCCACCATCAATCTTTGGTTCCAATCACCCGGTCCGCTGCCGGAGCTTGGGCCCCATTTAGCTCCAAATTTGTGAAGGGAGAGAGGCCTTTACCCGCAAGCTACTACTGTTCCCCGCACCTCCAGCTGAGATTAGAGCTTCAGGCTGTGATCACTTGTGGAACACTGGAACTGGAACCTGATTACTTTCAGTAATCAGTACAGCCGTCCGTCTTGAGCTGGTCATATTACCAGTCCACTATACCGACGATCACGTTGTTCTCAAGTTCAATCCTCTCGAGCCTTTGGGTTGGCTGTGGCTCGTCCTTTGATTCGAGTGCCGTCAAGTCATTCAATTCGGAGCTCAGACCTCCGCCGTTGTTCTCAACCCCCCAGTTCCTCCCGAGTGCCAGCTCTAGACCTGTCTGACCCCTGCACTGGACTCAGACGGTCCGGTAATCGAACTGTGTCCTGCACCCCCCCCCCCCCCCCCGACCAGCGCCAGTGGTCCGACTCACGCTAGCTTTCTTCCCTTCGGCCCCTCTTTTTTCCCATCCACATCTGCGAGCTTTCTCCTCACGTTGGGTGCGATTTTGCGCGTCAAGCAACTCCAGCCCGCCACTTGGCAGGCCTTCAGCAACCCCCGGATTTGGTCCCCACAGTCTTCGTCTCCGGTTCCCCTCCACCCGCCCAAGGCTGACTTGCCCCCCAACCAGCGATCCTCACGCGTCTACCCACTCTGCTGGTGCTCATTGCCACTCCTTGTCCTCTTCACCTACTTCCCAAGTCCGTACTCTGCACCACCCACCCCTCCTTTGCATTCTCCTGGATCACGGGAACGCCGTCAGATCCTTCTGAACACATCCCGTTGTAGAGAGCTCCTTCGTCCCCCAGTTCACGTCAGCGCTGTCCGGTTCACGCAATCATCATGTTGGGCCCGCGTCTGATCCGTCCGGCGACGACCGCGCTGGCGCGCCCATTTAGCTCCTCTGTCGCGGCGTACCGGGCCCCTTCCATTCGAGACCTGACGGCGGATTCGACGGAGGAGTTCAACCGCCGGCAGAAGGAGTTCCGCGAGAACCTCGAGGAGGCTCGCAAGAGAAAAGAACTGCAAGAGAGTCAGTCTGTCGATGCTTCTGCTTCTGCCCCTGCATCCTTCTCCTTTACTTCCTCTGATTCTATGTCCCGTGAGTCCGCTCCCACTGCTCCGCATGTGAGCAATGCGAGCTTCTATGACCGAGTTCGCCCTGCGTATGATGCGGCGGAGACACTTGACAATGGGGCACTAGGCTCACTCGCCATGCACCGGTATCTAGGAGACGAAACTACGGCGGAGTCCGGGTCCAAGCGAGGCCCCCTGTCTTCCTTGATCTATGGAACCAAGGAAGGTCAGCACTTCGACAAGGACATCGAGCGATCGTTCTCACAGGTCCTCGCGCGGGGCAAATACGTTCACTCGATCGTCTTCCACGAAGTCAAGCCCGACAAGGTCGATGAGTACGTGGAACTGGTTGGGAAGTGGTATCCACGCATGGCGGGCGACGAGGAGAATCGGGTTCACTTGGTGGGCAGTTGGCGCACTCAGGTCGGCGACAACGACACATTTGGTACTTGCCATTCCTTCTCCTCCTCCATCCTTTCCCTGGGACTCTATGATCACAGAACGCCGTACTAATGGCCCCCGTACCTAGTTCACATCTGGGAGTACCAAAGGTATGAAGGCTACCACGCCTCGCTGCACAACATTGCCAGTCATCCCGAGTTCCCCGAGTTTGACCGCAAGCTCAAGAGCTTGATCAAGAGTAAGAAGACCTCCTTGATGCAAGAGTTTTCCTTCTGGCCCACCACGCCCCCTCGCAAGCTGGGCGGCCTATTCGAGCTTCGTTCGTACACGCTGCACCCCGGAAACCTGCTGGAATGGGAGACGCACTGGCGTCGCGGTCTTCACGCTCGACGGGAGGTGATGGAAGGTGTCGGCGCCTGGTTCGTGCAGATTGGTGACTTGAACACGGTACACCATCTCTGGCAGTTCGCCAACCTGGAAGAGCGAAAGGTTCGTCGGGAGCAGTCCTGGGGTGTCGAGGGCTGGGCGGAGACGGTGCACAAGACAGTGCCCCTGATCCAGAACATGCAAAGTCGCATCCTGGTTCCGATGCCATGGAGCCCTGTTGGTTAAACGGAGATTGTGCGTTCGCCGGTCTATGTCGAATGCTATCGTGTGCCTCGGGGGCAGCTTGATGAGTATGCGCATCTCCGGGCGGGACTGGGGATATTTTTCCACCGACGGGCTGCACGGGCTGCTTTTATTGCTGCTGCTCCTCTCGAAGTGGCTTGTGCAGCGACTAGTATCTTGCGCGATGACCTGGCCCTCCCGCGGAAATGTCCTCGATGTGCACTCGAGAATGGCAGTTCCCTTGAGCAATGATGGGTATGCCAGCTGTCCCATAGTACTCAGCCATACATGAAATGATAGCACTTCCAACCTTCTGTCGTGTACAACTTGACCTTTAGAACAATCTTTGAGTAACACTGACCCTGCCACGAGTCGGTCCTGTGGTATTGCCATTCAGTCGTTGTATACTCCAGAGTGCGGCCCTCGAACGACCCCACCTGCACGGTCGTTCGACTGGAGGCCGACGATTTCTCCGTCGCTCATGCAGTGGTGTCGTGACAACTCGGCAGACATCACCGTCCCCGCATCAAAGTCCTGCACGTGTCCTGGCGAGCGGCGCTGGTGGTTCCTAGATCCAGTTTGGGTGGGCTCGGATTCGTCCTTGGATATTTCGCGTGGGCCATATCCGGCGTCATTTCGCTGTCGAGCACTGCAGTGCGATGCAGTGCGACACAACAAACCGCCTTTCTTTCTGTGTAAAAGGACATCAAACGAACGGCCTCGACTCCGAGTATAGTGTCCTTACTACGATGACGAAGAACATCGTTCGATATTGACGACTACGCAACGCAAGCCAATTATTTTCCTCGCCGAACAATTTGACCGCCTGACCTCTGATCGGCAACATCGATCGCCTCTGACGCAACAGATGAGAGAACAATAAAGCGTCCCGCAAGCCGCAAGCCGCAAGCTCACCCCGAATGGGCCCCGGTCGACCTCATCCAGGCGCGTTTCAGCACTGATTCCGCTCGTGATCCGCTCCGCTTTTCTCCCCCAACGCCTGCGGGGCCTTTCTTTTAACCTTGACGCGGCCGGCTTGTCTGTTTTTTTTCCTTCTCTTTTTTTCTTTTGCCTTTTCTGCTTTGCGTCTCTTCATCCGCTAGGCTTTGACTTGCCTTACGACGTTACGAATCTTCTTTCTCCCTGTCCTGCGCGCTTTTCCCAGCAGCCATCGGCCTCAATCTCCCAATTGTCGCGTTTCGCTCCCATCACCGCGCGTTGTCGTACCGAGCTCATTTGCATTACTGCTGAAGCTTGTCCGGAACAAGCTTTTACCGCTATAGCACGGAGGCATTGAACCATATCGAAAGTGCCGCAGAAGGGAAATCGTCAAGTCCAAAAGATCAGTGACGGACTATTAGCTGCCTAGCGTCGGTCGAGGGGACAGGCGATATCCATACAGCCAAGACGCGAGCTATCGTTCTTCAAGAACCAGTCCTACCGTACAGTGCAAATTCGCAAAGATGGTCTACATCCGACAACATGTGTTACCCAACTTGCGCAACTATAAGTACGCTGGCGTTGACCACTCGCTGGTCAGTCGCTACGTTTTGAAGCCCTTCTACAGCAAGTGTGTGATCAACTTGTTTCCGATGAATATGGCGTAAGTGGCTACCAATTCACTCAAGTGTTTTCCGTGCCCCCAATTCGCTAGGTGGATTGCCTGAGACGAGCTTCGGACCAGACATCAGCATGGTCCACGGCTCGTTTCCTCCTCGTGATCGTGACCGCGGCGGGGTCATTGATGGGCGAGAAGACGGTGTGCTAATTCAACTTCTACTGCTTCTGTCGCGCTACAGACCCAATCTCGTAAGTCCATTGACCTAAGTGCTCCTCGACCGCACGCCACCCCTCGACTCGTGTCGAACGTTATGACCAGTGGGCCTATGCTGATCTTCATCGACTAGATCACTCTGACCGGATTCATGTTTGTGGTGTTTAACTTTTTGACCGTGATGTGGTACAATCCTGGCATGGACACAGACTGTCCGCCTTGGGTCTACGCAAGCTGCGCAATTGGAATGTTCTTGTACCAGACCTTTGATGCTGTCGACGGAATGCAAGCGTGAGTTTTGACCTAATGCGCGCCAATTCTGGAAGACTGTTGCTGAATGCGATCTAGGCGGAGAACGCGACAAAGTGGACCGCTGGGCGAGCTCTTCGATCACAGTACGTTGAGCTTCCAATTGATTCACCAAACGGGAAGCCCAAGGAACGTTGACTGACGATATCGCTCAGGCGTGGACGCATGCAATACGGCTCTGGGTGTGCTCATTTTCGCAGCTGCAATGAACCTGGGAAATTCGTGGATGACCATTCTGTGTCTTTTTGGATGTATGTCTGGTCTTTGCTCTCTGTCCCCCTCGAAAATCCTTCTGTGTCTGATCATCCGGTCCAGCCACCATGACGTTCTACGTGCAAACTTGGGATGAGTATTACACGAAAGTCCTGACTCTCGGTGTCATTTCCGGACCAGTCGAGGGAGTCTTGACCCTGTGCACAGTCTACGCTATTACCGCCTACCAGGGTGGAGGTAGCTTCTGGCACCAGCCCATGATGGAGACCGTTGGTGTGACCAAGCCCAGCTTCCTCTCCCAGCAGGTGTATGAAATGCCCTTCACGCAGTGGTACCTGGTCTACGGTGCCTTTGTACTCTTTTTCGCCACCGGCTCGAGCATTTGGAATGTGATGCAGGTGCGCCGTCAGCGCGGACAGGACCCGTACACTTCGCTGTACGGTCTGCTGCCCATGGTTGCCATCTGGACACTGGTGCCGGCCTACCTCTATCTGCAGCCGACGATTTTGGAAAGCTACTCCATCCCCTTCAGCTTGTATGTCGGTCTGGTGAACGCCTACGCTGTGGGCCGTATGATTGTCGGTCACTTGGTGCAGTCTGGTTTCCCATACCACAATATCCTTTTGTACCCATTGGCACTTGCAGTTCTGGACAGTGCCGGGCCGGCCGTTGATCTCTGGGCAGCTCCTCTGCTGGGACATGGACCTTACCAGATCATGTTTGTGTTTGTGTGTCTTGGTCTCTCGGTTGGTGTCTATGGAAGCTTTGTGGTAAGTTTTGTTTCTGTCTACTTCGGTGGCACTCTTTGGTCTCTCTCCCCCCGAGGCCCGCCCGAGGAGGATCAACTAACACAGTGACCTCTAGTACGACGTGGTCACCACCATCTGTGATTACAACGACATCTGGTGTCTGACAATCAAACACCCCTTCGTCGAAGAGACCGAGCGCAAGACCGAAAACGACGCAATCAAGGTTGCCGTCGAGTCCACTCAGAAGAAGACTCTATAGACAAGCGGTATCTTTCAGTTGAGGACCTGAACTGCACGATACTCAATGTGTACCGTCTTGTGTGGGTTGCTCGAATGCGAAGGAAGCATGCCGTGGATCACAGCAAGCACCTGTTTCAATCAACTCTTGCTGCGATTGAATGCTTAGACGAATGGGAGGTGTATGCGGTGGAGGTAATGATTTCATGTCGAGGAGGATCAAGATGACGCATGGAAAGACCCTGGCGGATGCTCAGGTCCTTTCAATTCAGATCTTTAATGTGTTTTTGTGGCTCGCTAGAATACTTGCTTTTTTCATAACAACGACTTGCTTGTGTTCTATGATTGGGGTTTTGCTCTGATTTCCTTTGTGTTGGTAACTTCAATGTTAATGATCGAGTACACAATCCGTTGAATAGGGATCAGACCGCTCCATTGATTGGCGTATGGCTCCCTTCGTCTCCATAGCAAGCGGGCCGTGATCGCTTCACCCGTCCATGAAGAGTACCGACGGAGATGGAGAGTGCACCCAGTTTGGAGTTTGGACTCGATCGAGTTCTATGGTCTTCTATTTCTTCTTACGGGGTAGACTGAGATCTCATCAGATCCCGGCAATCCATGCGGCCCGATAGCAAAACAGTGTTTTGGCTACATCAATGATTCACCCATCAGTCATTCCAGCGGAAGGTATGGAGTACCGACTACCAGTACCTAGTACCTAGTGTAGTAGGGAATCCGGTTGCATGTACCTAGAGCAGATGGTTTGCAGAGGTGCGTGTGCCTGATGGTGGCCTGACAGTCGGGAGAGACTATTTGGGCATTACGAGAGGGGGTCAATCAACTTGACAACCTAAGGAATCCAAGAAGGAATCCAAGGAGGACAACCAAGGAGGACAAACAAGGAATTGAACGACTTCATGGGATCCGGGAGATCCATCGGAGAAGGGGATTGAGGGTTCAGGACAGTCTTTGCAGTCGGATGCTTTTGCATTGCAATGAGACACTCTTTCTGATCTTCACTTGTGCCCCTTGACAAATGTTATACGGTCGGGCTGGGAGATCTCTGGACGTGCGTGCTAGTGGTTGTGGTTTGGTTCCTCTATGACTCGACCTGTCTGGTGAGACCAGACTGCCTTGAGCATTCCCCTCTACACTAGGTACCTACCGAACAGGGCTACCCAAGAATCGGGTAAGACCAAGCACAGTAAGACCCAGAGTAAGCAGTGCGACTGCTAGTTAGTTAAGCACCCGTCCGGGAGTGGTGTCACGTGGACCGCGCGAGGGCTGGAAAGGCACTCGATTGTCGATGAGCAGCACTTGACTGCTTGCCCGATTGTGCAGGCAGAACCTTGGATGAGACTCACGGGACTGGGGTCAAGAGGAAAACGAGTGGCAAAATCCAGAAGCCGGAACCAGCTGAAAGGCGGTGGGATTGGCGGGACTGCCTCGTCCGTGCCACACCCTGTAAGAAGCCCAGTCAAGCGAGGGCTGTAACCCTACCCCATCAAATCCTCTCAAACTTCTCCCCTACCCTCCCCATTCCCGTGTTCACACAAGGCCATCGCTATCAGCGCCATTCATCAACTCACTCGCTGATCAAAATCCGTCAAGATGGTGAGTTCCGCATCACCCTCATCTCGGTCCCTGTCCCGCCGAATCGCTGTCGAAATTTTACACCTCAAATCGATCGGTTTTCGATGCATCGGACATGGGAGAAAGGATCGCCACAGTCGAAAAAAAAAAGTCATCACTTGCTAACGTGACCTGACGTTTATTAGGTTCTCGCGGTCGACCTCCTCAACCCCACGCCTCAGGCTGAGGCTCGCAAGCACAAGCTGAAGGTACGATCAATCACCAGTTTTCGATGATTCGACATGTTTGGACCGCACGATTTGATGACGGGGAATGGGAGTTGTCACGAGACTGGAAAGGTTGCGGGAGAGACACGGATCCAACTTTCTCTCCATACCACTCGGGCCAAACAAGAAACGTCGTTCGATCAATGACAACATCGACTTCACAATCTTCAATTTCAATCTCTCAACACTCTCGCATCCACATCGCAGTCTCCGACACCTCTCTTTCCATGAAAATCATCGTCACTGGGTCACTTGTCAAATCATGGATAAGGTCCATACATCCGGATCTTCAGTACTGACGAGTCTATTCACCGCAGATGCTTGTGCCCCAGCCCCGCTCCTTCTTCATGGACGTCAAGTGCCCTGGTTGCTTCACCATCACCACCGTCTTCTCCCACGCCCAGACCGTCGTCATCTGCGCTGGCTGCTCCACCGTTCTGTGCCAGCCCACCGGTGGCAAGGCCCGCTTGACTGAGGGCTGCTCGTTCCGCCGCAAGTAAACGAGACGCGCAAATGAAATTTTTTTTAATTGTTATGTCTTGTTGAAACGCACAGAGGATAGCATGGAGCAATTAGGATGAAAATACCAGTTCCGGGTTTTTGACCTCTCGCTTTCGGGATGGTAACTACGGAGGCCACCCCGTCAAAATGTCACATACCAATTTCAACCTTTCTTCTTTACTCTCCACGCCTCCCTGCAACCCCGATCTCCACTTTTTTCTTCGCGGGGATTTGGATGACAGGAAGCGGAAAGTGAAGCACAAGGGGCTCTGTCAAATCTTTCCGCCTCAGAAAAGCGCGAACGAATAACGACCGTGACGATTTAAAAGACACTTGACTTTTCCAAGTGTTGTTGATTCAGCCCTTCTGTCGAACGTTCCCGAATTCATTTCGCTCGCGATCTACTGAATCGTTTTTCTGCACTCGGGCCCTTTTGTTCCCTTTTTGCTTCCGCTTTCTCATCCATAAACCTGCGACGAAAAGCTTCTTTTATTCCTCCCTCCCCTCCCCCCAAAAAAAAGAAATTTGAGTTGTGACATTTGATCAACATTGCGGTTTTCTTATTCTTAAATCCGCTCATCCACGTGCTTGATGATGCTATTACAGCAGACGCATGTTCTAGTCTTGTCTTGTTTTGCTCTTCTCTACTCTTGCTCTTTAATTTCCGCTCCTTGCTGGGTCTCACGACCCTCATTGTTTTCTGTTGCGTATTGGATGGCAGATAGAAGATGGAATGCCTCGCCGGCCCAACCCCACAACCCACCTGATATTCCCTCCAAAAAACCGGCCGAAAAAAGAGCATCTGATAGCATCTGTGTGCCGAGGGAGTTCCGGATATCTGACACGTTGGCACTTTGTCTGTCTTGGTGCCTCGATTTTTTTTCCTGTGCTTTTGCTTTGGTCTTGAGTATTTGTTCTCTTGCCCTGTCCAAGTGTTTATTGTTTTTTGTAAAATCGTGGTATGCTTCCAATCGAGGTATTTCCAGTAAATTGGGACATTCTTGTAGACCTGTAGACATGTACAGTAACAGGTACTAACTATATACTATAGTCTATACTTCATTCCTTATGAAATATATGTAAGAGCAACCTTACACGCTCTGCCATACCTTCAGCTGCATGGAATGAAATGACACCCACTACGGTGGCACGTCCGCTTTTCCTGCCACAATGGCTCAGCAACGCACTGACGAACCTATGCCTCTGTCTATCTGGAGGTTTTCTCAAGTTGACTTAGCAAACTCAAGTGAAATGCCCGTCATCAACTTTAGACTCGGTACGTACTTAGCGGGTAGTCCAACTTCAAGAAACACTCAAGTTCTCATGGAAACCGCGCGGCAGTTGTGCACGTGTACCTCTGTCTACCTAGACTCGAGTGTCTCCCGGAGGCAGACCTGTGCGCGGGTCGTTGGTGGGAGTTTGGGTGATTTGGTCGTTTTGAGGGTAGGAGGGAGGCATTGGAAGGATAGGTACCGTAGGTTGGAGTCGCTGATGCGAGTTGTGATGTTGACGTGGGTGTTTCTTTAGGACTGGATTGAGGTCTTGAAGGTGATTGAGGTTCGTATGGATTCATCGGCGCAGTTGATGCGAGATGGACTCGATTCGTGAGTCCACCTACTAGCTACTAGCTTCATGTTAAGCTTGGGGTTGGATTCCAGGGGGAGGTTACTCTGCGTATTTGCCACCTACGCAGCTGCCCGATTTATGAGTTTACAATTTACACAGTTTGTCGTGGTGGTCCGCTGGATGACGTACAGCAGAGGCTTCTTGTCTATAGTTTGTACAGTATACAGTATATGCACTGGTTTATTTAGCACAACTCACGTCCAGGAGCATCCAATGCATCACCTGTCAAAGACACGAATTGATCATTTTGGGCGGTCCAGCAATTGCCGCCGTACGTTGACGTCACGCAGCCAGGTAAGATCGACAAAGGTAGCTGGAGTATTCTACTATCCTTCGATTCCCGAGTGAGTAGCACAAGAGAATCGCTCGCCGCGGACTTATGTCTAGAGTGATGTCCAGAGCTATTAGACAAGATCTAGTGAATGACTTGTCCTTGAGCAGGAGCCTTCATGCTTATGTAGGTATTGCTCGTCTGAAGAGACGATCCATTCAGTATCCTCAAGAGACATTCATGTTCCATGGGGAATTACTGTTGATCCCCAGACACCGTAGAGACGGTCAAATGCAAAAGAAAAGCTCGAGAAAAGGAGGTGACGTGCCCTAATATTCAAGTCTTTTCCTGAATGCAGGACTATGACCCGAAATGGCAAGAGGGCGGATGGAGATATTTTATAATAACCCCGGTGAAATAAGCATCGGCGGTTTCAACTTGTCAAACCGACATGACCGTGCATTTCTCCAGCACTCGAGGCGCAAGAATCTTGACTTTAAACCTCGGCCACCGCCTTGGCCTTGGCCTTGATGTCAGGGCCAAAGTCAACCGGGTTGGAAGGATCCCCACCAGTCATCATCGCCAACTTGCCAGAGGTATCGTTGGCCAAGACACTCGTGAACTGGTTCCGGCCCACGACTTCCTGAACGGTCTCACGAGCCTTGTGATCGCCTGAAGCGTATTCGTTCGCGTCCACTGACTTCAGAGAGTTGTGGGTGTTCTTGACAAAGTCACACAGGAAGAAGAGGGTCGGGTGAGGCGTAGGAGCGGCCATCTGGGGATGGGCCTCGAAGGCCCTATTGAGACTGTATCAGTATCGAGTGATAATGGCGGCCGATTTGCTGGAAAAGCTGAAGGCTTGGATCGCGTGAATCGCCAATGCTTCCTGGGTCTGCAAGAGCGGGGAGAGTGAAGCGGAGAGAGGCTAGTCGAGTGCTCTTGTATAGTTCACAATGAGGGCAGAGATGTAGCAAGAAAGCATTGTTGTCGAGGTAAAGCAATGCGAGCAGCAATGCGCAAACTCGCTCATCAGGAGAGTATGCATGATGGATGTTCCTCTGTTCGGGAATCTCCAACTCTCCTTTCTCCAGCTCAGGCACCCATCCATATTCTCCAGTGTAGGGAGGGATGAAGTTCAGTAGTCAGGTAAACATACTCAATCAGCTCCTTCATCTTGGCATCAAGCGCCGCAATGTCAACATTTTGTTGAGAAGACATTGTGTGTATGGTCACTGAATTCCTTTTACCAGGATTCAGTCAATAGATATGCAAGTGTATGGAAAGTGTAAACAGGATTGAGTCTGTTGACGTGACGCAAGTTGATGGATCCTTTCTGGGGCAAGGGCTTGCTGAGTTACCTAAGCACGTCAGTGGGGCCGTTCCCCTCCCGCCGGCGCCTCGCCCCTCTCCGCTTTGACCGCCCAGGAAATCGACCAGTTGGCCAGTTGAGCCCGGCAAAAGTACCCGCCATCCTGCCTGGGCACTTAGTAAGTTTTTACTTACTGAGCGGATGTCGGTCATGTGACTATAGATTTCCCCCTGGGCCCCAACAGGAGGCAGGCTTATCTTATCGCCCGTCCGTCTTGTCCCCGCCAGTCCGCGACGGAGATTACAGATTGTTTCAGAGGAGTCGAGGCCGAGGGCGCCATTGTCACCATTCAACTCCACCAGTTCAATTGATTCCTCCCCTTTGCTGGAAAATCCCACTCTCTTTCTCCAGCCCCTTTACTTCACTGAAGATCTTCCGAATTCATGATCAGAGCCCCACAAAGACTCTCGTTGACCTTGCATCACTTGATTGCTCCCAGTCGTTCTCTAATCACTACCACCACCATGGCTCCAAACCCATCAGCCGCCTCAGGACGCCCGCCATTGAGAATCCTCATGCTCCACGGCTACACGCAATCAGGCCCTCTCTTCCACGCCAAAAGTCGTGCTCTCGTCAAGCACATCCAAAAGAACTTCCCCTCTCACGAAGTGGTGGCATCATACCCCACAGGACCGTTGAAATTACGACCCAGCGATGTGCCCGGCTACGAACCCTCCGAAGGAAATGGTACCAATAACGAGGACGAAATCGAAGCATACGGGTGGTTCCGCCGATCTAATACCTCCGATCCTCCCCTCTACCAGGGTCTCGAAGACGGTCTGGCCGCCATTGCCAAAGTTCTCTCCGAAGAAGGACCCTTTGACGGTGTGATTGGGTTCTCGCAGGGTGCTGCCATGGTAGGCATGGTCGCCGGACTGTTGGAGACAGGCCGACAGGAGGCCTTTGCACATTTCGAACAACACGATTCCGGAGGAGCGTCGGGGATCCCGTACCCAGCATCCTTTGCTGCGCCCGACTTCCAGCACCCCCGTTCAAGTTTGCAATCGCATACAGTGGGTTTCGATCTCCGGGTCCTCGGTATCGAGGATTCTATGAGAACCCGCCTCTCCAGACCCCCGTGCTGCATGTGCTGGGGTCGTTGGACGCAGTGGTGGAGGAGTCGAAGAGTCGAGCATTGATCGAGGCGTGTGCGGGCAAGCCCGAGGCAGATGGGTTGGTGGTATGGCACCCCGGCGGTCATTTCTTGCCCAGTCAACGGCCGTACCTTGATGCTGTTGCGCGCTTTATACGGGAGCAGTTAGAGAAGAACGACGGCAAGAAGAAGACGGAAGAGGAGGAGGAGGAGGATGTCAACGATATGGATGTTCCTTTCTAGGCTCGCTAGGGTCTCATGGTGAAGAGAAGAAAATTGAGTACATAGACATGTAAATACTGGATGGACGACGATAGCACCTGCTTTTAGACGCTACGTTTCATGGATATAATAGAGAAGACATTCACCTCTACTTGAACTAGCCTCCTCCTCCTCGGTTCAAAGACACTACAAACTTGAAACTACACGCCCGCTGACGGATCGCGATTGTCAATCTAGTGATCTACTGTTCCACAATGCTACTCGAGATTTCGGTCAAGTCATTGAAGACGCAAGGTGCTGATTCTTTATGACGTCTTCTAGATATGAGGTCTAGCGACGACAGATTCTAAGCATTACAGCAGACTCGTCATCGACGGTTACCATGACAAGTTCCTTCGCTTCTAACGGGCCTTGCTTTTCTCGCCACGGGAAGGCAAGATGCGAGCCATCATCTCCTCCTTGGTGATCAGGTGGTCGATGCGTTCCAACAGCCCCAACAAGCTCTTCATGTCACTGCTCCACTCGTTAAGCACATCATCTGCATCGCGAGGCTTGGCAAAGTTGACAAGCCGAGCAGGTCGGTCGATCTTCGCGTAGATCGTCTTTGACGTCACGAGCTCACTGATGTACTTCTCGGTCTCCTCCTCGGTCAAATCCAACAGTTGGGTGAGGCGGGGCAGTTGGATGCGAGTGTAGTATTTGGCCACAACGCGCACGTTGTGTTCAATCACTCGCTTCCTCAAATCTTGCCACCGGCGATGAGCCTGGTCATCGGCTGACTGTTGGGGCTGAGCATCAAACACGTCGGTCTTGCAAAGGTGAGGGCCGAATTGCTCAGCGACCATGGGCCAGCGCATCAGCTCGGGGATAGTGAAAAGCTTGATCAATTGAGCCTCGGCCGGAACCTGCGACAGCCGAGGGTCCTGCTGGATGCGGTGCAGTAGATCAGACTGTTCGTTGTCATAGGGAGACAGGACGATGAAGTAGATGATGCGAGCCAGAGACTGTTATAGATGAGTCCCATGGTCAGTACAACCTTTCTCTTCAGCGGGACGGAAAGCGTAAGCGGACTCACTGCTCGCAATTGAGCCGGATTCTTCTCAACGGCCTCGGTGTCCAGCACTTCTCGATAGTGCTTGCAAACATCCAGATACTTGAAGTCATGGTTTGCCAACGTGATCTGCTGGTCGTAGTATCGTAGCTTGAGGTCGGTCACATCGTCGTCCACTTCCATTGGCGGCTCATCGGGTCCGCGAGTCTTCTCTCGTTCCTCCGCCTGCTTCTTCAACTTTTCAATCTCCTCGGCAGTCTTCTTGGGTTTCCGCGCGAAATACCGCTTGTTGATCTTCCGGATAAGGATCGACGCTTGTGTCCAGTCTCCACGCTCGATACACAGCGCAACTTGCTCCAGGATAAACTCGGTCTTTTCCCTCCGAGTCATTGAACCGAATGTCTCCACCTGCAGTTCACACAAGATGTCGGTCGCGGCATTGAGATCTCCTTGCGATTTTTTGATATTTGACAGGATTCGTGTGACACGAGCTCGCTCGACTTCGACAAAGATCTGTTGCGATGGACAGTGTCAATTACTGTAAATGGGCCAACTACCTAGGTCGAAGTGGCTTCCGTCCTTACCTTGCCTTCGGTGACTGTTCGTAGAGTTTCAATGACGGAAAGCTTCACGTCCATGTTTGGAGTATCATCCAGGAACTTCATCACCTCTTGGACCATCCGCGTCGTCGCCTGCTTGAGCTGCGCATGTTTCTTGGATAGGACCAGCACCTGGTCGTTGAGGAGACTCCAGTCACCGGACTTCTTGCAGATAGTGACAATGGCAATGAGGACACGGGAGGTTGTGGCAAGATCAGAAGCCTGTCATAGCGGATTATGAGGGTTAGTCGATCAAGGATTCACGGGCTCGGCGACCGGGTAATAGCGCACCTGTCGAGCTTGCTTCTCCAGCACTAGCAACTTATCGATCGCGCCTTGAGTATTGGTCTAAGGAGGAAGCGCACTGTGAGTATTCATTCCGGGACATGGTAGATGCTATCTGAGCCGTACCTTGGCCAAGGTCTCGGCCTCTGGGATGACCTTGTCGGCATCCTTGGAGAAGTCCTTCTCCGGCTTCAGCAGACCGTCAGACATGATGACGAATATGGTTTCACAACAATCAAAAGTTGGCGCGAGGAATTCGTAGTGTTGGGCGTTGATACGTGGCAAAGGGAGCACGGACAAAACGCAATGGTCAAAACAAAAAGCACAATGACCAGGTTGCAATGTAAATTGAGTGAGAGCGGATGACGATGCTGAAGCTCAGGCGGTCGGTCCGCCCTTGGGCCTGGGGCGCTGAAGCTGCGAGCTTCAAGTCACGTGACATTTGCCATGTCCAGTCCGAAGGCTCAGGTACTTACGTTCGGGTACATTGCAGCAGTATGACAAGGTTGTAGACTGGGTACTGGTAGTGATCTCCTCTACAGTTCATTGGGTGTATGTCACGGAAGCCCTTTGTAGCTTTGTGGGCTATATATGTGCATCTGAATAGCGCGACAGTCACTGTTGAATCGCGAATGCATGTAAACTATCGCCTAAGTGTGTGTCCTGAGTCATGCAATTTGGAGTCCAACATTTCGAGGCCCCTTTCAAGACCTATCTATATTTTGTATCTAGGAACATCGCTAGATCATGTAAAGCTACCTGCTGTCTGCAAAGTACGGGACCTGTTGTAAAAAGTGGACGTGATCGACGCAATTGATTCAATCTAGAATTTTAGGTATTCAATCGGCGTAGTATCTCCTGAGGTGAAGTACTACTGCTTCTCTTTTCCTCTTGACTTGTCAACGACAAAATAGTTACTACATACTACATATTACATGAACATGTAGGGTTAAAGAATGGGCGAACGAAGTCCGGGTACGCAGCCGTGCGGCGATATCTGATTACACATGCGAATTGATCGCTCCAGTCCGGCTGCTACTTACGATACCTGCTAACCTGGTGACTTATCTGCTTGTGCCACAAGTGGGTGGTTGCCGGTTCTGGCGTGCTCTGACTCCGGTTCCTGGATGAGGTGACTGACCACTCCCGATGTTCGGATTGTCTTTGCAATCACGCAATTTCGCCCTAAACCGCTTTGGGAATGACAGATGTATAGAGATTCTTTGGCTACCAGATGACTCTTTCGCTAAAGTCAGACAGAGCCTTCTGCGATTTCACAATCGTTTCTCTGGCCATCTTCTACATACATATCTTGTTCCTTTTCGGATCTCTTTGCTCCTGCGCACATCAAGACTCGAGACAAACCCTCTCGTGATCACTGGCCTGAATTTCTTCATTGGCTCGGGAGTCCTTATCAGTACCCGCTATCAAGCATTTCGGAGATCTAATCGCAGAATCTCCGCGGAAGTGGCAGTCGGCGCAACTTGACAAATTGAGAGTCCTGTCTGTCCATCGAGCTCAGTTTTCCATATATTCGGGCTCAATTCTATCCGTGAAGGACAGATAATTGTGCCCGTTGTTGGAACCCGAGTCGCGACTTTATCACCTACTCGGACGCAACAACTGCACTCGCCGTTATCGGGAGGGGCATCCCGCATTCAAAGGCGAATTGTGCCCGCAGACATAATGAAGGACGCTTCCAATGGTGTCGGTCCTGTGCCATTGCTGACCTCATGGAATGTCAAGTCTCATATCCATTTGATTATTGGTGCAAATCCTTTGGCCGCTTCGCGGTGTGCGAAAAGTATCGAGGCTGGCGCCAAGCCAGTTGTCATTGCCCCAGAGACCACGAACCTGCACTACACACTTTCGGAGCACATCTCCCGAGGAGATGCCCAATTGATTCGTCGCGAGTTCCGTGACGAGGACGTGACCAAGTTGGGTCGAGAGGAAGTTGACCATGTGGTAGATACGGTTTTTGTGACACTTGGCGCAAGTCATCCACTTAGTAAGTTGTCGCCTTGCATGAGACTCAAAAAGCCGGGAACTTCGCTGATCAAGCATTCCATTGAAGGCGCACATATATCGAGACTCTGTCAACGGCTTCGAATCCCCGTCAATGTATCCGATGCTCCGGATCTTTGCTCCTTCTCGTTGCTTTCCACATACTCTGACGGTCCGTTGCATATCGGTATAACAACCTCGGGTCGTGGGTGCAAGCTTGCTTCGCGCTTGCGAAGGGAGATTTCTGCCTTTCTTCCGGCCAAGCTGGGCTCAGCCATTGACCGACTGGGAAGTGTGCGCCGAAGACTGTGGGAGGAAGATCATGCGGCTGGACTCGGCGAAGCCAACGCCGATGGTGAGGGTGATGACGATGATGCCCTGGGCCAGAAGCATACGTTCAATTCCCTTGTGACGGAAAACGATGCGTCTGCGGCCAAGACGAGGCGGATGCGGTGGTTGTCACAGATCTGCGAATATTGGCCGCTTCGCAAACTTGCCTCGATCACCGACGAGGATATCGAGACTATTCTCCAAGCATACTCTGCCGATAAAAATTCAAGTAACGAGCAAAAATTGGTCAACGGCGCACAGAGCCCGAGCGGCATTTCTCAGAAAGGCAGAATTGTTCTCGCGGGCTCAGGACCCGGCCATCCTGATATGCTCACGCGAGCAACATACAAAGCCATTCAGTCCGCTGACATTGTCCTCGCTGATAAGCTTGTGCCGGCGCCGGTTTTGGAACTGATTCCCCGCAGGACGGAGGTTCATATTGCGCGCAAATTCCCCGGCAATGCTGACCAAGCTCAAGAGGAGTTGTTGCAAATGGGAATCACAGCTTTGAGGAAGGGGCTGCGCGTCCTGCGTTTGAAACAGGGAGATCCTTATCTCTATGGTCGTGGAGCTGAAGAGTTTGAGTTCTTCCGTGCGGAGGGCTATACTCCCGTCGTACTACCTGGTATCACCAGCGCGATGAGTGCGTCGTTGTTCGCTGACATCCCAGCTACTCATCGTGGTGTCTCCGATCAAGTCCTGGTCTGCACAGGAACGGGTCGCAAGGGAGCCGCACCAGAGCCGCCGGCATATGTGCCTACCCAAACAGTCGTCTTCTTGATGGCCCTTCATCGGCTGTCGGCTCTGGTAGAGTCTCTCACCACCCACCTGCACGAGGATGCCACACGCTCTCGGCCTCTATGGCCGAAGGAGACACCCTGCGCAATCGTGGAGCGTGCATCGTGTCCTGACCAACGTGTTGTCAGGTCTACCCTCGAGCATATTTGTCTGGCATTCGAAGAAGCCGGGTCTCGGCCACCAGGCTTGCTAGTTGTCGGTGCCAGCTGCCACGTTCTCCATCGACCTGCTCACGATCAGAAGTGGGTCATTGAAGAAGGCTTCCACGGACTCGATGGATTACAGCTGGAAAGTGATGCTGCAATGTCTGTGATTGAGGCGCAATGATTCGATTGCTTCTCGCTGGTCATTCCAGCGGCCAGATGTTGTTTCTTTCGTTCGTCATTATCGATTTCGTTTGTCGCGAAGAATTGTATATAGACAGGATTCAGATACCCACATGAGCATTGGACGGCTGGCGGAATTGCACCATGGCCTTGATTCATTTAACATTTTACTGCATTGTAGTACCATACAAAGTAACCGGAAAGCTTTCCTGATTTCGATCCAGGGCGTACTGTCAATGCTGTCAATGTAGGTTGGAATGTGCTCAATACATTAATCAGACAATCCTGACATGTCAGGTGATTAGAGTCCAGCGATGACGCCACCGGCCTCTCGGTCTTAACAAGCCTGCCGGACACCGCTCGCTGGCTCTCTCTCTCTCTCTCTCTCTCCCACTTTGCTTCCCCCCCCCCCCCCCCGCAGTTGTACTTTCTCCAACAAAACATCTGTTTCTCCGCTCTCACAGCACCATTTCTGAGTCACTATACAAGTGTACATAACTAACAGACAAAAAATGCCATCAACATCCCACCTCCCTCTATTTGGCGGACCCAGGTACCTCTACACCTCCAAGCGCTTCGAAGCCCTCCTTCTCCCACACCATCAATGCTAACTCTACCATTCAATCCAGAGCCTGGTCCCAAGACGACTGGGTCGCCTCCGACGACCGAGTCCGCGGCGGCGCCTCCCAATCCGAGCTAACCTGCTCCGCATCCTCCCTGGTCGCCAAATTCCACGGAACCCTCGACATCACAGCCCTCGGCGGAGCAGGCTTTGCTTCGCAGCGCACGAGAGGCGACGATCGCAAGTGGGATCTTTCACGATACGACGGCATCGAGCTCGTCATTGACAGTTCCGACGGCAAGAAGTACACTCTGACGCTTAAGGATGAGATTCTGCCCAAACGGCCGGATGGTCGTGAGCAGAGCACGGTGAGTTGGGAATATGATTTCCGCACGCGGGGTCGTCAGACGATCTTTGTGAAGTGGAGTGATTTCCGGGCGACATATCGTGGGAGGGAGAAGGAGGATGCGGAGCCGTTGGATTTGAAGAATATCAAGAGGTTCAGTATAATGATTAGAAGGTACGTGATGGTTACGCATCCAGGATGTACGGACTGTGTGTTCTATGATGTTGTCGGCGGAGCCTGAAGGCTGACTTTACTAGTTTCTTCGGGGGTCAGGAAGGAGCGTTCTCTCTAAATATCGTTTCCATTGCTGCGTTGCGGACGGAGCGATACCTGGATGAACCTGAAAATGAGTCCATTGACGAGGTTCTGTACGAGAAGTCCAAGGAGGAGGACACACCAAACAGTCCCCGTGAAAGACGTCAGGGATGGTTAGGCTGGTTGACATCCTGTCTTCTCTGAAGATTCATAATCATGAAACGGTGAAAAATGGATGGTTGACCATCAGAGAGTTTTGTTTATACAAGATGAATGGAATGTACAATCACAACAATACAGATTAGATTCATTCTGTTCACGTGTACCGTCACACCGTGTTCGCGGGTTCTTGATTGACCCTTTGACCGAGAGGAATCGATGGCCCATCATGTTGCCAGAGCCTTATTCGACAACAGGATAATTGACCCATTCCGAAAAGTCCATCCCACTTTGGTTGGGCATGCCATGATCAACCGGGAACAAACCCCCTCCGAATCCAGGGTCGTTGAATATGTGTTCTGGGAACGGCATGAATCCCTGCTGCGGAGCCTGCTGCTGCTGATGGTAGGGTTGATGAATATTGCCTTGAGAAGCAAAGGACGACATTATAGTCGGGGATGGACCTAAAAGTCGATTGATGACTTCGTAGCATCGCTGGGCAAGCTGATTGTGCCCCAATGATGGGTGCATCAAAAGTGCCTTGGTGGTCTCAATATCTTGGAGCCAGCTTGAGGCATCAGGGCTTGAAGGGTCCGTCATAAGGAACACGATCGGAATAAGTCCGGCTTGGAAAAGGAAGTAGCTAGTTGAAGAAGAAGTGTTAGCATGGAGACACTGAGAAGAAGGGACAACCTAGTTCAGTTGAATCCGGATGACATACAGCATGTACCATGCACCAATCCTGGTGCACATGAAGTTGTCCATGTACTCAGATATTGAGGTGATGGTGAGACGGGCATTCTGGAGGCAGCGAACACGGCATTGAGTCTCGCAAGGGTCCTCATTCCCTCCGTCGGACGCGACTGATGCTCCGTCGGAGCTGCCTCCTAAGGGACCCCAGCGACGGGCCGCCCAACGGAGGACGATCGGACGGTAAATGAGAATAGTCAGGTTCCAATTCCGCCAGAGTAGACGGTACCGAACGAGCGCGAGATTGTCCGGATCTGGCTTGGTAGGTGGTACAGCAAGAGGCTGTAAAGGGTAGCGCATGTACGGTGGTAGACCATTGTACCATTCTTCCATGGGCTTTTGAAGGCCCATGGTCTCTTCTGGAGTGATGCTTGGGGTAGATATCAGCCGTTGATATACGCCGTTTGTCAGAAGATGGAACTGAGTTTGAGCGATCAATCCAGAGTAGAGCGTAGGCCCCGAAGATTCGAGGGGCAACGTTATTGTTTCTGGAGTTAATGCCTGGAGGGTTGTGTCAGCTTGATTCGACCCTGATTACCTCCTTCAAGACAACGTGACTCACCTCGTCGTGAACGTTGAGGACTTGTTTGCAGTCCATTACACACTCTTCAGGAAGAAGAATGGGCCGACCAAAGGTTTTGGCAGCACCACTGTCAAAAATGAAGACTCCCCACCACAATCGGCGACGCATCTCTCTTTGCAGAAGACTGATTTTCCAACCCGGGAATTCTTTATGCAGACCCAAGCTCATGGCCATGCGTACAGCCAATCCCAGGTAGTTCCAGCCAGTATTAGGTTTGTTTCGTTTTTGCGCATAATTACTCAACAATAACAGGGCCTGGACAAGGGTCAAGTTTCCTATCTCGAACACCGAGAATTGCTGTAGACAGGCCCGCGCTTCCTGGTAGAATGTGACGTCGAGGTCTGAGCTGTCGTCTCCGATACTCCATGCTCCCAGTGCTAGAATCGTGTTGAGAAGAATCTGCCAGGCGGCCCCGTGGGGGCGCAGAGATGGATCGTTGAACTGTGCTCGAAATGTGGGTTCATGAACAAACGGGTAGCTTGTGTGATAGTTCAAGAAGTAGGCGTCAATGAAAGCTTGCTCGATCAGGCCGGAGGGCGCGCTCTGCAGAAGCTGTGCTTTGAGAGGTACACCACCCGATCTTGATGCACGGACTGGTACATTGAGGTCGAATCCGTGGTCAAATAGTGCTCTCAATGGGACGACACTGGAGGATGCTCCTGTATAAATGTATCAGAATGAGCCCTCAGCAACTTAGTTCACACGTAATGGCCATGACAAACCAAAGTATCCTGCTCCCTCGGGTTTGATGGACAGAGCGGCCATTCCGTCTGCCAAATCTCCTAGTACAAGCTCCTTCTCGGCCCAATCGAAGCCATCCGCCTGTTTGGGCAACGCCTCGGGCGCAGGCTCGGTTCGCTCGGCATCGACTTTCGCTGGGGTCGAGTGTCTCGACGACGACTTTGACGACGGAGCTTGAGGGATCTCTGGGTTCTGTAAAAGCGATCGAAGAGTGGCATCGAGGTCACCACCGGGGAACAGTCGACTCAACGCAGTTTCGAATGCATGCAAGCGGTCTTCAACATATGTCAGATGCCTTTGAAGTAGTATTAGCCCCCAGCTCAGAATGGTATGAGAACAGACAACGATAGATTTACTGTCGTGTGAGAGGGCTTCGTGTGACTTTGGGACTATATCTACAATCCTTGCCAAGTTGCTGGCATTGTAGACAAACGGGCCGGTCCTTCGAGCACTGTTCAGGTAATTAGTAACCGACCTTTCGCGCCAAAACGCTCTTGGGATGCGCACTCACTCTTGATTTTCTTAGACGGCACTCGTCACACTTTCGGCAGGGGTCAGCCATTGCGTACACTGCGGCGCTCGGCGCCGAGAAGAGGACCACTTACTGCGAATGAGTGGGAGTCCCGAGTGCTTGCCATTTTTATCGGGGCAAGGTTGACTGAGGAACTCGAATATTCAATGCGCTTTGATCATGACACAGCTCGGGAGTCATCTCCTCCAAACAGTTAGTGATATTGTCATCTAGGTGCTCGTTTGCCGGTTATGCTTTTCAAAGCGCCTTCGGGCAAAAGCTCCGAGAAAACAATTTCTCATTGCAGCATGCCGGCCAAGACTTTTGGAGAGCAACTCGTTGATATTGACCACTGGGTGACGCTGGAGGGGACAGTAGAGAACAACAAGAAGGAGGGTGACTCACGATCGGCGCTTGAGCACACCTCGACTAGATGGGGCAGGCCAGATTCGCGATGCGACAGATGAGCGTCCGATCAGCCCCTCTTCGATAGTGGGGAAACGCCGATCATGTGATGATGCGGGCAGATGAAAATTACTAGTCGGCCTGAGGCACGCATGCTGAGTCTGGGCTGTCCTGTGACTGTCCGCGACTCCGCCCATGATGTGAAGCTCATACATGATACCAGTATGGTATATTGATCGGTTCCATCAACAAAATGATATGTACTCTACTTTCAAAGTAAGCACGAGCCAGACTTGACAATTTCTCCGTAGGCTCATAAAAGAAATAAATTTCATACCTCAATTGCTTAGTTACTAACAGGGACAAGCTGCCAGATTAATGGGACGGTATGGACTTCAACCATTCCGTGTTCACTTACGGTCTGCATAGCCATATACGGTCCAAGACCCGCAGACACGATCTCTTCTGAATGATTGAGTATAGCCACCAGGAACTTATCTACCCATGTGTGAATTTAGCAAGCAACTTTAGCTGAAGTTCGGCCTCGCTACCGCAAGTATTGTAGCGGGTTCTTCCACCGATCGTCATTCCATAGATTATTTGGTCAGAACGTCAATCAGGTTCAATAGAGTTCGGCGTCTGGATTGGAGCGGTGACGATTGAGGCGATATCTAACTCAACACATCTTGCAAGAGATGGTAGGCTTGATCCTCCAGTTCTGCTGACTTGGAGAAAGTGAACTACCTTTTCGTCTGAGGTCGTCGTCTACAATTTGTTGTCGTAATGGTAACAATGGTATGTGTGAAAAAATTTATATATAGCCGTGGGTGGTGGTGATGGAAATGATTCGGTAGGAGATGTAAGCCCTCATCCAACAGAAGCCTTGAATCCTGCATTTAAATAGGAAAACGTGCAAGTTCGCCTCATAGGGAGACCATCGATTGAAGACAAGGTGATCTTATTACTGTTCTTAAAGTGCCCACCCACAAGTGTCCGAAAGCTGCATCTTATCGAATCTGAGAAAGCATGGGAATTCATCGGATGGATCTTCTTGGCAAGCCCACCTTGGAGGTCATAGGGCTTGGGCCAATCACCATGTGCAGAGCACCTCGATTTTTATTCTGCCATCACCACCGGCATCGAAGTAAACGAGGCTCCAAGGCGTGTGATTGACGAGCGAGACCAGTCCTTTACAATTGCAGAATATCAACTAACAAGGGTCTCAGTCAAAGTTGGCGTTTATCCCTGCTTATCCTGCAGTCTTCCAGACTGGACTTTGAAAAATGCCATCTCAACCCCCACTACCGCCCCTCCTCACACCCTACTTATCAGACCTGCCGGAGTCTTCGCTGACGGTCATCTCGTCTGTTCTGGGAGCCACGTCGAACTGGCTTGTCCTCAGATATCTGCATGCTTCTCTCTCAAATACTGCGAATTCGAATACATCGCCTGAGAATAATGGATCCATTGGACGCACATCGCGTAAAGTGGTCCTTGTCAGCTTCATGCGGAGTTGGGACTTTTGGAAGACAGAAGCAAAGCGACTAGTAAGTTGATGGAGTTGTGTGCAAAGACCTGCGATATCCACCTGTTCATCACGCATGTTGTACTAAGATCGAAGTAGGGATTGGATCTTGCGCGGCTGAGGGACAAGCGCCAATTCGTGTTTGTGGACGGGCTGTCAGAGCTATTCACTCCATCAGCGTCTGCCTTCAGCACGGTGCCTGTTGGAAGCGCAAACCACGCAACTCTTCCTTTACGAAATCGCCCTACTCCAGTGCCTGGGAGGGGCCCCCCTGCTGCAGGATCTCTTGATCGATCAGCGCAAGATCGCCGAGTTCAAGGAGATGCCTCTAATTCAGTGAGATTGCATTTCAGAGGTCGTGGAACTGCTGCTCTGGATGCGATAGAGAAGGACATTATTTCCGAACTTCATCGACAAAGAGCGTCCAGCGATGAGAACGAAGAGCTCCTCTTGATCATTGACCAACTGGATCTCCTACTTGCTGCCACAGGGCCCGGCTTGGGTATCGGAGCTACGGAAATGGCTGATTGGGTAATGGGACTACAACAGGTACCATGACGACAACTCTATATCAATTCTTACCAAGAACTAGGAGCTCACCCTTTCATCCAGCATGCCCACGCAACAGTCTTGACTATCGCCGCAGACTCTCCGCTGATACACAATGCTGCTACGAATGTTCATGGAGATTGCACACCAATTGAGACAGAACATGCGGCCCTTGCCCTCGGTTTGGCCCACAGGGCCCGGACTGTGATGCAACTGCGAATGCTTGAAACCGGAGCCGCAAGAGACGTCAGCGGGGTCTTGAGAATTAGTCGAGGCGGGGGTTGGAATGCGGAGGCCAAACACAGCCTGGACGAGAAAGAGTTGCTGTATTATATTCAGCGAGACGGGGGACTTCGTGTATTCGGGCGCGGCGAGTCGTGAGTGAGAATTCTCCACCGTCTCCGAAGCGTATCCTGTATGATTAGAGGAGCGCGGTAGCCGCCATAGTCAAACTTCGTCGCACCTAGTCGGAAGTGTTCCAGAGGATCGAGAGGGCGCAGGAGAGACATAGTAGTTCTTTGAAGAGAATTGTCTTCATATTGTTATTTGGCACGACATATGTATATGCGCCTGTCATGAACGAGGAGAAGATAAAAGGAAATTTCATGCACTCTTCCAGGACCGTAGTCTTGCGTTGTATGCCGCTTCTCTTCCCTCGCTCATACTCCGATCATCTCGCCTGTTTGTTGATTCCACAAGACGATACGCAAGTGATCCAATACAAAAGGCGACGCATGATCGCACCCACACCAACTCCACGAGAAAAGCGATTTTTTTTATTTCGGAATTGCCATTTGCATTTCGAGTACTTCTATCTCGTAATGCTAGGCCCATATCATGCCAGGATGTCCGACCCACCCCTCATTGCTTTTTCCAGCCTCTCCGAGTAACGAAAACGCGACGCCGAATGGGAAAAGATTGCGTGATTTAGGAGCTCTGGGGACCACGGGCGCCCTTGGGGGTACCGGTCTGGAAGCCGTTCGTGAAGCGGCGGTGGACATCGCGCAGGGAGCGCATGCGGCCGGAACCGGTGGTCTTGCGGCGCATGGCCTTCTCGGACCAGTTGACTGTTGTTAAGAAAAACTTCGCGTAAGCCGGTTGCCTTTGCAATTATTGGTCCAGGTCGTTTCCAAAATTGGTTTGATTCTGGTTTCCTGCCGGTCAAGGAGCAGTGAGGGGGGTATGCATACACTTGCGAGTCTTAGCAGCAGGGTAGCCGCAGTTGGCGCAGGTCGACTTCTGGATGTGGTAGGACCGCTTGCCTATCGAATCGAATGTATGCATCAGTCACATGTTGCTTTCAATTCACGATCGTTGGCCGGTCGCCTCCATCCGCAGTTTCCATCTCCATTGTCCAAACTTGCAGATATTGGCCCGGGACGAATCGTTCGAAGGAAACTTGAATGAGGAAATACTAACCACAACGACGGCACAGAGTGTGAGTCTTGTTGTGGCGCTTGCCGAAGCTTGAGGTACCCTTGGCTGTTGAGATTCGTTAGACATTGGACCCTTTCGAAAAACCGTATATTGGCGCGGATCGGAAGTAGGCGCTCGACGTACTCATTTTGAATTATGGGAACTGTTGGAATTAACGAAATGTCAGTATGTCGTGAAAAAGAGGGTGATCGTATTGGTGCCGAAAGGGGACCGTATGCGAACGTACCTGGCAATTCCGTTAAAGGGCTGTTGTCGGGGTCGTCGTCGCTAGGCGTATCGAAACTTACTACGACTGATGATGGTGCCGGTCTAAGCGAAATCTGTGGGTGTGTCACGGGACCAAGGGCACAAGCCCTGACACCCTAAAAGTGGCCGCGACCGCCCACAGGACGAGAGGACCCCATCATCACGTGATCTTTGTCCCGTCGTCTAAGGTTAAATGGGCCTGGCTTCATCTAGTGGGTCAGCCTGATGTGAACCCCATTTTTGCGGCTGCAAAGGAACTTGATACTACTACTGTGGGTATTCGCTATTGCAGCGCTACCGACGTGATAGAGCGAAGTAGGACCTGTCTTGCCCCTCACTTCCATCCAGAAAGCTCCTTTTGAATGTGGATCTTTACTACCGACTGTAAAAGACGACAACGAGGAATGTGGCATGTTATGATTGGGGGTATTAAAATGCAAAGATCTATAAACACAACATGTTCCTGGAAAGACGACTTTCAGCCCTAGTCGTCGTTTTCGTCGTTCCCAATGAACTTCGCCATGGGATCATCGGCCGCAAGCCGGCTTCGCTTGTACGACTCGAGCTCTTCCTCTGTGATGCCGGATTTGATCTCGTCGAGCGTCCGTTTCTTGTGCTGATTGGACTGTGTTTCCTTCTCCTCATTTTCCTCATGGTCGGCTTGGTCGTCGGCATTGTTGTCCGTCTCCGGCAAGAGTAACATGTTACCCTCTTGTTGGAAAGCCTCCTTGCCATCTTCACCAGTGCAATAACTGTTTTTGACCGTGGAAAAACAGCACGCGTAGCCCCATTTGAATTCGTACCACCAACTCCCCCAGACCGATGTATGATTGTTCACCATGACATCTTCAGCGTATTTGGATTTGGTGGCCTTTTTCGGGGCGCCCTTGATGGCACCTGACTCGTCATATTCCACGAAACGCTCGTTCTCAACGACCATCGAATCTCGCAATGGGGTAGCACCGAGATGCTCGTTGCCGCCATATTTCTCCAGTAAAGCTTTCCGCTCGGCCTGCCGCTTGGCCTCTGTTTCATCTCTCTCTTTCTTCCGCAAAAATTCTCCCGATGTCGGATTGGCCTGCAAGTGAATCTTTGACCTTCCTGCTTCTTGGGCATCCCAAGCATAGCGCTGGGCTTTCTCAAACTCAGCGGCGTCTCCAGAAGCGCGAATGAAGTTCTCCTCCGCTACCAGCGCGGAAGCTTGATCCTCCTGTGCGCCCATATCCACCATTCGCCGGGTCTTCGGATCATACTTCGCGGAGTCAAGGTCCAAGTTCAAAAGGTATTTGGCGGTATCCTCCCGAATGCGAAGGTTACGTGTCGCAGTGCTCTGGTGTCGACCCATATCGGACTCCTCGGCGTATCGTATATCTCCATCCTCGCGATCTTCGTCACCATCTTCGTCCTGTCGTTTTTGAAGGTCGGCTCCTTCCTTTGTGGTTCGCTTGAGAGACTCGAGCTCCTCGTACTCATCGATCACCTGGCGATATTCGCTCGCGTCGTAGCCGTTCCATCGGTCTCGCTTGGCATCCCAGCCCAGATCGACTTCCTGAATCACTTCATCCGCTTGAATATCCTTGCCGGTCCATTTGGCTCCGTGCTTGCGCGGTCGACTTAAACATTCCTTAGTTTTGTGTGTCATGGCGCCACAATTTTCGCAAGCACCTTTGCGATATTTGGTTGCAGCCGGCCCCGTGCGCTTCCCCCGATCGTACCATTTGGACTGATCCTGAGATTTCTTTTGTAGACGCTGATGCTCGAGATAGTCGTCATTCGACTCATCTTCTGCGTAGAAGGGTTTCTTCGAGATGAACGAGGGAATGTATTCGTTGCGCTCCTTAGCTGCAACATCCGTTGGCTTTCGAGATGACATGGTGATGGCCAAATCAGACAATTATTCAGCGGCAAGGCGGTACTGACGGCTTGACGGGTAGCAGGTGATGGCTCAAGTGAGCTTGACCAGAGATGGGCTTCGGATGAAGGTGATGTTGCCCATGTCGGAACAGAAACAACCACAGGGCCTGGATGGGTCGCCGCAGCTCCCTACCCACATTCACGTGATCTCGAGTCCCACTTGTGCGCCGCTAGCGCGCGGCGGTGCGGGAGGCGCATACATAACTCACGTCTCGCATATTGATCGGCAAACGCGTACGACTTGCTGAATATCTAGTTTTACATCATCCAAGGGATATTATTCACGCGGGCAAATGGCCAGGTAGCGCTTCTTTGCGCAATGCCGCTGTTGGTCTCTGGATGAAGGCCGTTATTTTCTAATGGAGCCCTTCCGTATTCGCCTTAACTGCATCGACCATTATCAAGCGACGGCGTCGGAGCTGGATCCTCCATTGCCGTTTCGGGATGGAGCTAAAGAAAATGATTTCAGGCCAAAAGTGCCTGTGATTCGAGTGTTTGGAGCGACCGAGACGGGTCAAAAAATCTGCGTGCATGTTCATGGAGCATTTCCTTATTTGTACATTGAATACAACGGATCATTGGAGTCCGATGCAGGTGTGTCTCCCGATGCGAAGATTGACTGACGAGTGGCACGCTGACATTTGAACCCACGACGCAGTGGACTCCGCCATTCGTACCTTACATCTTTCGATTGATCATGCTTTAGCAATAAGCTATCGTCGCAATGCCTATGATAAAAAGATCGCATACGTCGCTCATATCACACTTGTGAAAGGCGTTCCATTCTATGGGTATCATGTTGGGTATCGCACCTTTTTCAAGATCTACCTTCTCAATCCATTCTACATCACGAGGCTAGCAGATCTGCTACATCAAGGAGCAGTGATGAAAAGGCCGTTGCAGCCCTACGAAAGCCATCTGCAATACGTTCCACAGTGGATGTGTGACTACAACTTGTACGGATGTGGATACATGGACTGCAGGAACGTCAAGTTCCGAGCTCCAGTACCAGAGTATTTGGAGCTTAGCAATCTCAATCATCGATGGCATGACCGCTCTATCGATCCAGAAAGGATATTAGATGACCCTGCTCTTCAAAAGCAAAGTCATTGCTCGTTGGAAGTTGATGTCTGTGTCCAGGACATTCTCAATCGCGCCGAAGTTAAGGAACGTCAGCTGCATCATGACTTCGTTGAATTGTTGAAGCCAGTCGCTGTGAACGAACGCCTCGTTCCAAGCGTTGCCGGACTCTGGCAGGACGAGACAAAGAGGCGTAAAAAGCGTATGGGGATCACCGACCCAAATGGCACTCCGTTTGGTCCTGAGGACTTGATCTCCATGTCCGCTGACCCTCGGAACCAGTCTAAGGGCGGTTGGGTTCACGAGGACGAATTTCGTCGATTGGCCCTTCAAATTGCGGCCGATGAAAAAGCTGAGGACAACGGCAAATCGGTATCTTTGGAGACTTTTCTTGGTCATGACCACGAAAAAGGTGACGTCAAAACGGCCTTGGCCAGCGTCGAGGATTTTTACCCAGATCAGATTGTCCACTCAGCTTTGCGTCCTGCGCAGCCAGTCTCTCGGGGACCTGGAGATACTTCAGCCCACATTTCCGTTGATGAAAATGTCGCACTCTCTTCTCAGATGGAGCAAGACTACATCTCTGACGAGGAGATGAGTTTGTTGAAGTCCAGTGAGGACGGAAGCGCTAGCCCCCAGGAATCTGGCAATCACACCACCAACGGTGTTGATCCTGGGGATAGCTTTTATGATCGGTTGTTTGATGAGGTCCCAGAACATGAGATTACGAAGATTGATCGAGAGACTGGAACCAGATATGAGAGCCTTGAGTCGGGTCAGCGCACGGATAACAACAGAAAACTTTCCGAAAGCGCAATTTCACTTGTCCAACACGCGGGATCGACTATTTTGAAGAGATCATTCACTGAAACGATTGAGGCCTCGAGTCCACAGAAAAAACCTAGATTCTGGACCCAAATCAATGGCCAAAATGGTGCCAATGGTCTCGCCAACATGGGCGGTGGGATCGAGACGCTCGGATTTCTGGGTCATAAAAACCAAGACCTAGAGTGTGAGCCAAATTGCTCTTCCTCATCATCATCTCAACGAACTATTCGTCCCGCCAATAAAATGCCGCTTCTTCAAAACAGCCGACTGAACTTTCCCGTTGTCAAGGACCCGAACGACCCCTTGACAATACTTCGCTTCAGCCAAGAGGATGCTGCATCTTCATTAAAGAAAACTTCGAATTCACAACCGCCGCAGTTATCGCAGGCCTCGGGATCCCGGAATAGTGCAAATCAAGTCATCGAAAGCGATGGTTCATCGCAGCGTTCTGGTGCCTTGTCAACTGGAGGTGACAAATCCCAAAGGATTGATCCACACGTTGCGGAGTTGAAACACTCCATCCACGATGCATTCAATCTCCGACGAGACTCCATTCTGTGTTTGCCCAAGCTTGCAGGACCGAGCTCTAATGAAGTAGCATCAACTATCAACGATTCTGGCCGCCCATCGATGATATATCAGCAGGCATTCTATAGCGACGAGAATGACGTGCCGGATAGGCCAAGGCAGTATGCGGGTCGAGAATTCCGACTCGAGAGCAACACTATTCACTTCTTGCCAGACTTCAACCTTTCTGGCAACATACCGACTTTTGGCGATCAGCATGTCTCAGCGTATCATGATCGAGAAAGTCGCGAAACTCTCGATTCAAACTTGCGCAAATCCTGCTCATCGAGAATATGGGAGTTCGCCAGTGTGCCACCTAGCCGAGCAGAGGTGATTGACTGGTACAATGAGCTCGAGAAATCTTCATGCTCAGTCGAAGCGACCACAGGCACATCGAACAAACTCAGACCTAAGGTCAGCAGGTCCATGGAAGCCCTTTCACAGATCGAAGGCCCTACGCAGCAAATCCCCTACGGCTTCAAGTACTCCCAGAAGGCAAAGAAAACTAGCGTGGAGCATCAGTCCCAGTACATGAGCATCATGAGTCTTGAAGTCCACGTGAATACTCGAGGAACTTTGGCGGCCAACCCTGAAGAGGATGAAATATCGTGCGTCTTCTGGAGCTTGCAATCGGAGGATGATGACGATGTCGAGGTCAACAGTTATCTTCCAGGTGTTCACGTTGGCATGATCTACCAAGGTGATGGGGATAGACCGGAAGATAAAGTTTCGAAGGCGCTGAGTATAGAGGTTGAGCACGAGATCACTGAGCTCGATCTCATCAATCGGCTTATTGACATTGTTCGTCACCACGATCCCGACATAATTACTGGTTACGAAGTCCACAACGGTTCTTGGGGATACGTAATTGAGCGGGCGCGGAAGAAGTATGACTTTGACCTTTGCGCAGAGCTGTCTAGGGTCAAGTCACAATCGAAGTCGAGATTTGGCAAAGAGGACGACCGCTGGGGGTTTGAGCATGCGTCGTCGGTTCAAATGACTGGTCGACATATGATCAACATATGGCGCGCAATGCGAGGCGAGATCACCTTGCTGCAATACACCATGGAAAACGTTGTCTTCCATTTGTTGCAGCGCCGCATCCCACATTACTCGGCTAAAGACCTTACGCAATGGTATATGAGTGGCAAACCCCACAATATCCTCAAGGTCGTTGAGTACTTCACATCGCGTGTCCAATTGAACTTGGAAATCATTGGCGCCAACGAATTGGTTCCCCGGACAAGCGAGCAGGCAAGACTACTCGGTATTGATTTCTACTCTGTCTTTGCCCGAGGATCGCAATTCAAGGTCGAATCTTTGATGTTCAGAATTGCGAAGCCTGAAAACTTTTTGCTGGTCTCACCAAGCAGAAAACAGGTCGGGCAACAGAATGCTTTGGAATGTTTGCCTCTCGTTATGGAGCCGCAGAGCGATTTCTACACAAGCCCTCTTCTGGTTCTTGACTTCCAGTCTTTGTATCCGAGTGTGATGATTGCCTACAACTACTGCTACTCAACCTTCCTCGGCCGAGCTGTCCAGTGGCGTGGCAGAGACAAAATGGGATTCCTGGACTACAGCCGACAGCCACGAATCCTTGAGCTGTTAAAAGAAAAGATCAATATTGCACCGAATGGCATGATCTACGCGAAGCAGGAGGTCCGCCAATCACTGCTCGCAAAAATGCTCACGGAGATTCTTGAGACGCGTATCATGGTTAAGACAGGGATGAAGGCCGACAAAGATGATAAAGTCTTACAAAAATTACTCAACAACCGACAATTAGCACTCAAACTGATTGCCAATGTTACGTATGGATATACGTCAGCATCATTCTCGGGACGGATGCCATGTTCTGAGATCGCCGATAGCATTGTTCAATCTGGGCGGGAGACCCTAGAGAAGGCGATTGCTTTTATTCACTCAGTCGAGCGGTGGGGCGCTGAGGTAGTCTACGGCGACACCGACAGTCTCTTCGTCTACCTCAAGGGCCGTACGCGAGATCAGGCCTTTGATATCGGCGAGGAAATCGCTCAGGCAGTGACGGACATGAATCCGCGCCCAATCAAGTTAAAATTCGAAAAAGTTTATCACCCGTGTGTCTTGCTCGCGAAGAAGCGATACGTCGGCTTCAAATACGAACATCGCAAGCAGGCTGAGCCGGAGTTTGACGCCAAAGGAATCGAGACCGTGCGACGTGACGGCACGCCAGCTGAGCAGAAAATCGAAGAGAAAGCCCTCAAGCTTTTATTTCGGACTTCCGACCTCAGCCAGGTCAAATCATATTTCCAACGTCAGTGCAGCAAAATCATGCAAGGCAGAGTGTCTATCCAAGATTTCTGCTTTGCGCGAGAGGTTCGTCTGGGCACATACAGCGATCGCGGCACACTCCCGGCTGGTGCCATGATCAGCACGAAGCGCATGTTGGAGGATCCTCGACTAGAGCCGCAGTACGGCGAGCGTGTCCCATACGTTGTGGTGACAGGGGCACCTGGGTCAAGGCTCATTGACCGATGCGTGGCCCCAGAGACACTCCTCCATGACGCACAGCTTGACCTGGATGCTGAATATTACATTACGAAGAACTTGATTCCACCCCTTGAGCGCATCTTCAACCTCGTAGGGGCTAATGTGCGCCAATGGTACGATGAGATGCCTAAGGTGCAGAGGATGCGACGGGTTGATGCTACTTCTTCGGCCTCATCTCGAGCTCACGGCGAAAATGTCATCGCGAAAAAGACGTTGGAATCTTACATGCGATCCTCCTCGTGTATGATCTGCCGGGCCAAACTCACCGATGCTGCTATCCCGCTATGCTCTGATTGTTTGCAGCAGCCGCACTTGGCGCTTCTAAACGTCACAGCTCAACTGCAGGGGTCTGAGAAGCGAGTCAATGCCCTACAAAAAGTGTGCCAGTCTTGCATGGGTGTACCGCCTGGTGACACGATTGCCTGTGATAGTATGGACTGTCCGGTCTTCTATTCCCGTATACGTGCCACCACAGGATTACGACATACAAAGGCTGTGATGGAGCCTGTCAAGGAGCTACTGGAGCGAGCCGGGGAAGATGATCTTACCTGGTAATGCCGACAGAAATGACCCTTGACAAGTGGACTAGAATCGCCATGACTTGAGGTTATGCAAAGCATGGCCCCTGCCAAACAATAAACACATGAACATCTTGCTATACCGTGGGGATCTTGAGTCTCATCGGGAGATCCCGAACTTTTTTTATCCCCTAACTCAGCATCCGTTATCGAAAGACTTGTACCTACCCTTCCGCTTTGGTAAAGACGCCCCAATGCGAGTAAGTGATAAATCTGCTGATAGTCCGCTAGTGTAGTATCTGCTAGTAGTGTACCCTGTGCTCAAACACAATACTCCACAAGACATTAAAGACTTGAACCCGACTCGATCCAGACGCTCAATATGTTCAAACGCCCACAACAGATACCCTTCAGGTACTTTACTAATACTACCCATGTTGACTTCAGTCTCAATGTGGGTCAAATGATTATCGGGAGAATTTGCCATTCAATGGATCCAGTTTCAAGACTACCTGATTTTGACGGAAAGACGTAATAGAATGCGATATTTACTGACGTACTGTATGGAGCGAGACAACCAATGCGATAACTCGCTATCTGAGACTCGTCAAAGTTCGAGCATGGTTGCATGATGAAACAAGACGCAAGAGAGAATATGCCTTCCCGATGCGGGCCTCGTGGCCTTGAAAGTGCAGCAATAAGCTCATCCGAGGGAGTGCCATCCTCGCTTGAATATGGATGGACAAACATGACGGGGTTCCCGAAAAAAGCGAAACAATACTGGTTAGGAAGGGACCAGTCAGGCTATGGCTGCCCTTAGAACCTTGCGCAAGCAGAAACAACTAAGACCGGTCAAAAGCATTCCACAGAGTCCCCCATGGATCATAAACAAGGTCACGAAACGGTGCGTTATCTGCAGATATTGCAAAAATACATCTGAAACTGCGCCAAGTTCTCAAAATAATTATCCACTTGTCCTGCCCAAGTTTCTTTAGCACAATTTGCATTGCAGATTCGATTTGCTCACTCATCAAACTCATCGTCGGGGTCACATTCGTCGCCCAAAAGCTTCATGAGCGTATCGCAGGCAGGAGCCTTCACATCACCTTCTTGCTCCACAATATTCAAGTCTTCATCCTCTTCATTGCAGACGTTGCCAGTGATTTCAGGAGGATCTTCCGCAACGATTTTCCCATTGCTGATCGGCGGATGGGAGCCATTGGAACCAACGTGCTTGGTCTCTTCTGTACCCAAAGACCTTCGAGGTGGTTGTTCGTTCAAGGACTCAATGGGCCTGATTGGAACTGTCTCTACTGTATCATCTTCGAAGAGATCAAGAAGGTCCATATTCCCCATGTGATGATGTAGAAGCTCGTGAGGGATGCCTGGGCCTAAGATCGGTTCTGCTGAGCTTGCTTTGGGATTGATGGCAGCATATTTCGCCTCTCTTTGGCCAATCAAGCTCATTATCTCAGCGTGAGTGTACATCTTGGACTGGGATTTTCGGCTATCCGAGGCCTGTGCCTCTGCGAATGCAGCCTGTAAATCTTCATCACGGCTCTGAGCCACCCGGCACAGGACGCCATCAAAAATCCACGGAAAGCTGATGAGAGGAAGCCTGCTAGTCTCTTGCTCCACGTTATCTGGGAGTTTTTCGATGTCGTCTAGGTCATCGTACGCGTCCTCCCCTCGCAAGGTCGCCAAGGCGTCCTGAACTTGTTGATGAGTGATGCGATACATGGCCACAGCCAGAGGGGCCACATGGCCGAAATCTCGATTTCCCCCCAGGAACTTGAAGCATTGGGCTTGAATCCCCGTTCGAAGCCCACTGACAACTTTACCCAGATCCTCATGAAGATTGTAGTCTCTGCACATGGCGTTGTGCTCGAGAACGAAAGCGGACCAGACCTCGAACTCCGTTCGGATCCCATACCGAGCCATGACCCGCCGCATAGACGTATCATAATGAGCCTTCAAGTCGCCGACAAACTGCTCGAATTGTTTGCTTGCCTCAACGAGGCTACACTCGAGAATTCGGGAGTCAAATGAATGAGTCAAGCTTGGCGAGAAGTCTTCTGTCTTGACTGCATCATACAATTGACCGAGAATCTTCCTGGAATGGTACGTCCTCTTATTCTTTTTGTCCATGAAATGGGGCCACGCCCTCGGTTCGAGAGACCTCTCCATGACAGCAGGTATACCTGTCTTGTTGTAGTCCACGGCGTCAGAGTGCAACTGTGCCAAGCGAATGCATTTTGGCTCATAGACCCCGTTGGCCAAGTTGTCAGCATGGGCCATGTGAGCGTGTGCGATTCTCGGCAAGCTGTCGTTTTTCATGTAGGTGACGTAGAACGAGGTAATGTCGTCCATGGTCACATCACGGCCCAAGTCTGGAACCTTCCGAGCATCGTATGTCAGTGGCTTTGCAAACCACTGCAGTGGAATGAGTTCAGGATCCCAAATGACCAGGTAGTCGTCACCGTCAAGATCACCACCGGAGCACATACTCGTGAGATCCCTATCGCCTGTCTGCGGAAAAACTACCACGTCAAGGAGATGCCTGAGTGCTGGACAGTCGACCGCTCGCACAACACGAACATCTCCTGGATGAAGCGATGGGTTCCGAGCGACTATACATACGCCTTGGATGATTTTTGGGCGAACGCCCTTCTCCACACTGCTGATTTGAACGAAGATCTCTGGCAGTGCAGCAAGTCTTCCTTCTGCTGTCCTGAACCTGCCTGTCCCCAGGCGCTCATAATAGCCCTTCAGTGACTTCGTCTCATCCAGCACCCCGAGGAGCGATGCACCTTGTTCAATTAATATTTTTGCTTTTTCTTTCAAATATTTCTGGTGCCATGACTTCCAAAGCGCAAGCATGGAGTTGACAAAGGGCTCATTCGTCCGTCGAAATCCAGCAGAAACCATCTGCGCCATAGCGACAGTCACTCGATTGGGGTCGGTGTATCTCTGGAGCAGCTTCGTGGCTTCATCGTCACTGTGCATGGCGTAATCAATGCTTCGAAGCATCGAATTCAATCTGTCATGGAATACGTGATCTCTCACCCCCAACGCTGAAAGCACCAAGATCAATTGGCGGTTCAGTGTCGCGGCCGAGAGCTGTGACCATCGGATGATCTCCAGGCGTTTATGATCTGCCTCAAATTTGATCTGGCTTGGACGGATGTGAACGTCTCTCACAATGGGATCGGGTGAGACAGTCAACATGCCTTTACATCCACCCAATCGAAATTGATACGCCGAGGGAGGCCGACCATACGGGTCAGAGATTCCCATTTCTGCCGAGATGACTCTTGTTGTGAACCTCGAAATTTTGCCAATGCCGTCCGAGAAACAGTATCCGTTCCTCATGATATCAGGAACTCGCTTCACCGTGACGTTACAGCCAGCGAGAGCGCGTGTTGTCGAGAAGCATTGACCAAGACGAGCAGCATAACGCGCGACATGACGAATGTGTTGGAACTGACCCATCCAAGCTCTGATATGCGCGGCTGTGAGATTGGGCGTAGGAGCAAAGAAATATGCGCCATGTTCGCGGAACTGAGAATTCCCGAATGCTAGGAACTCGTAGCGTCGCTCGCCTATAGTGATACCGTACTTGAGGGCCCGCTTGATTCTCGCAAAGACCTCGTCACTTGAGCTAAGATTGGTGGAGTATATACGGCTATGGGGCCGTTCGTCCGTGAACCGAATACGTAGAAAGCGATCAAGATGCTCTTGATAATTCCTGGTGACACGGTTTGATGTATCAATAGTGGGTGTGTTGTAGTGAATGGTTGTTGGAGTAATGCGGGCAGTGCGCATGAAGCAGCAGTACGAAGGGATCATTGATTCAGATACGCCCTCAGGATGCTGGATCTTGAAGATCTCCATCGGATTGAGATATTGCGTCTTGTTCGTAGCAACATGCTCAAGCAGTCTCACTGCGGCCGACTGTTCCATTCCCGCGAGACGTTCCACAAACTCTCGCGACATTGTGAACTCAGAGAGTAACCGGTTCGAAAGGCATACTTCCAGCTGATACCGGATGTTGAACGGAAGATAGATGTAATCCTCGTGCGCCAGGTCTTCAAGCAGAGAACGAACACGGTCGGTGATACTTGGCAAATCCACCCAACGCCACACGGCGTCCGGCGACTGTGTCTGGAACGTGAACCGCGAACTCTCCTCGACAGAGATATTGTGATCCCTGAGCATTTCGACGAGAAGGGCATATCCCTGCTCCGCGGCTGTGCTAGCCGTGAAGGTGAATTGGAGAACATTCCAACGGCCTATTGACTCACGTTGTTAGCCTGATAGATTTCAATATTCCATGGTGCGTCGAATCATGTTCTAACTTGAGTTACGTACCTATGTTAACGATCTGACTCGAACTTCGCAGGTTGACAGTGGTCAGGTTTTTGTTATCAACGTGAGCAATTGATGTTTGTCGTTGCCACAAATCCGCTTCCCGCCAGCTGGTCGTATTGCAGAAAGTAGCAGTGAGATTCCGAGACTGCCGGTGGCAGATTGGAGGTGTATCCAGTATCATCACGAGTGAAACGTCTTGAGAATCGGGACTCTTGATCTCCCAAATTCGAGACAGCTGAAGGAATGGAATGCTTAGCCGATACTTGTATTCAATGCTCTGTGGCGCAACCCCCAAAACTCCGCTCGGCTCTTGGATAAATGTGTTGAAGTATGCCAGAATTGATTTGAACCGCACGTCGACAGCCATGGAGGGCTTTGCATCCTCATTGAATTCACGCATTGTGGATATTCTTGATTGCCCGACTGGAACACCGATGCTCAATTTTCTGCAGGGTAATACGTGCTATGAGGTTACATGTCAGCCAGTGAGTTGTTGAGACATGCAGGCTTCACATACACATTCTCGCGGATAAAGGACGCCCTCTCGACTGGGACTCCTCAGATGTGCGTTTCCCGGCGAAGGATCCAATGCCACAAGAAGCACGACGAGCCGGCCATTGGGTAAGGGCAGAAGGTAGTCTCCGTTCTCCCAGAAGGCGACTCTCGGAGCTGGCCTTCAATGCCGTATCAGTCAACGAAACCAGGGAAGTATTGCAAGATTTGAGAGGAAATGAGACAATACGGAACGTACTTGAAGCGAACACGGCCTTTTGACCCTCGCTCTCCATGTTGATCGTCCCAAATATCGATGGAAATAACATTCCCCTCCCTCGAGAAAGCTTCCCACAAACTTTGAATGGATGCCTTTTTGGGTACTTGGTAGAGGTTGACAGCGACAGTTTCCCAAAGTCTCCAAGGGAGCCAAAGGCCTTGAGAGCGAGCTGTTGACGATCGCTCAAATGATCCCGGTGCGGTCTCCATCTTACCCAGAGTAGTAGCTGTAATGCAACTCAACTGATACTCGAGGTTTGGAAAAGAGATGTGAAGAAGCAGAGATCGTTGGCAAGCCTGATGAATGATTTAAATCCCGCTGAGCGGCGGTCTTTGATGGACGATATGAAGGATAGAACGAGATAAAAAAACTGTCTTGGATCGTGAGCCAGACGCGCATTAAAGGTGAATGTGCTTCACCTAGATTTGTGATCGTTAGTGAGAAGTATCAGAGTCGGTAGTGAATCACGAACCTACGTACGAGCCACTGAGATATACAGTATCAAGGCCAGGTATATAGAGTCACATTTATGACCTTGTCTGCTGTTTCAAAGCTGGAGTGAAGGTGGTGAACAGAGCCTCTGAGTGATAGAAGGATAGACGATTGAGCGCACGGACTCAGTGAAGTGAGATTCAGCTGAAGTGCGTCTCAAGCGAGAAAACTTAAGATCAAAGCAAGCTTGACCTGATACTCTAGAGGTGAATAATAAGATGGGGAGGTTACTCTGCTGGCGACTTATCGAAACCAAAGCGTTTCAGAACAAATTATGAGGCAACGCCCAGGAGTGGCAGAAGAGACTAAGCACAAAGTCAATTTAACTTTCAGAGCATGAATACGTTCAATTAGCGAAGTGTTCGTTTGACATCGTAATTCTCGATTTGGTAACCCTGCCTTTAAACAGCGGTTCTCTAGATAGTTGACTATTCAGAACTGGAGAAAGTCGTATTAGCAAAGAGAAAGTCTTTGGAGAACTCTATGTCCATATCCAAATCAAGGGTTTGCAGCCCATTGTCAGCTACATTCCCATGGGCTGCACCAGCAGGTGGACTGGATTTAGGTTCAAGACCAGCATTGGCGCGGACGGGATTATTTGCGAGCATTTCAGTCAGAACCCATGTATTGCCTTTCCTCGCGATATCTGTGTTGGGACCTCCGGCGGAAGCTCCGAAACCTGCACCTGGTGAGTTGGGCGCCGGGGAATTTGCTCCTCTTGATTGCTTCCAGAAGGAACTTTGAAGATCAGAAGCAAGGCACTCAAAAGACTCGGCCAGCTCTTGATCATCGTTGTCACCGATTGATGTGGCCTCCCTCTGGCTCTGAGAATGCAGAATCTCGGTGCTGACTTTGTTCGTTTGAACCGACTTTGCCGCTGGAGTTTCGGACTTCGAATTCGTGGAAAAGCCCATGACATTCATCAAACGACCAATGTGCTGCTGTGCTTCTGAGAACTCCCGTGCTTTTGCGGCTCTTTCGTCGCGAAGAGATTGGATCTTTTGAAAGGTCAATTCAGTTGCAGTACCTCTTGATAACATTATAATGGCATGTCTTACCTTTCTCTCCAGTTGGCGGATGCGCTTGTCCTTTGTTTGCATGTCGGTAGATGCTTTATTCGCGGCAGCCTGCAGCTCTTGCTGGAGCTTTCTATTCTCCTGTTTTTGCTTTGACACCTGGTATCATGTTAGTTGGCCACTAATTTGAAAGAGGAAGGATTGCTGGAGCAGGTGGCATACATCGGAATGAAGGATGGCAATTTCCGCCATTCGTCCAGATTCAAGCTCTTGCATCTCTCTTTGTGCCTTGTCGCTTGTCGCTTGCAAAGCTCCGCGCAAGCGCTCAATTTCTCGAACTTGATTCTCCGTCTAGATCAGATGGTTAGCATCTCAGTAAACAGTTTCGCCACTCGATGAGTGCGTGCACGACTCGCATGAAGAACTCTGCGCTTTTATGTCGGATCCCACTGGCCTTGACACTTACCGTGGTCTGCAGAGACTTGAGCTGCACGAGTTGATGGCCATTGTCCTGTAAGAGGCGCTCGACCTCCTCTTTCCTGCAATGACTTTGCATCTTTCCCTCTTCAACCAAATCTCTGAGTTTGGCAGCCCCAGTCTCCAAATTTTTGATTCTGTCTTCAAAAGCCGCCTTCTCCTCGACGTAACCTTCTATTGTCTGCTCCAGTTGGGATTTCGCGGACTCTAGTTGACGTAGCGAGTCATGCAGCTCCTCCAATTGATCATCCTTTTCTGTGGATGTTGCAATCAACTCAAGCTCTATGCTTCGGGACCGTTCTTGTTCCTTTCGAAGGGCGCTATCCGAGAGCTGCTGTGCGTTGCGCAACTCTTGTCTAGCCAGGTGTAGTGCCTCTGCCAGCTCCTCCGCTCGTTGATTAGTAGCCCCAGCTTGTTCTTGTAGCCTCGTAAAATCCTGCTTCAGCTTTGCAATAGCGCTCCTTGCCTCATCTAACTGGATAGTCAAATCATTATGTTGTTTTCTTAACTGCTCTGCTTCGCTCCTGTATTCGTCACGCTCTCTCTCAGCTGACCTGACCGGCTCCTCGGTGTTGTAGCAGCGACGTTCAAGGTCGAAGCAAACGTCCTCAGCGGCTTTGAGAAGGGCAGTACGTGACGTCTCCGCAGCTTGCAGATGACATTCCGTGAAAGCAGTGCGCCAATCTCGAACAATGGCCTTGTTTGATGAGAAGTCATCGCGATTGCGCAGTTTGAATGATGGCCGAGGGATATTTCTTTCAATCTGCGAAAATGCACAGCTGTGCTGCTTCAACGACTTGGATATTTGTACCACAAACGATCTCATGATCATGACCTCATCGTTATTGCCCCCATTGAGCAATGTTGCGGCAAAGAAAATCTCAAACAAATGCAGAATACTCTGATCTCGGAGTCGACTGCAAGCACAGTAGCACACCAGTGCGTCTTGACACTGCTCTTGCTTGGGGTCCGCTTGATATGTGCCTAAGAGGCTCACGATAGCCTGTTTGGTTGATGTGGAGTTGAGCAGCGACGTAATCATGGGCTGAGAAAGGCCTGACTTGAAGCCCGATAGCAGTAAGTCTGTGATATGGAGGTCGATCATGGTGTTCATTCCAACAACATCCTGTGCCAGAGTATCAACGATGAATCGCAGAAGCTCGTATGTCACCGAGTCGTCATAGCCCTAGACCGTAGTGCTTAGTTCAGATCTCAATACCAGTCACTTGATCACTCACTCCCAAGCATTGAACCAAACATGCGACAAATCTTGGCGGTAAGGTGGCAAGAATGCCGCGGCTATCAGAGGAAACAAGAAGACGCAAACCCAGTTCCCCAATCCGACTTGGAAGAGACTTCAAGTCTGTCAAGGAGAGCAAGAAGATGATCCCCTACAATATCCCATGCGTCAGAATCGTGGGCCCATAGGTCGCGGGACGCATAATAACCAAGTCTAGCAGGAACAGACTTACCATAATCTTGATCTCTCGGCTCAGGCTATCTTTGGCAACCTTCTCACAAAGCTTGCCAATTTTGGACGCATTCTGATCAATCCAAGTAGACTTAACGGTCGGATCAACAGCGTCGCCAATGCGAATTGCAAGGCCGATGCTCTCGGCAGCCTGTGCCGGCGTGAGATGATTACAATTGGAAGAGCACGCAAGTATCACTCGTAAAACAACAAGATCCAATGTTTTCATGCCTCTCCTGGAACCAAAGAAATCGTGTATACTAGCAAGCCAAGATGCGTTACCTAAACCGCGCGGGGAGGCGTTGGTCTGTCGTGGCTGTGATGCTGATATCTCTGCAAATGTTGCTAGACCCAGCAAGTTTCCCATGTGATCGTCAAGGTTGCGCAGAGTCTTTGTAATCTCAGCCTGCATGTTAGACATCACCTCTGCAGGAATCTCGTGAATCAGACTGGGCGATCCTCGTATGCCAATCATCAAGGCATGCAAAGGGGCTATTGTCTCCGCTCGAGGATCAGCGGCAATCAAGGATACCGTTTTGGTTATGAAGGCAGCCAGACGTGCAGGGGGAACAAAGCCTGCGGGCAGTGGTGAGGAAAGAAGCGCAACGCATGCTGCATGATACTATTGAACTCAGTCGTAAGGTTAGCTAGGTGCAAGATCCGCAATCGAGCAATCGAGCTAGAAGAAGTACACCCACCTCTACTTCATCCGCAATGATCGCTTTCTCCAAAAACGCATCAAGGATTACGGGCTCTCGCTTTAGCAGAAAGTCGCGGAATGCTTGCACATATCCTAGACGATATGAATTCCGTTGGCTTCCACAGAAACATCTCGCTTGTCACTTACCGAATGCCGTGAGTAATGGAAGCGCAACACGAGACTGTGACAGACTCTCTACCAACAATGCTGCAAGAAGTCCCACCTGGCAGGGCTTCTGCAGAGCCCATGTCTGTAGAGATGAGCGAGTCGAGTTTTGCACCAAACTATGAAGGTCCTATTCACGAATGTTACCATGCACCCCAATAATGGCTAAGGTCATGACTTCCAGTTACCTGCAGCGAAGGTGCATAAGGGGCTGTAACCACTCGTTCAATCTCTCGAACGAGAGGAGCAACATCTTGTGTCATGATCGAAAGCAATATTGTGTTGCAGCCGGAGTATGAAACTCCACATCCCTCGCCTTCTCAGCTTGAGCGTTGGGGAGAAATTGAGTGACTGCGGTTGCCTCGTCAACGGGCGGTGTCCCACTTCCGCCTCGCACGCATTTCATGGTGAGGTGTGAGTGTGACTGCGGACTATCGACGCTTTGCCAGACGAAGTGAAGTTCAATGCCTTCATCTTTGTCAAATGAATAAAAATTATATCAGTCTGTAGTATTGTAGGATCTCAGCGGATAGGTAGAAGCACCGATGTCATTGACAGAAGCACTGTACAACTGCACACATTGTGGAGCCGATCTGCATATCACTGCAAGCCTGGTAGTTGTGCCCCCACGAGCGGAACAAACCCCGCATAAGATGCTTCACTTCTCGGCCAAACTCCGATGCGGGGATGCATGATAGTCCCGATGAATGTACGTGGAGTATCACGACAAAGATATGCCTGGATTTTCCCGGATGACTGGCGTGCTTTGTCTGTTTGGCCAATTCGGAGACGCTGGACGCAAGTTTCCTCCTTCATGTTTAATCCCTTTCTTCTTCCCTTCAACCTTTATTAGACCTTCGCCTTGATCTCTCCTGGTTGCATTGCATCATGCGAGCCGCAATTCCATTTTCACGCGGGACACTGACCTCTACTCGCCTGTACCGATGTCGTCCATCGATCCCATCGTCTCGAGGCATCCGGGCCTCACATGTCATACGGACTCACTCCACAGCTCGCACAGGCAGGACCCAGCAGCAGGATGACTATGACAAATCAACCGGGTCGCAGGCTTCAATCTCAGCCGGCCGGACTCTTGTGGCCTCGGTACTAGCAGCTGGGCTGGGTTATAGCTATGCAGCTTACAGAGAAAAAAGTCCAGTGTCGGCGAAGGGCCCTCAATATGGTTCGGCACAAGATTTTGAAAAGGTACAGGGTTGATTTTCAGGAAGCGATCTATTTCATGGATGATAATCTTACAAACCTAGGCGATCGCGGAACTGAGACTCATTCTTGGAAACGACGCTGTGAGCACGGATGAGGACGACCTACAATACCATGGGTTTTCAGAGTGGTCGAGTCTGAACGCCAACCGTCTTCCTGTTGCAATCGCCTACCCCACCAGCACCGAGCAAGTCTCCGAGATCGCTAAGGTCTGCTCCAAGTACCGTATGCCGATGATTCCCTACTCTGGCGGCTCGAGTTTGGAAGCCAACTTCTCGGCCCCTCATGGTGGTTTGACCATTGACTTTGGCAATATGAACAAAATCTTGGCCATCAACGAGGACGACATGGACATTATTGTTCAACCGTCCATTCGTTGGATGGATTTGAATGAAGAGATCAAAGACACTGGTCTGTTCTTCCCCGTTGATCCCGGTCCACCAGCCATGATCGGAGGTATGGTTGGTACCAATTGCAGTGGAACGAATGCGGTGCGCTACGGAACGATGAAGGACTCTGTGGTCAATTTGACTGTAGTTTTGGCGAATGGCGACATAATCAAGACTCGTAAACGGCCTCGGAAAACATCCGCTGGCTACAATCTTACGGGCTTGTTCGTTGGCTCTGAAGGGACACTGGGCATTGTAACGGAAGCCACGCTGAAGCTGGTACCCATACCGGAATTGACCCGGGTTGGTGTTGTCGCCTTCCCAACAGTCCGAGATTGTGCCGCAACAGCCATGCAACTGATCAAGAAAGGCATTCAGGTCCAATGTATGGAAATCATGGATGAGGTACAGATGGACGTCATCAACCGTGCAGGTGGTACTGGGAAGGTTTGGAAGGTCACCCCTACGCTGTTCTTCAAGTTCAGCGGCACTACCGCTGGGGTTGCTGATAGCATCAACTTGACTCGGCAACTCGCCACGAGAAATGTAGGTTGTCACCCCCAAGTGAGCACCGCGATCATGGCCAGTATCACTGACCTCGTCGTCCAGAATGCGATGGAGTTCATGTTCGCGAAGACTGAGCAAGAAGCTCACGATCTATGGTCCGCCCGCAAACAGTCTCTTTGGAGTATGATGGCGTTACGCAAAGAAGGATCCGAAGTCTGGTCAACGGATGTAGCTGTACCGCTATCCAGATTACCCGATATTATCGAGATATCGAAGAAGGAACTTGACTCACTAGGTTTGTTTGCCAGTATCTTGGGTCATATTGGCGACGGCAACTTCCACGCGAGTATCATGTACAACCGTCACGACCCTGCCGAGCAAGCTCGTGTCGAGAAGGTCGTTTACGATATGGTGGACCGTGCTCTTGACATGGAGGGCTCTTGCACAGTACGAACCTCACCCTTGCCAGAGCAATAAACGAGTTGAACTAATGACTAACTGCGCGTTTCACAGGGAGAGCATGGAGTCGGCCTTGGTAAAAAGGAGTCCCTTAAAAAGGAGCTCGGTCCTGCTACCATTGGAGTCATGAAGAGTCTGAAGCGCTCTCTGGACCCTCACTGGCTCTTGAATCCAGGAAAGATCTTTGATTGGGAGGATGAGCCATGAAGACGTCTGCAGTGATCACCCAAGATTAATCTGACATCGGTGCTGGCTTACTACACAGCAAAAGCCCGTGGAAGTGGTTGTCAGCATGGAAGTCCGGAGTTGACCCTCGAGCAACTTCCGGTAAGTGGTGTGGTCTCGAAACCGTGCCACCTGTTTTTTATTTTATTTTATAGACTCCAACGTTCTTCTCAGAAGTCTTTCTTGCGCTTCTTGTAACCCATGTTGGCTCATTAGTGAGGGAAGAACAAATCGAGGGGTGGCAGGGACTCGCTCAAAGAAAATTGTACCTGATTAGCTTCAATTTGCTTGTTAGTGCTGGACTGCTAGGTAAGTTACGGCGAGACGCAACGTCAGCAGGTGACAGCAGGTGAAGTTGAACGGCGACCGGGGATGAGCAGACCAACTCCGGCAAGGATGGGGGTTTATCGAAGCCAATTGCACGGGAAGAACCCGTTCCACTTCTTCTTTCGGAAGCCAGAAAGGATGTCCGCAGATTCAGTGGAACTTCACTTCTCCGTCCCGTCTGCGGGCATGCACTGCAAAGTGCAAAGTGCAAAGTGCAGTCAATGGAATAAGTGGATCTTGGATCCAGAGTTGGGATGAGTCAGCGCGGGGCGTTCCAGCCGGGCAGTGGGCTGCTGTCCGTCGATATTCAGCGCGATATCGCCGGAAGTTCGTCTCAGTTCTACGATATAACTCACCCATTTTCATCTGTGACGCTTATCGACAGAGTCAATTCTTTTTTTGCCTTTGAAGTGTGAGTTTTGTCCTTGTGATGTTTCCAACCACTATGCGATTGATTTAGCGCCTTGCTGGAGTTCAGCGATTGCGGGGCAGTCTAGATCTTTTGTGTCGGACCTGACTTCGCAGCAGGTGATACTCAATGACATCAATGCATGGCATGGACATTGACAGTTCTCTATTGAATTTCCCAGGCTAACTTATTCGTCGACTCTCAAGGTATCTTGAACACAGCATCTGCAATGGCTGGCTCATATCCTAAGAAGAAATGCGGTGGGTACACAATCACCGGCTTCCACCTCATATGCAATAGCGCTAACTGTCGCCATCCTGTCAGGTGTCCTGGGTGCCACTGGATCAGTGGGCCAGCGCTTCATTCTTTTGCTTGCTGACCACCCGTTTCTCGAACTCCATGCTGTGGGAGCCTCGGAGCGATCTGCGAATAAAAAGTACAAGGATGCTGTTCGGTGGAAGCAGTCTGCTCCCATGTCAGAGAGGCTGAGCAACCTGGTTCTTCGCGAGTGCAAAGCAGAGCTATTCACAGATTGTGATCTGGTGTTCTCTGGTCTAAACAGTGATATTGCAGGCGAGACTGGTAAGTCCGAGATTCATCTTCCTCTTTTGAATCCAAGATCTGCGTTACGGCAGGACATTCACTCACAATTGGTGCAGAGATGGCATTTATCAAAGCAGAAATCCCAGTCTTCTCCAACGCAAAGAACTATCGAAAGGACCCCATCGTGCCACTGGTGGTACCTACAGTCAATCCCTCCCACATGGACCTTATTCCTCACCAACGTAAACACTTTGGGCTGAAGAAGGGATTTTTGGTTTGCAACTCGAACTGTGCTGTCATTGGTGTCGTGATTCCTTTTGCTGCTCTCCAAGCCAAGTTTGGTCCTGTGGAGGAGGTTGAGGTTTTCACTGAACAGGCTATTTCAGGTGCTGGGTACCCCGGTGTTCCCAGCTTGGACATTGTCGACAACGTTATTCCATTCATCAGCGGCGAAGAGGACAAGTTGGAAAACGAGGCCCAGAAGATTCTCGGGTCTTTGAACGATGATGCTAGTGCTTTCAATGAGCAGTCTGGCTTACGAATTGGTGCCACATGTACGCGAGTCGGAGTGACTGATGGCCATATGGCCTTTGTGTCTCTTCGCTTCAAGAACCGCCCAGCCCCCAAGGCCGAGGAAGTCGCTCAAGCGATGCGTGACTACCAATCGGAGGCCCAAAAACTCGGTGCTCCCTCAGCTCCGGAACTGGCCATTAAAGTCTTTGATGAGCCGGACCGCCCTCAGCCACGTCTTGACCGGGATATTTCCAAGGGCTACACTGTGAGCGTTGGACGCATCCGTGATGGTGCTGAGGGTGGTTATTTTGATATCCGTTTCGCCGCACTTTCTCACAACACAGTCATCGGCGCCGCCGGCTCCTCAATCCTCAATGCTGAGGTGGCCGTCATCAAGGGTTACATCTAGACGAAAGAATAAGGGTGACTCCGGGGCACGGTCACTGGAGAACCAAGAAGAGATGACCACTGAAGGAAAACCCATTGTCAATACGCTTTGCACAGACGTTCTAGACCATTGATGGAACACTTGGGACATAGAAAACACACGGGCAGATCCCTATCACAAGCTTATCCGTTTTTTTACAGTAGAGGTAGTACTATAGCTCGCTGTCACATGCACTCCGCAATTTACGTCTACGCACTTCTTTACTAGAAGGTTGAGGCGGACTCGCAAGCCCAGCCAATCAGATTGCTAGAATAAAAAATGTATGTAATCCACAAGCAAGGCCGTCCGCCCAGCCCCCGATAAGCCGCGATAGCCTAAGCGGGTCACGCGCCTTTCCCTTTTAAGACTAGCTCATTCTAGGGCACAAACCCACAAACCTGTTGAGCTAAGCGAAACGGTCTTGATCACTTGCGTTATTCGAGCGCTCCTGCATAGTGAATCTTCGACAACTCATCTCCGGTCGACAAATCAATCACAATGGCTCGCGGACCGTAAGTTTTCTGCTGATCTTTCATCATGCGCATGACACCAAATATCGTCACTGGCGATACCGTTGCAATGGATTCATGAAACCTTGAATTTGCTGTTGCGTGAAGAAATTTTTCTCCATCTTGGAGCATGCCACTAATCTTCATGTCTTGATCAGTAAGAAGCACCAAAAGCGCCTCAGTGCGCCCTCGCACTGGCTGTTGGACAAAATGTCCGGCACCTATGCCCCCAAGGCCTCTGCCGGTCCCCACAAGCTCCGCGACTGCCTGCCCCTGATTGTCTTCATCCGTAACCGGTACGAAATCCTGTCGACAAGAAAGCGCAACAGCGCTCTGCTACAAACTACGAATCTGGAATTCTAACGACTTTGTCGAATAGTCTGAAGTACGCTCTCAACGGTCGTGAGGTCAAGGCCATCATGATGCAGCGCCTCGTCAAGGTTGATGGCAAGGTCCGCACCGACACCACCTTCCCCGCTGGTTTCATGGATGTCATCTCTCTCGAGAAGACCGGCGAACACTTCCGTCTCATCTACGACACCAAGGGTCGCTTCACCGTCCACCGCATCCAGGCCGAGGAGGCTGAGTTCAAGCTCTGCAAGGTCAAGCGTGTCCAGCTTGGCAAGGGCGGGATCCCATTCTTGGTTACGCACGATGCGCGAACGTGAGTGCAAACTCTCCTCGAAGTTCCGTATCATTCAGTCGTTGGACCAAGTTTTGGTTGATCAACGGGGGATGAATTGAACTTCGGTAAGCCCGCCGTCGACAAAGGGCAAAGTTTTGCTAATTTGAGCTTTTTCACTATATTTAGCATCCGTTACCCCGACCCTGCCATCAAGGTCAACGACACCGTCAAGGTTGAAATCGCCACTGGCAAGATCGTCGACTTTGTCCGTTTCGACACCGGTGTCGTCGCCATGGTCACCGGCGGTCGTAACATGGGTCGTGTTGGTGTCATCACTCACCGGTAAGCCGCCCTGTGCATTCCGTCAAATCCGACCAAGTCACTAACATCCTGACTACTAGTGAGCGTCACGAGGGTGGTTTCTCCATCACTCACATCAAGGATGCCATTGACAACACCTTCGCTACCCGCGAGTCCAACGTGTTCGTCATTGGCCAGGAGAAGCCCTGGGTTTCCCTGCCCAAGGGCAAGGGTGTCAAGCTCTCCATCTCCGAGGAGCGTGACCGCCGCCGTGCCCACGCCATCGCTGCTTAAGCGTCTCACGACCTCAGCGATGAGTAGTATGATCGCTCATTGTCGGACCCACTGGGGTACTGGCTGTGGGTTGAACATGCTCCAAAAAATAACTCTTTAAAACTGTTGGAAACGGCGTCCTGTCTAAGGGCTTGGATGGTGCTTCTTTTCCGTAGACTCGAACCATAGCAAAACAATCCGGGACGGGATCAACGTCTTGTTTCCGAGTGATATGATACCTATTTAACGTTGACTTTCTTGAATGATTCAAATGAGCGTATTCTTTTTGTTGCTCTTGGACTGTCTACTTGTGTCTCGACTTCTGTTCCACCGACTTGTGATCGCGCTCTGGTCTTAGGAAGTGGTGGCGGTGACATTGTCATCATGTTATGGGCCATTGGACACAGTGCTGCTCGTATTCGCTCTTGGTGCCTCCTGAGGTACGTAGATTTTCAGACCACTGTTCAGTGACTATCACCAGACATACTCCTAAGTATGGGCCATACTGTTGACGCGGACCTCGGCCTCCGTTTCACGCATTTCAGTGTTCCACCCATATGGAGATGTTCAACCAACTTACGGAACAAACGCGTTATTGTAATCCTTTCGAATTGCCGAGTGTATCCTGACCGAGGAAAGAGTCTACAAGTCAGGCAGATAGTTACCGAGCGAGATTTGCAGATTTGAATATGACCTGAAAATTCTCTTAGTGCTGCCAGGCATCGTTACTTGTTATTCACCTACAGAGGTGTTATCCTGATAAATATCCACTTTCCACTACCCCGGATAATGATGGCGGAGGGAATATATTTCGCAAAAGATGAGAAATCACCTTACGACTAGGTAGGAAGTGAGAAGCGATTAGTTGAAGCGTTTAGGTCGATGGCTGCAGTCCAGTATTATCGCCCGTCGTGGCAGACCGGGGGCAAAGGGTCGCTCTGATTATCCGATGTCATTTAGAAGACCGTATACCTAGGTATCACTCTAAGGAGGGCATCATCACTTAAATAAATTACCAAGCCGAAGGTTGAGGTTCCACGTCGTGAGTCTCTGGATAAACATTAGCAAGATAGTTGCTTCAGTAACCATTATTGACCCATCCACAACATTTTGAGTGGCTCGAGACCCAGGGATCATTGCGTGAATACCAGAGCTATACTTTTGGAGGCTCATCGAATAGGCCGGCGACTCGGTTTGTCTATGTTGGACTTTTCCCCGGCACTACTGTGTGTGCAAGACGGGCTCACCCGAACGGAAGGTTCCAGCACGCCCGGCCCCGTTATCCTCCCGTTTCGCCTCCAAGGGGCTGTGCGGACGGTAGAGAATGGGTTGACTAATCACTCAATCATCATACCTAGGTAGGTACTGGACCACAGATTAGACACTGTCACTGCTACGTGAAATCACTTGCGGGTCACTCGAAGATAGAAGCCCAAATCTGATACATCGGGTTTCACGGAATCCCTCGTCGCTTACGCGTTTCCGAATCAGGTCGCCTTCACGAGGGAAAATTTATCCGGAGCTCGGGAAAATTCATGCGAAGCTCTTGTCTGCAGTCTGCACACGCACGATATCAATCGATCGCCCCTGTTTTTCGACTAGTATCTTCAACACAAAGACTTTGTGGAGCACTGATGATCCAAAAATCTTTGCGTGTCTGTTTGTTGCAAGTAATGGGCGATGACTCTATTTGATTATCTGATTCTCGGCTTTCTCCACAAGTGGCTCCCTGTAAGTTCCATCCGAAGATCACTTTATAGGATAGGAGATTGAAGAGATCAGATCTTGAGCAGCTTTCTGAACCCTATGGAAACCCTATAGAAGGAGAGCAAGGTACAGTTTACGCGATATTCAGACGGAATGACAGGAGACGCGGAACCGCCTGAGATCGCATTCATGAGCCCTGGGTGGTAACGAATAGTGCAGATTTCTCTCTCCTCAATGAGCACATTTGCCGATGAGTAGTAGGGTGTACTTGTCCTCTGCTACATACATGCTTCACACACCCATAGCAAATGGTGCAACATGGCCCTGAATTGGTGGCGTCCGCGATTTGTGGCGGGAGAGAAAACCGCCGCCGATCAATCAGACGACTTACAGAGGCAGTATCGGCGGAAGAGAACCTATGTTGCAATAATCTGATCCACAAGTTTCATGACGAACGGTAGGAGATACCTTTAGAAAAGGTGCAAGTGATGTTACACAGGCGAGAAAGGGAGAAAGGCCAAGGCTCTCTGTTCTAAGTCATTGTTTTCCGTAGCAGGATTTGGAGGCCGAAAAGCGGGGCCTCGTACATTCTCGCTCCGATAGCCGTGTGGCTAAACCGAGTGACTTGGTCAAATCAACGACAGACCATATACTGTTGGCATGTTTCCCAGGTGAGAAAGCTCCGTCTGTCATCCTTATATCGTAATCAGAATCAAGCCGTGCCAATGATTGAGGAATATCAAACCCTCCCTCTCTTGTCAGGTCCACCCCAATACTCGGGACGGTGGATCAACCGAGATCCGCTTCCCAGTACCTTGGGCCTGGGACCCCGGGGCCGCTCCCAAACATCTTGTCACCTCGAAGACATTCACGTGGCAGCAGAGCTTGGATAATTTATCCTGCGCGTCGACAAATAGTTACGGTGAGTCCCAATGAACGATAAAGAGTCTTTGACTCGACCAAGACGAGGCAGCCGCTTGATCCCTTGCGCAAATATGAGTGTTGTTCGAACATAATGGAACCGGTAAGAGGAGGTGCTGTGGCGACCGCACGACGTTCCATAGGGGCGGTATAGCGGCAAGAGACAGAAAAATAGTCCATGACTCGGCGCATGAAGGGATGGATGTAATTCAGTGATTTGGGTTTTGTGAAAACCTGGTTGCTTCGCCCTTTCTCTCGCATATTAATCACAGCAAGCGAGCTCCGGGAGAGTACGAGGGCCCAGTTAGCTGAACGCGACGCTGCCCACGACGCCACTTGACTAACAAAGCGACGATCGCTCGACTGACATGAGTCAATCACGAAGGGACCTTCCTTTTTGTGTGTTAGGTTCATGGGAAGATCACAAGACCACAATGTCAGATTTAGATGTATTGTTGTTCATATGGATTTCTAATTGACCTCGGTCATGCCTCACAACCACAGTCCCACACTACTCCGTACAGGTAAACACTGTATGGTTTACACTGTATGATTCCTTCCTCTCGTTATTCGTCATACAAGCGTCGCATAATCGCACCAATCAGTTCCGTCGTCATACAGTCAGAGCTCGCTTCAATTGGCCTGGGCAAGCCCGTTGGAGTGGAATTGTCACAGAGCAGCTGAGAATGGAAACAAAGTACCACTCCTGGCCGCGTTGTGATGGGAAGGATGCTGGGCTGGTTAGAGTTGTCCCGATTTGGATACCATCACGATCATCAGTCCCCGCCTCTGCAACGGACCAGAGTGACGGGGGTCTCGAATCCCACTGGCCGATCGGCCTCTCAAAGTTTAAAATGTCCACTGATTGCGTTACTGGTCGAAAAATGAGGCCGCGACTGTACCACGGAGATGGACACCTCTCCCGGGGACGCGAAATTGGATAGAGTCTTCAGCAGACCTTTGCCCGTGGCAAATCATGTGAGGTGAACAAAAGCAATGTGAACTGCCACCATGGAATTGGAACGAAGGAGACAAACGCGGAGACGCAACTCCGAGGAACGGAGCGCATACAGCAAGTAGTCGTCGGGTCGAGCGCAATTCCGTCCTACTGAGAACCCGAGTCATGATAGTTTCTTTTTCCGACAGGTTCCACGCAAAACGTCATGCAAAGCAGGGGCGTTCTACTGGATGAGACACAGATTCCAATGAAGCTGGACTCCGGTCTGTTTAAGCTTCTTGGCGTCCCCCGGTGGAAGGGTAGATTCGAAATCTTTCCAGGAAGTCCAGTTCTTCCAAAGTATCCAGTTCACCGCCTCCCAACGAATTTCGTCCGGGACCAAGAGCTGACAATCCTGCGGACAGGACGGGGCACACATTGTCAGGCACACGTTCGATATTTCTGCAACGACATTGCCATTCGGCCGGCCGTGGAAGCCCTAACGGGTCTCGGCACTTCCGAGGGACGTACAAGGAATGCAAGCAGCTACCGCAGGCTTAGTGAAGCGTCTTCCGCCAATCCACGAATTTTCACGGAATACGATTGTATTATTAGCATGCACCAACCGAGAATTGACGTTTGTGGTTGCCGCCAGTGGGCCGGGCCATTCTTGCCAGTGGAGACGACTACCACCGCACACTCTTAGTCGATCGGGAAGAGCCTGAGGAGGGGGCGGACAAACTATACGCATGGACAACTGTCAATTCAATAATGCTTCCTGTACACCCCTAAAGCCAGCACCCCTTTCCTCTGGGCCCTCATGCCCATCGACCTGAGCTCAATCAAGTGTCAGAGTGGCGCTTTGCCCCTGCCCATTTTCGGTGAATCCAAACCGTAAATGAGGTGACGGACATTCTGTAGCAATACTATTTACACCGTTTTCCTTATGTATGTCGGCAGTCTAACGTGACAGCACAATAGACAGGGATAAAACCAAATTTGCCCTACCTGAGTCAGATTGCCTTCGGTCCTGTTGAGGCTTCAATTTCCTGTTTCTTTTTTCTTCTCTCCCTCTTCTCTAGTCTTCTATTGATCTATACGCATGAACCCGGCAGGACCCACGGGGCTACCTGGTAGACAAAGGTTTCGGTCTGCTAATTTTCCACTCGCGGGATACTTCAGCAGCTCTTATTCCCCCAAGGTTTCTCTATCGATGCCAGATCCGTCTTCGCTCTAATCAGAAAACCTGAGAGAACTTCATCGAGCCTTGGTTGCAAAGCATTATCCATGATCAAGAAAGGGGTCTTTTGTTAGGCGTAAGAGTACCCAACAACCACTCCTGCCGCCGCAGCCTTATCAAGTCCGTTCATTTCCCCCGACGTCGAGTATTGATTGAGCGCCAGCCTCGACTTTGGACGAGGACCGATCCTGTTCCTGTTCTCGACGTAATCAATTTCATTAATCAGCGTTGCGTCCAGCACCATGCTGTCCACGTGAATGTGAAAGAGCGACCTCGATAACTTCAAGCAGAATTTTCTTTCCAACTTGGGACCAAAACGTTCGGGCATCTTTGAGGCGCGAACTACAGCCATGAACAGCGTCAACGTCTCACGAACGGATTCACCCAGTATCATGGATCAGGGGCATGCCAAGCCTTCTTACCACGCTATCTTCCACGCTGGCGCCGAGTTTCCACGGTTCGCAATATCTTATCGCTGGTGGGAGGACGAGGCTACGGCTGTTTTATGGGCTTTCAATATCCCGGCGATCTGTCAAGTCATTCGCTACGGATTGTTTCGGGACGAAAATTTTCCTCGCAACTCGCTGCTTAGTCGCAATACAGATACCATCGACGCATTCCTTGTGAATCTGGCGCGAAATGAGGAGCACCAACTTCTCGGTAGCCTTTCTCACGTGCAAAGAGTGGAGGAAATCTTGCGGCGATCCCGGATCACGCCCTTCAAACCGGTGGCCTGGATGTGGTTCCCGCCGCAGCCTGGTCATGGTCAGACTGTTGAAGAGGTCGCTAATGCTATCGAGGCGGAGAGTCACCACCAATTCCGGAAGATCGCGTTCGAAGAAATTGTTCGTGCCTCACTTGGGTACAATGCGCCGTCGGTCGAATGGTTCCTGCTTCAACACACTGTGCTTTATATTTACTTGGTCGATCATCTGAGGACATACCCAGAAGAGCTTCCATTATATCTCGCAGTGCAGGAGGTGAGCTCGAATCTGACATGTTTTGTGGACGAATGATTGTGCTCATTTGATACGACAGAACCTGCGCGACCAAAGCCCTTTTGCCCGTCGAGCACTTATACATGCCTTGCGGGCCGTGAACTCAGATGCTGCGAGAAATTTGCCGCAGTCGTTTTCCCCCGGATTCTCCTTCATTGCCGAGCCCGTGCAGGCGTTGTTCAAAGATCAACCGCCAAGTCTGACCACCATCCTGAAAATATTGAGTGTTCTCGCAATTCGATTCAGACGCCGATATGTCCATTGCGCTCGAATGGAGTGGCGCACGCCGCTGGACACGTCAATTCTCTTTCTGGAAGATTGTTTAAACGCGACCTCGCCCCGGAATCTGGCACGGACAATGACAGGAACCGATGAGCTAGATTTTTCGGGGCTAGCTCGTCAGAACATTATCACCAACGACGTGTTTGTGCAGGCAATTTTGACAAATTGGCACGATCTCATCATGTCGGTGTGGGAATGCTGCGTTGCGCTACCAGAAGTCGTCCCGTTCCTGCAAGAATGTACACAAGTCAGTCGATATTCTAACAGAGAGCTTGACGGATCATCGTCTTTGCTAATCTCCGAAACACTAGATACTTCTCGAGACAAGAGATTACCATTCTCTCACAGCTGTCGCCATCGGACTGCAAAGATACAACATCGGGAATGTACAGTCCAGAGGCCTGAACCGCCCAGGAAGCGGTATAATCAATATTGATCCGGTTCTTCCGCCCGAGGTCAATGCGATTCTCAACACGGCCCAAAATTATGCATCTTATCGCCAACAATACCAACAGAATCCAGGAATACCGTTCCTCATACCCCATCTCAGTGAATATCAGCTTCATGGAGAATCTGCCATTCAGGATTTGCTCGGGTATTTACATCATCAACTGTCAGTCGAACCATAGGATATCAGCAGGATTCTTCTCCAGTCCTCCTTGGTTTGGACGCCTTATTCTACGAACAATAATCGGGAGGCCTCTCGTCAATGAGTCCGAGCATCTCACTTTTCAACATTCGAGTACAATTTGTGACTGCTGTCGAGTAACTTGAACTCTCGAGCAGTCCGTTTCAGTCCGTTGCGTCAAGAACGTCTCGGCGATATCACACCATTTTAACGCTTCAAGTTCTTGTGGGATCAAAACGCTTTTTGGCTTCATGTTTTCAAAACGCATGGTTTTGCGTGGTACGGTAATGATAGCGGCACGTGCGTTTTGGAGCTAGGTACCATAGAATGAGCCGGGGTTTACAAGTATCTCTCGTGTGTCCAATTTCACAATCTCGTTCTTTGCCAAAGCACCGCCTTGTTCAAGGGTCAAGGGAGCAGGCGTTCCATACTCCATAGTATGCCCAAGTTAGGCAAACACGCCAACAAACCACGCATGAAGGAGATTAGACGAGTTCAATTCTACTGCCCATGGAATGTTCACGTGCTCTAAGCTGCGCAATGTTGCACATGCCACTTAGTCGGTAAGAGTAGTAGAATACTATACCCAATTACCTCGAGATGACTTGGTGCTGCCTGTGCGTTCGTTTTGATGGAAAAAAGTTGTAATAGATTAATAGATGTAGAGTGCTCAAATCTTGGGACACTTGCTCCATACTTTCGATTCACCACCCCAGTGACCATCGGAAAAAGACATACTTGGCACATTTCGCATGGACTTAGATATGCCCAATCCGAGGCTGTTCGCCGCGCTGACTTACATGGCAAAGAGTCATGCCATTCACTCCTGCTTGCCTTCGGCCTTGGGCACTTTTGCAGTCCCAAAGATTCCCGTAAAGTAGGCCAACCGGTTGACGAAAAGAAAAGCGGTCGCACCGATGTTACCCCATGTCAAAGCATTCCAAGCAGAATAGTCTACGAATGCAGCCCAGCCCAGTCCCATGTACGTGGCACAGACATGGCCAACATCGGCAATGGCTAAAGCGATCAAATAGTTTCGCACCACCTGGGGCTCGGTGGTGGTGTGCAACACAGCCACCCCAACCAGACACAGGAGGGAGTAGAGGTTGCCCACCTGGTATGCCAGTGAGACACTGCTGGGGTGTGCGACGGGCGGTGTCGCCTGAAACGTTTGGCCCGAGATGAAGCTCTCTACATCCACCAGGGGAGCGAGACTTCCCAGGACCCTGCAGTAACGCCACAATGAGCAATTTGACTTTTCTCTCATGCGTCGAGGTGAAGAGACACGTCTTGAACAAGTTGGCGTGGCTATATTGTTTGCTTACAAGGATATCGGTTCCAGCACACCAAACAGGAGATGCGGCCAGGGTGGCAGTATGGTAGGCATGATTTGTGTGTGGACCGAGCCAAGTGCCTCCCGTACAAGACTCGAGCTGTGACCAGGGAAATGCAAGGTGTGGCTGTCGAGTCAGTTTGTGCGCGTAGACTGTGTGTGCTCATACCTACTCGCGGTCAGCAGACTGCAGACTCAGATGTCTGATCACTACTTACAGGGGTGGGTGGTTTCTGGCAGCTTGCAGGGAGGGTAATCACAAATTGCGGACGTAGAAGATTGGGCTAGATAATTTAATGTTACGAGAAAAAAAGGTTGAGAAATTGCAAAATCGAGAAAAAAGACACCTTTATAGTTGTCGAAGCACGATCGAGACCACCACCATCAATTTGCCGAGACCTCTCCGAACCTCTGAAGTCCTTGCTCGCTCTGGATTCCACAGTTGAATGGCTGACGTACGTCGCCGCGCGCCTCAACAGAGAAATCGAAAACTGGAGACGATGGAGAAGCGGTCAAGTGGGCGGTCGACGATCGTGCCAATCTTCGTTTCCATAATCCTCCCGCCAACGTTAACCGTCGCCAGCCGCGCGGGCTCATCTCTCGGTCGGGGGGAAAGCCACAAAAGAAAAGACTGCCGATTCAGTACTGAAAGAGCATCCACCGGATGGGTTCATTCACAGGATAATCAAGAAAGATCAGATAAGCGCCATCCTCCCGGGATGGTCATACCGATTTAGCGGGGCTTGACCGCCAGGGTGAGCTGCAGAAAATGGATCCATCTGGGGGGCCTCTCCGACCTCTCGACGACGCCTCAGTCCGGGAGCTGCCTCAGTTGCCATTGCGTATCGCGCCGTTGCGTGAGCCAGTCTCTTCACGGGCGCTCAGCGCCCCAGCTCCTTTAGAGCCCACCGCCATCGCTGCAACGGACCCCAGTATTCATCCTCAGGCAGCATCCAGCGCAGGAGGAGCAGGAGGCAATCTGACCTCCAACAACCAGACAGACCTCCCGACGGTGAAAGAGTATCTCCACGCCGCACGAACTAAACGTGCCGAGCCCTCTTCGACCGATCTGCAATCCAATGTGGAATCACCACCCAAGCCCATTCTTCCGGCCTTTGTAAACCTGCGCGCCCTAGAACGCTTTCCATTCTCATCTTCCTTCGACGATGATGCTCTGCATGGACCGCGCAAGCGTCGGCGCATAGATCTACAACCGGAGTCTTTTAGCGAACACCTCCAGTTACCTATTCCACAGGCTCACAAGGAGCCTCGTCCGCCGCCATTTGGACCTTTTGCCATTCTCAATGGACTCAACGAGCCGCCGCCCAATGCGGCCTTGCTGCCACCCATCGAGGCTGGCTCTTCCATCTCTCAGCTCCTGAACAAGCCCTCGCGGCGTGATGATGCTCTTGGCGAGGCGGGCAATATAAGCTCCGCGACCCCGACGGCAGGCCAACTTTCGGATGCCCGGCCGTCTGTAGAAAGACCTGAAGTCAGGGGTGCTGAGCGTCTCGCAGCAGGTCTAGTCGAGAGTAATCATCAGGTCGACCATCTCCGTCAAGATCATGTGCTACGCACGCAATTTGAACCTGACGGCCGCCTTGATGAGACCAGACCTGCCCGCGCAACAAAGGTTCTCACGGGGAATGAGCTTAAGCCTCAAGATGCGCCAGACGAGGAAGAAGAGCCAATGTCTCCCAAGACTAGGGGGCGGTCTCGTAAGAATCTGCGAAAATGGACCGAGGAGGAAACCAATGCTCTCCTTCGCGGTGTAGTCAAATGTGGAATTGGTAATTGGACTGCAATCCTCGCTCAGCCTGAGCTCAAGTTCAATAAGCGTACAGCTTCAAATCTGAAAGACAGGTATGATCGATCATTGGCCTTCTCGCTCGAATCGTGAATGTTGACTCTCAATCAAGATTCCGAGTGTGTTGTCCATGGGCGTATCGGTGAGTCCATTTTGGGTGTATTGTTTCGGCATCCGTGAAACTGACAAAAGATGCAGCGCATCTGACCCTAACGAAGCCATCAAGTTGTTGCGAGATCAGCTCGCCAACTCGATGCTCAAAGCTCAAGCCGGCGATTCTACCAACAAGCCCGGCAGTATAACATTACCCCCCCAATGGCTGCTCCCGTTAGACCTGACATGTCCTCCAGTCATGGTAGTACTCCTGGCAGTGCATACACGACCTCCTCGGGGTCTAGTATGTCCCTTGGTACTCCAGACACAGAACATGGTAGTTTCTCTACTGCACAACAGGGAATCACTCCAGGCTGGAAGTCCTCAGTCAGCTCAGATCAATCTCAAGCCTCTCTTGCTTCTCTAGGTCTCCCAGAAGCTCACGTTGCTACGAAGGTCAAACGGCGCTCTCGTCGCCCATTTACAACAGCTGAAGATGAGGCCTTGCTCAAAGGTTATGCCATTCACGGTTTCCAATGGACCCTGATTCAACAGGACCAGAGATTCAACTTGGGTCACCGCAGAGCGACAGATTTACGTGATCGATTTCGAACCAAGTTCCCACGTGCATACCGTGAGGGAGGAACCGTCCGCGGCACCACTCCGAATCTCCAATCCCGGGATGAGGCTAGCTCTGCAACCCCTCATAGCGCTGGACCACATGATCAAGGTTCTCTTGATCCGCCAACCTTGGCGAAGAATTTACCATTTGCACATGGTCCGCCAAAGGCCCTTCACCAGCCGCAGCAGCAGCAGCAGCAGCAGCCCAGTGCTCAGCACTCGAACCCCGTGCCTTTTGAGTCGGCCCTATTGCCTCCACCTCCCAATTACTATGAGCAGCAACCCAATTCCGGGCCTGGAAACTCTACAGTTCCACCAGATGACAATGCTGCAGCAGGAACCTCCTCATGGGAGGATAACACCCTCGCGCCTATGATATGGGATGACCTGAGTTGACAAATTCGTTGTCTCAACAACCCCAAAAGTTCTTGTATCCTGCTTTTCATGATGTTTCTGCACTTTTTGTTCTGTCTGTCTCGGATTTTTTTTCTCTGTTGTTCTTTTTGTGGCTTTCTCTGTTGACGTGTTTATCTTGTGTTTTTGTGTCTTTTTCACCACTCTATATCCCGCAGTATACGATGGCACTCCTTCCAGAACCCTGAATTCAAAAAAATATCTTTATCAACCCAAACCAGAGAATAATTACTTCCCATTGACAAACGACCAGTGGGTCCTTTCCAGCTTTTGACTTGGATCGCCGGGCTCTCGAATATAAGACCCACTTAATTAACGATGAATCCCTTGAGTAAGTCTCGAGAACTTTAACCCCACAAAACGGAATGGGGGTTTGCTGGAAAGTCAATACAGACTCGTTATTGGGAAGAGTACGGCGGCGGGTCATACATCCAGATGAAATCCTAACAGAGAGAGAGCAAGGTTGAGCACGAAGATAGCTGATCAATGGTAACACATGCATAACCCCATAGTGTACACTCATCTCATTCCGTTGAGATTCAAAGAACATCTCAAAATGAAGGACGACCCGAAAAGGATGTTCCATCTTTCGCTATGTGGGGCCGCACAGAAAGAAGCACCTCGCTCAAGTTGCACAGAGATAATGGAGAACAATATGGAAACGTAAGGGCATGATAGAACAAATTTCAAGGACGATTGTGGTAAACAAGGCGGGTTTGGTAATTTACCACGCATTGCGGTCCCAGTTCGGATCTGTACCAGTGGCATTGTAATTAGCATGTGTTCCATACAAGTCCATTGCCGATTTACCGGCTCCTCATTGAGCGCAGCAGGAGTCGATGCACGTACCCTGTATGAAGCTCGCCAACACCTTGCTTCCCGTCTGCAGAAGCGGATGTCCAGCAACAATCTGCAGGAAGCGCTGAAGCCCTTCCCGTCGATGCTCAATGACATCGTCGCTGAATCGGTTGGTGAAAACCTTTCCGGGAAGTGGAGGAATGGTCACTCGTGTGCTCTCGCGCTCCAGAATATCGCGGAAGTACTCGAAGTCGGAGTAACGGCGGCGCACGACAGAGTGCTTCAGCTTGAAGGCGGGAATGTTGGTCCGGCAGACAATTTCATAGGATGTGTACATGTTTCTAGAGGTGCCATGAGTCTGTGGATTGCGCACCTATAGAGCAGGGTCAGTCGATATGCAATGTGCGAAACCGGTGGACTGGTATGGGTTTGGCGATTGACGCTCAGATTGGGGAGAGCATTGAAAGACCCCTCGCATTCTCTCAAAGCAATTCTGAAGATGATGCGACAATACAACCATTTCCGGCATATTTGGGGGAGAATTGACGTACTTCGATCTCAAGGAAGTTCTCCGGGGGGCCGTAGATTTCCTCAAAGGTTTGCTGGCGTGACTCGGGTACCGACTGCATGGTGGGCGGGCACGGCGGACCTTGAGCGCTTGGGGAAATTTCAATCAATATCGAAATAGGCTTCGAGAGCAGGCGACCACAAATTCCTGAGTTGAGTTGAGCGAACGTAGCAGATCTGATCTCTACACTGACAACGTTGCCCGTTTGAATGATCTCCGCACTGCAGCGTCAAAGGAGCGGAGGAGCGGGGGTCTCGTGGGATGTTCACTGTAGTGAGATGACGAATGCGGGAGAATGGTTGATCCGGCCAGCTAGCTCTGCGTTATCAACGGGCGGTCCCACTTTCATGCCGCCTGTCATGATCAGCCATGATCGAGATACACAAAGTATCTGACCACCTACTGAAGCTTGTTAGTCGACACAACTTTCCTCAGTCAGATAGAAACCACCTATTGCAGGCTTAAACTCAATCATTTGATATGAACCGTAAACTCATGATGTATCGACAAGTCACGTGTTACCTCATGCTCAGCGATAGCGAATGGGCTTACATCGCACGTCCTGGTAATTCGCTGCTAAAACACCTGGCTCTTCTGCTGGCTAAGTAGGAAGGTCTTAAGCAAAGAGTGCCGAGGGTACCGCATGGCGTATTCAGTACTTTTTTCATTAAGCGGCCCGGCTGGACATAACCCTCGTCTATCTTCAACATTGACTGAGCAAGACCTGGAGCCAATCCATACCTTTCGTGTGCTATGCTTCTCATGAAAGGAGTTTGGATTGAGGTCACTCGTCTTGGTGTTCAAAAATGGTACGAAAGCAGGCAATCGCCATATTGCTAGTCATCAATGATGAGAGGTATACTACCTACCTACTAGGTGCTATATAGCCTGCAGGTGGCAGCCCCCCGAATTCGTAATGTTTTCAATTGACGAGCTAATGACGAGCTCATAAACTCTGACTATACGCACTGCAACCACGATTCCGACATCAGGATAATATACATCAACAACCCTAGATCGTAGGAGCCCACAAGGTATGAGTGATGCACCATTAGATGACCTTACTAGCAGCACCAACGATGGTAAGAACGTGTGGGCCCTTCGCCGTCATGATCGCTGGTTGATCTGGTAGAAGGCACAGGATGAATACACAGCATTCTGTCTGCCCTTGGCCGGGAACCCCAGATTTTGAACAACTATCACTGCGAATAACAAATTCGGCCGGAACGAGGCAAACAACTGAAGTAGGAGCGAATGGAGACTCGCCAGCAAGCCTCTCTTTACCGCCTACCTATTAGAACTCAATCTATTATCACATTCATTTCAGGTTCTCAAGTTGAAGTGCCACACATCAATCTTACAACCAGCGATCCCGAACAACACAAGATGGCGCCTAGGACATGTGCTCCGGGTCAAAGGCTCACAACCATCCACAAAGTCTTCGGAGAGTCTGGTGACAAATATATGCTGATTATATAGCTTCGAAATCACTCTTGACTATTCTGGGATCTCAAGGTCGTAGTATTCCATACTCTGAAAACGGATCTTGTTTTTTTGTCCAGGGCTCTGAACACACGTGTTAGGGTGTAAGTATGTCCACCGGATTCCGCCCCAGATTTATGCCCCACAGTCGGAGATTAGAGGAGTTAAGTGTGGGATGACATCCGCCGAGAGCTGACCGGACCAGATCGGCGGAACCAGCGGTGACTTGCACCTACTATCGGACTATCGATAAGCCACCCATTGACCCCATCTACCCTCCTCTTTGAATTACACCAGATCGAACGCTTCTTTACAGATCGTCCTCATGGCTTCCTCAGAACGGACATTGCAAGATCAGACAGGTCACCCTGAAGACCCTTCAGTCCGACAGGCGGCTCGGGAGTGGTCCGAAGAGGCTGATGACACCACGGAACCGGATTATCAGCCGAGTCAATCACGGTCCGATGACGATGAATGGGAGGACGAGGCCGACGAAGAGGCCGACGAACTTATGCTAGAAGCTAATGATATCGAGAATGATAATGTTACTTCAGCAACGGGTCAGGGTGGATTGACGCATATCAATCTCGGTGGCATTCACATCGAGTTCAACACAGAGGATATCCAGGAGGACGAAAATGCAGACGAAGATGATGCAATTGTAGTTGAAGACAATGGGGCAGCCAATCCAACTGTCGGTAAGTAGAAATGCACCAACTTCGTCTTTGTCTCTTTGTAAGAAGGCTCCATGGAGAACCTGCTGACAACGCCTGAACAGTTTCAAGGTCTCGAATTTTCCAATTACTTGCATCGACGGGCCTGCGGGAGATCCTCCGTGCCAATGGGTGGCCCCCAGGCCCCGAACAGGATGATGACGACGACGACTACGATGATGATGAAGAGCTTCTTCTCAATACTAGGATGAGAAGAGGTGCAAGACATCGCAAGCCGAGATTTGAATGGCCAAAAGTTCCCAGTGACGAGGGCACAAATTTGATGAATTCTGGCCACTTTGGTACCAATCCGTACTTTGTGGATCGAATCAAAAAGCGCAAAGGGGCCTTTGCATCAAACCTCATGTGGCGAGAACTGGGCATTGGCTCTCACGGTCTGCGCATGAGGACTGACCAGTCTATCTTTCAGGTGCATCTCCTTCTATATTGCCTTAGCTTTAGGCGCCAAGCTGATGATTGTCCTATGCGCAGAGCATGCTACCAGGGTCCCAGGCGGACAAGATTATTCATTTCGACTCCCGAAGTTACTCTGGCCAATTTTCGGACGACGGAAACTTCTTCTTCTGCTGTGAGCAGGACTTCAAAGTGCGGATGTACGATACGTCAAACCCATACCAATGGAAGTACTACAAAACAGTCGAGTACCCATTTGGGCAGTGGACAATCACAGATGCGTCGCTCAGTCCAGACAACCGCTTCCTAGTGTACAGCTCGATTCGCAGTGCTGCCTACCTAGCCCCTACAGACCCAGAAGATGACACGGATCCGAGCCTCCTTGATTTCTCGCTTGCACCGGGGCGTGCGCGTCACTATAGCTTGGAAAGTTCGCGATCACGATTTGGTGTATGTGCACATTCGGAAAAAGCCTCTTAGTTTCCTCAGAAATCAAATGACTGACGCTCAAGGCCACAGATCTGGTCGCTTCGGTTCTCGGGAGACGGTCGGGAAATAGTCGCTGGCACATCAGATAACTCAGTGGTTGTGTTGGACCTTGAGACTCGAACACCCGTATTGAGTTTGCAAGACCGTCACCAACATCATGTGAACGCGGTTTGTTTTGGAGATACCTCGTCCCCACACATTCTATACTCTGGATCCGACGACACAACCCTGCGGGTATGGGATCGACGCTCCATGGCCGATGGTCGCGAAGCAGGCGTCTTCATGGGCCATACTGAGGGACTCACCTACATCGACAGCAAGGGTGATGGTCGCTATGTGCTCTCGAACAGCAAAGATCAGACCATGAAACTCTGGGACCTGCGAAAGATGATGTCGGCATCCAAGGCTGATGAAATTGAACCAAATGCATGGTCCACTGATTTTGATTATCGCTTCGAAGAATACCCAGAATCAGACCGAGAAGCTCATCCTCACGATCATTCAGTGGTCACGTTTCATGGCCACAAGGTTCTCAAGACCCTCATACGATGTCACTTCTCCCCACCTGGGAGCACCAACTCACGTTACGTTTACACTGGCAGCTCGGATGGCCAGGTTTATGTGTATAACATGGACGCCACCTTAGCCGGTACGATTGACGTGCGGTCGGCCACCATGAACTCTCGACCACGTGGACCAGAGACCCTGGCGAATGTGTGGGACATGGGTGGGGACTCGACCTGGAGAACTTGTGTCCGAGATGCAAGCTGGCATCCCAATGTTCCCATGATAGCAGGTCTGTAACCTACACCCTCGTATTGAGATCTGCCGGTCCAATGAACTGAACTGACATGGATGTCCATCATCTAGCAACTTCATGGAACGGCTGGGGATTATCCACTGGAACTTGCACCGTCCACTCATGGAATGATGGAGCTGACAACGATGAAGGAGACCCGCCAATTGGGCGGAACTTCGATCATAAACTGAGACCACTTCCTCATTTCAACAACTATCGTGCTAATGCCCCATCTGAACGCGCACAACGACGCGCCCGACGTCCGCTTCGCAGTCGGCCTGTGGCTCGTACGTATGCCGACGACGCCGAAGAAGGAGACGGTGACTGGTGATGCAAGGCTTGCCAATTTACTACCTCGTCTGAAGCTGAGGGAAGATCAGTGTTGGAGAGGGCCAATTGTCGTACACGTTTCACGCGGCAAAGGTTGCCTCGTTCGTGTCAATATTGCATAAAATGTATTTACTGAATCTCGCATTAGCTGCAAACAAGATTACTTCAACTCTTCACTCATGCTTTTCATGGAATCGCTTATGTCTTTCGAAAGCATCTTCGCCAAGGAGATCGGAAACATGCTTAATATATGAGGTAGTGTCAATAAATAGTTGATCCTATTCGTACAGAGAAAAGGTGGGTGGTATCTCAACAGGAGCGACGATCATGTCCTGGTCACGCTCCAGGGTAAAACAAAAATCAAATGCGCCAGCGGCTGGAAATTGTAAACTCCGCACAAATGGACGTGAAACCTCGGTCTTCGAGGATGAGTGTATCTCCTCGTTAGACGGCGGGTTGTGCTCCGTTACCGCCTAGCGAGCAGACATGCCGAGTTGCCATTAGGGTGTCTGGGTTGTGCCTAGAGACTTCTTTTTTGTTGCGTCTTTCTGGCGCGTTTGCTGGCTCAACAACCTCCTTCCATATCGCATCGTCTGGGGGTTACGCGACTGAATTAGGGGGCTTCTGTCGTCTATGCGCCACCGACCAGGACCTGGTTAACAGGGATGTGGACTTTTGAAGGGGTTAGTTTTGTTTCAAAGCTTGAAGAACTAGGCAGCACAGCATTCATCAGATTGCTAGTACTTACTCAACTTGACAAAGTATCCAATAGCACCCTGAATACCATGTTAGCTCTTCAGTCTTCTTTCATGATTTTGGCATTGATTGGAGGTCTATCGGCGAGAGCATGAGGAAGGAACATACCATAACCAAGAAGCCCATACCAACAGCCTGGCTGATCTTGATGAACTCGCGCTTATCGGCTGCATCGACAATTAGCATGTTGAAGAACGGCCCCGGAACGATCGACCTTACGCTTGGTGCAACGACGAATGAAGAGACCACCCTCACGGACAAAGTCCTTGGGAATATCGGCAAGTTCTTGGAAAGTCTCAGACATTGTGAGGAGTGACTGTGGCGAAGAGAGTTGTTGGAAAGGGAAAGGAGGGGAATTGTATCTTCGGGGTCAAGGAGATCAGCACGGAGTGTAAGGTTGGCGTGGCCTTTCTGGGGTCGGATGGAGTCGCCTCGGGATATGGGTGTACATTGATCCGAAGCGGAGCTTAGCAGCTCTAGTCGCGCTTCGCCGCACCCTTCTCCATCCAACACGATCCTCATTCCATTGCTATTACAACTGGCAACAATAGGCCGTCTGGAGGACATTTTCGTGAATAAAAAAGGCAGTGGGATCTTCTTTGACTGGTTGAATTCGCCATCACCAGCTCTTGTTTTCTCCCTACTACTGTTGCCGCTGCCTGTCTGTGGCAGACGCGCTATTCTCTTCTTCCTGTACTGGGACTCTTTCGTCTGATCAGGTGGACTCGGCCTTTGTGAGCCTCCGCTTTTCTTTCTATTCACTAGGGACGTCTCCTGGTCCTGGATTGTACGTATCACAATGTTTTCTCGTTTCGGTGATTCGGTGGTCTGTGACCCATTGTCGCATTGTTCCATTTCTCTCTCATCTTTGAACAGAGTAGTTTACCTCCTGGTTAGAGCTCTCTTAGGGACCTCGCTATCTTCATCCACCGGCCTCTGAGACTGAGAGGGTTCCTTTTCTTTGCGCTAATCATTTGCTTATGGATACAGACATGTGCTCCTCTTGATCCAAATCAATCTCTCGCTACAAAGCCCTTGAGGGCTCCCTTGTACTATCTCACCTGACGTTAAAGAACAATTGAGGCATTGAATCCCTTCTGCTGAAGCCTGTGATCTCTGAAGAGAAACGGACCATCCACAATGGCTACTGAAGATGATAACTTCGATATTGATATCTACGGCGACGGTGGGGGTTTTAACGGCGATGAGCAAGGTGACGGGAAGCATGACGCTGACGATTTTGACATTGACATTGGGGAACCTGACGCGCAGCCAAAGACAAATGTCCACAATGCTCAGCAGTCCGCTTCCACATCAAAACCCCAGAACCAACCTACTAACTCCACTCCTTCACATGAACCACGCGCATCACAGTCCGGACCCACGGCGCCTCAGTCAAACACCGATCACGCTATGTCTCATGAACAGCGCCCCGCGCCTGATGCATCAGTCGCACCTCACGGCGTCAAGCGCAAGGAATACGAAGATGGGTCATCTGATCCCGATGCTACTTCAGCCTTGATGATATCAGACCTGTTCTGGTGGACGACTGACGATGACATTCGTGGTTGGGTCAACAAGGCGTCCGCGGAAGATGATCTCAAAGACCTAACGTTCAGCGAGCACAAGGTCAACGGCAAAAGCAAAGGGTGAGTCCCCTTTAACCCTCGCCCCATATGTACTGTGCCGATATCAGAGTGCTGATGGTGGTCCTCTACCTGTCTTTAGCCAAGTTTATGTCGAGTTCAACGCTGTGCAAGCGGCTCGAGCAACCAAGAACTACCTTGAAAACGCCACCGACCGCAAGTACAATGTCCAGTACTGCAGCGCTCAGTTCAACCCCTTCAAGACTCTTCCCAAGGACGCTCCGATGCGCAAAGAAGCTTCACGTGGTGGCAGCTTCAATTCCGGGGGCAATCAAAACTTTGGTGGCCCTGCTGGTGGCAATAACGTGCATTCGGGTGGCTTCCGCGGCCGAGGCGGGTACAACAACCGAGGCATGGGCCATATGGGCGGCTACCACAACCGCAACAACTTCAATAACATGGGCGGTTATCAAGGCGGTGCTGGGCCAGCCGCGGGCGGCATGATGGGCGGATTCCAAGGGAACCCCATGGGTGGCATGCAAAACTACGGCTTCAATAACCGCGGTGGTATGATGAACATGCGTGGCGGGCCTGGTGGCATGCGCGGTGGCCGAGGTGGAGGCATGGCTGCTCCTGGCATGATGATGCCAGGCATGAATCCCATGGGCGGCATGGGCATGAACCCGATGGCCGGTGGAATGAATCCGATGATGGGTAACATGGGCGCCAACATGGGGAACAACATGGGTGGCAATATGGGCATGCAAGGTGAGCAAGAAGACAATCCTCTCCATCGGCTTCTAGCTAGCCCGCTCCCCGATGTGTAAAGAAAGACAACATGCTAAATTTTTTGTACTAGGCTTCCAAGGCCCGAACCCAGGATTCAACCAGAATTTCTTCGGCGGTAACCCCGGAGGAGATGGTAATTGGAACCCTCACGGCGCCAAACGTAGCCGCCAAGAGTGATGAAGCTGCTTGGTCTGCTCGACTTGCACGCCAGCTACAACCGCTCTTTTTTGACAGACTTCTTCAGAGTTCGAGACGTGACTGCAAGGAAGCCTTGTTTCTGACATCCCATACCCACCATCTCAGTTCCTCCCCATCTCATCATGGGGTCATATAATTCCCGTCCCAGATGGATTTGATGTCAGCCATGCAATCTTGGGGGGATCTGATCCTTTTGAACACGTATTCTACCACTTGGAATCCATATGGCAGGATTCCGTCTTATTTTTTATGTATTGAAGTTTGACCCGCACCTTTCGCGACCTAGAAGAAATGTGTCCTCCTTGGAATTTCGATGTGCCCTATCATTTCCGAGAACGTCCACGGCGTCGCGTTTGTCTATTGGCGTTATGATTCAAATACTTTTCCAAGCAGGTTCGCAAGGCGATATTCTTTGTGAGGGTTGGCGAAATACGCACTTTGATGCTTAGTGGCGCAGTTGGCTCCAATGTCTAGGTAGTTTTTACCATTGCCACAGGTGCAGGTGATGACATTTATTTTTCCATCATTCGATTCCGCGATTGACAAGTGGCTGCTGCATTTTGTGGAACTCGAGCAGTGCGTAGAGCAGCAATGGCCTGCATTGGAACTGTACTCAACCGGTGGGTATTAAGAGTATCTCTCCGGCGCCACGGTTGTTGTTCCTGGCCGGCGCTGCGAGTAACAGAGATTCCAAACTCGTGGCAGGACCATTTGAGACTCAGAGCAAGCGCTACACTCAAATTAGATTCAATGGACTGAATGTGGACCCTCTGCCTTAGCTTGCACAGCAGATTGACATCTTCAGTCTGGTGCTGGCGCTTTTCTTCTATCCCGAGGGCGATGGGAAGCGCCACCATGTTCGACACTCACCCGGTTATCATCGACATTGAGCTCTGTAAATTGAATACTGCCTTGGCGGGCAACAGGTCGAACAAGAATACCCAGCCTACTGTGAGAAGCTTTGACGACGACTCGGAACTGCATGTCTCACTCGTTCACATTAACTTCTTCTAGGTAACGTTTTGCAGGCCCTACGCGATCTTCGCAAAGGCTTTCTATGTGGTCTGTTTTGATCTCACTGTTTTGCAGGGACTAGGTCGTACCATAATGGAAGAGGAATTCGAGCGTCTGGCGGAACACCTCCAAGAACAGTCTGATGTCACGACATGGACTATTGGCGTGAGCCTTCGAGCATCACGAGCAAGTGACGACAAGCATATGCGCGATGGCCTCTTATGGAAATTCCTTGCATGGTCCAATGCAAGCTGGAGGCAAATGCGCTCTTTGGCTGCTACAACTCCTACCTGCTTGTTGGCCCATGGGCTATGAATATGTCAGATGGAGAGCTCAAATCGACTTGGGCAAGGCCCAGACGTTGCCGAAACTTGAATTTTTTTTTGATCAAGCGATATGAGTATGAAACGAATATCTTTCAGCGGCATCACCAATGGTCTGGCCATTCAATGCTCTCGCTTCGAGTAAACTTAAGACAGATCTATGCTTAGCCTGGGAGTCTTGGAAATTGGGTCTGCGCCAAGGATTGGGTTAAAGTCTAAGAAACATTCATTGTGAAGCTACATAGAAGCACAGAGGAAAATTAGCAAAGACCAAGAACCGTCCAAGAATAGGGGGCTATCATGCTAAGTTTTCTCTTGAGATCGTCTTGAGTAGAGTGTCATGTCCAACTAGATGACTCCAGGGCTCACAATCGAGACGGCGTACACGCGTATGATATCAACTCGGTCGGGAGGTGAATGGTCCCAAGCCTTTCCATCGGTTAATCCGAATCTCGGCGCCTAATATCTTTAATAGTGTCCAACGATTTTGCTCGATTTTAGCATGCTCAGGAAAGATCTGCGTGCTGGACGGAATGTGCGTGACTTGGGCATCAGACTGACTGCTCTCGTAGAGAATGAAGCCCGAGCAAACCTGACCCGACCTGACCCGACTGGTAACGGGCAGGCTTTCTGCTAGAGTGGGCGAGGTAGCTTCGCTTTCGGCTAATCTCAAGAGTGGTGATGGACTGATGTTAGAAGCAAAAGTAGGTTCGGTCCGAAAACCACCGTACTCACTACTAGACTACTACTCACTAATTTAGTACTCCATGTAGGGCTACTACTAGCATGCCAGTCACCTTAGTAATACTTTATCTGATCTAATTCCGATCCGCTCGATGATTCATGGCTTCTCGAGACACAACTTATCATGCGGCACTGCTCTTCCAGACTGGTGCAACTAACCAACTAATATAAGATATCAGAACCGTAGTGCACACCGCATCAACTCTCGTTGACGAGGTCACCAAGAAGGCTGGTACAGAATTGAGAATGTTCAGACGGATGAGCAACACAGGATCACATCCGAAAGTGGTGCGACCTGTACGACGCTACCCCACCATGAGATACAGGATCACTCCACTGAGCACTGGGTAACTGGGAGGTACCACAGTACACTGATGCAGAGGCTGGAACTACGGTGGACTGATGGCGTTGATGAGTACCTCTACTTCTGAGTAACTACCTCCTCCTACGGGCAAGGCTTCAGCATCCCTCCGTTAACACAAGCCATTATTGCCCCTCTCCTCATACCACGAGTCAGTACGAGCTGAGCTCAGATAAATACTAATCCAGAAGATTGAAAGCACCTCCGCCCTCTTCCATCATCTTCATCACCACTCCTCTCCTGCCTGTCCTCAATTCTACTACCGTAACCTCAATCTCACGGAATCTGATCCTCACCAAGATCATATCACCCGCTCATCATCTTATCCATCACGCATCCCAGTCATCAAGATGCCTGTCGAAGAACTCACCAGGTATGAGCATGGATATTACCTAGGACCTATTAACCCAAGACCCACCGCCATCCACAGCCATCTTGTCCTTTTTTTTCTCCCTGCACAAGGCACATAAGCCTTCAAGATTTGGAGACAGGTCTTTCACGCTTTTGTTCAATCAGCCTGCTCACAGACTGTCCATCTAGCATGCAAGACTTCCTGGACAAGGTCCTCAACGCCCAGGGTCCTGTCGTCATCGATGCCTGGGCCACTTGGTGTGGACCCTGCAGAATGGTCGCTCCCGTGATCGAGAAACTCAGCGATGCCTATCCTCAGATCAAGTTCTACAAGCTCGACGTGGACGCAGTCCCCGACGTCTCACAGGAGCTGGGAGTCCGCGCCATGCCTACAATTTTCTTCTTCAAAGACGGCGGGAAAGTCACCGAGGTTGTTGGTACCCATCTTGGTGAAATCGATACCCACGTCAAGGCTTTAGTCCAGGAGTAGTCGAAGGATGGGGTGGACGATTCGTCGACTTCTTCGTCGAGTGAGGATGCCGAGAGTACCTGCTGCGAGTGGATGAGTCGTGCATTTTGGTGGTCTACATTCATTGTTACGAAGAGACGGCATTCAGATTCGTGAAACTCTCGGGGGCCTCCACTAGCCCGACCATCATTCAAATCTCAAGCTTTGAGCCAACTACACAGGCCTCTGAAACAATCGCACGTTCCCGTTGTTGTAGATCGTCTGGCCGAATGGCATTCAAAATCAACAAGGAAATCCCTTGCCCAGTGTATCCTGAATTATTAATACTTGGATGCACAAGCGACTGGACGCTACGTCATACGAGAGGGGTCACACGGTGCAAAATGTATAACTACACTGGAGTTCCGAACCAAGTGATACAATCTTATCCAGTCTATAATTTGAAGCCCAGAAGCTGGCTCATGGCTACTGCGGCCGCCGTGGTACCTGACGTGGAGGGTACAGCAGTGGGGCCAAGGACTTTCTGAGACCTTGCGGGCTGGCCATTCGCTCAAGGATCTACCTGAATCTTTGATGGAGTCATTCATCCAATCTGGTCGGGCTGAGGCAAGGTATGATCGATAGTTACGCCTCGGACCGCATACATAGGAGGAAGACGATGGAGAAGGGGCAACAAACCAGTCAATTTCAAGTCTTGAGTGTGTAGACATAAGGATGTTTTTTCTACATTTAGCAGCTGGAAGATGCACCAGTGCGCGCGGCAGTCTCATAGTTACTCGACGGGCGGATGGTGACTGTTCCCTACAAAGAACTGAGAAAGTCACACACTTCGAAAAAGCGCAGGCAGTGCAGCGCTGATGGTCGCGATGCGCACTCGCCGCAAAGCAGGCAGAGCGAGGGAAAAAAATACTTCAATCTCAGTTCTCGAACTAGCCGTTCGACCCAGCATGTACTTGTGATCGTGAACTTGATGAAATTTTTGATTTTGTTTCATTCAGGGGAATCTATGCAGAGGCTCGAGAATAGGCCAGGGCAATCGGAAAACCCTATCACGCGTTGTCTCATGCAGCCAGAACGGTCTACCTTCCCACCTCCAAATCGAGGCTAGGTGAGAAAGAAGCCGGAGGAAAAACCCAGTTTTGTAAGAAAACGAACAACACCAAACAGCCTCGCGCACCAAAACCCAGTAAAGCCACACGAACGGATGGACCGTTTAGATGTGGGTGTCGTAGGGAATGGGGACAACGGTCTCGGGGGCGTTGCCAGCGGCGGAGACGAAGTGGCCCTCACGGGGACCAACAGCCTGGCGCTTCAAGTGAACGTGGACACCCTTCTCCTTGGCCTCGCGCTTCTTGAGGGCGTTCTCCTTGACACGGTTGATGAACTCCTCACGGGAGCGGGAGTGCTGGACGTGCTCGATGCGGACGTTGATGCGCTTCTCGAGGTAGCGGTTGTTGACACGCTTGTACAGCAGGACACCGACGGAGGACTTGGTGACGTTGTAGACAACACCGGTCTTACCGTGGTAGACCTTGTGGGGCATACTGTGCGAAGCAGACTTGGGTTAGTATTCGAATGGGACGGGGCTCATCGTGAAGCGGTGGAATTGAGAGGCGCTATTTCGCATAGCGGGTTCGGGTGGGATGTTTCGTGCAATGGGCGGAGCGAGAATTTCGAGTGTGTACTGACCCCTTCTGGACGGCACCGTTGACCTTCACATCGACAATATCACCGACACTGGAAAAATTTCGTCAGCGTACCATTCCCCATTCAAATCGTATCAAAGATGCGTGCTTTCGCAGAGGATTCGAGCGTACCGGTAAGTCTTCATGTAGGTGGACATACGGATCATACCGTGTTCCTTGAAGTTGCGGCTGAAGGCATACTAGAAATTCCCCTCTCATTAGTATGCCGGTCTTGATCGAATAGACACAAATTTTCGAGTGCATGGCCGTTGCGTCGTCGGGCGGGAAATTGATGCGACAAAAAATCGTCGGGCGAGGCAATTCAAACGTACCCGAGTGCCGGCGCGCAGACCGTACGAGTGAGGCATGACGGCGGTGTTGTGTTGTTGGGCGTGGTGAAAAGTGTCGACAACGAGCTTCCTTCCTCGAAATCCGTGTAAGTTGAAGCGGCAATGGATTGTGGTGTCGGGGCGCTTACGTGATAGGGCTGTGCCCTGACCCACGGGCCACATCGGGACTAGTGCACGTTCAAGCGAAACAACCTTCAATCGCAAAGTCGAATATAGTGCGACTTCTCATCAAAGTGATCTTTCGACAATCCCGCCAAACCAGGACACCCAGCAGCCATGGCTCCCGCTCCGTGAGTATCAAGAGCCTCAACATGCGCAATCGCATTATTCTGACTGATTTTTGTCGAACAGCCGTGTCTACTCCAAGACCTACAAGGTCCCCCGTCGTCCTTTCGAGTCCGCCCGTCTGTTAGTACTCTCCGGCCACTGAGTAGAAGCGTGCTTCTATTCAAGTCGTATTCGATATTAATTCACTGTTCATAGTGACTCGGAATTGAAGATTGTTGGCGAGTACGGTCTGCGCAACAAGCGTGAGGTGTGGCGTGTCCAGCTCACCCTCTCCAAGATTCGTCGTGCTGCTCGGTATGTCTTTTGCGAAAAACACAAATCTCTCTGGCGATCGCAGACTCTAGGCTCCGCGCAGTCGGGCGGAGAAATCTTCAACGGTATTGGGCAAATGCTAATTTTCCATCTTCCATCCTCTAGTGAGCTCCTTACTCTCGATGAGAAGGACCCCAAGCGTCTGTTCGAGGGTAATGCCTTGATTCGCCGTCTTGTCCGCATCGGTGTGCTCGATGAGTCCCGCATGAAGCTCGATTACGTCCTTGCCCTCAAGGTCGAGGACTTCTTGGAGCGTCGTCTCCAGACTTGCGTCTACAAGCTGGGCCTTGCCAAGTCCATCCACCACGCCCGTGTCCTCATCAAGCAGCGTCACATCCGCGTCGGCAAGCAGATCGTCAACGTCCCCTCGTTCATGGTCCGCCTCGACTCTCAGAAGCACATCGACTTCTCCCTCACCTCGCCCTTCGGTGGCGGCCGCCCCGGTCGTGTTCGCCGCAAGAAGGCCGCTGCCGCCGCTGGTGGCGACGGTGATGCCGAGGAGGAGGATGAGGAGTAAATGACTCGCATCCACAAACGAAAATTGGGAGTACGGTCGGGTTTCGCTTTTGGCAGCTCAATTGTTCTGGGAGGTTCCTGGTGACTGCAGCATAAAGCGCTTCATGTTGTATGATCACGCAAATCAAAAAGAAACAATCAAACAGCCTCTATGGCTTCAATTCGGAACTCGAGCTTGAACTGTGTCTTGGAAAATTTGCACCCGGGTAGTAAGGCGGCTGATCTGCAATGCAATTTCACGTAGACTTGGCCGGTAGAATAATTTGGGTCACCCGCGCATTCCAAAAGCCATTATCTTACGCTAACTTGGTAGATCCGTGTGGAATATCTGGGGAAATTTTTGCACTGGTTTCACAAAGCCCGTCCAGCGGAGCCTAGGTCCCAAGGACCTGGTTCATAATTTGTTCTGCTCCCTTGTACCACCGTCCCATCTCTTCCAAGCCATCACTCTCGCCCTGTTCCTTCTTTCGTCGAGCCTCCCTGGCCTGGTTGATGGCCTCTGTTTTGCGTCGCTCCAGAACACTGCACTCTCGCTCAATGGCTTCTGCCTCTCGGGTTTTTCGAGGGAGTGAGTTCTGGACGGCGAGGATTTGGCGATTCAGCGCGGCCAATTCTGCCTCCCTCTCCGATAATAGTGCCAGTGTCGCAGGCAATGGTAGGTTTTGTGATGAGCGCGGGTCCGAAGAAGTCATGCCGGCGACCTGCTTTGCGCGTAATCCTGCAATTGTAGACTCCAGATTCTCAATTGATTCAGGGAGGGACGAGAGTTGCGCCATTTGGGTCTCTACATTCTTGTAGCCTACGAAACATGCAATTCGCGTCAGCATATCGCATAAAATCCATCCTACCCGTGTTCGGCAAGCTACTTACGGCGTGCCAGCTCTCGGCTCATGGTCTCCATTTCCTCAATCATCAGCCGGGCTTCTTCCTTGCGTGACTTGAGCTCGGCTTTCACCTCGGCCAGCTGACTCTCCAGTTCCACATTTTCATTGTGTCCCACCACCAGCGGCGGATCGCCCACAATGGCTCTGAGAAATTTCTCTTTGGTGACTTGCTCAAGGTAGGAAAACCGTAGTTTGGAAAAGAGTTCCTGTACAGCAATAGAAAAAGACCACAGTCAGTCGACAATGTACCAAAGCTAGGTCTGGGCAGTGGGCACCGCTGGCTTGCTTACTTTGTAATGTGTCAGATCAGACTCGAGAGACGCTGGTGTGGGATCATTGAGATTTGAAATTGACACATCTGAACCACGTTTTGACGGTGAGAAGTCTGTGTTGCTGACATCAGAGATCGGCTCGCTGATGCGAATAATTGTGAGTTGCTTCTTGAGGTCGCCCTGCTCTCGTTCGAGCTGCTGGAGTAAGAGCTGAGGGTCCGCCATTCCAACGGCTTGCGATTACGTCTGCCGCTATCTCAAGTCGTCGATAAGATTGTTCTTGCGACAAATGTTGAAAGCGTCGGGTTTCCGGCGCGCGTGGGCTGCATGGTTCGCCTGGGGCTAAACATTCGGATTCCTCTCTATCGCGACTGATAACGGCGGGGGCCACCAAGGCGGTCAACACCACTTCGAGTACAGAGCCGCTCCCATAAACCACTAATGTTGATCTGTAAGCAAGTGCTCCAAGGGTCTGGACCCTTACTTAATGGATCACGTCAATGAGACTGGTCGTCCTCTTCCTAACACTCTTCCATTGCCGCGTAATCGAGCAATACTGAGAGGTGCAAATACCAACTAGACATGAATCGAACGGCATGTCCAAGATGACCGGATCTATAGTACAAATTAACGAACTACCCAGGGCGTAATATATCTCCGGTCGGCACTCGCCTTATCCTCCGGGCACCTCAGCTGAGGGACTTCAAATTGGACAATATTCTGAAGTTTCTGTGTTCCAACTAGACGTTCGCAAACATTAACATGACATCGCAAAATCATACACTGAGAAATGATATAAAGACACCCGGCGAGATCCTTGCGACACCACCTATCCATGGGATGTCAGGTGACAGCCACATGATGAATGTAGACCCTCCGGACTACACAATGGCCCGCGGCGGAACGCTTATCGATTTCCACTAAGAAGGTGGGACCCGCCCGTCCGATAGTGATTGCGCTTTGCTAACATCGTCGAGCAGCCGAAACTTAACCTCTCGATTTCGAACAACACATCACACTCATCGTCAAGCATTGGGCAGTCGCCTTCCACGTCTTTGCCTCCATACAATGATTTAAGCACACAGAGCTTATTGTGTATCATTACTCTGCCTCGGACACTCGACTGACTTCGGCATGTGATATCGCACATTAGCCATGGACGACGACTATGTTGCGGAGGTCCTTGCGCGCGAGGCGCGCGACACCTCCAGGAAATATCAGACGGAAGGACTTGCCGCGTATATACCACGACGGTAATCATTCACTCTAACGATCTTATTGTCAAAATTCTCGCTCGTATTTACTCATTCGTTCATCTTCCTAGCCCGACGAATGACGCCCCCAAACCGAACACCCGCTTCCTGCGACATCTCATCAAAGAATCAGAGAGCCACAATTCGGCACTCAAGCGCAAGGAAGAGAAAGAGGCAAGAGACCGTCTGCGTCATCTTCACGGCCGTCCCGAAGAAAGACCAGTATCTAAGCTTGCCCCCTCGTCACAGAAAAGTCGCGATGTACCTGCTGGCACATCGGCCGCGGACAGAAAGCGCAGAGATGAACATCTTGATCGCTCGAGGCAAGACGAGACTGAGGGTTCTCGGTCTCAAAGAAGACACCGACCACGGGAGTCATCTCTCCAACGAGAAAAGGATCACAGTCGACGGTCTCGCCCTCGAGACGACCACAGCCGCTCATCGCGAGCTAGTCACGGGCGACGGGACGGGGATCGCTTAGACCTTGGACGTGAAAAGGATCGTCGGGAACGTCGAACATCACATGATGGCTCTGGCAAGATACATCATTCGCGATCGCGTAGTCGATCCCCGCGGCGAGACTCCTCTTCTGGTTCCCATCGCCGTGACCGGCACCGGCACCGGCACCGATCTCGATCTCGATCTCGATCTGGCAGACGTTCGCGTTCTCCATCTTCCAGATACAGACGGCTGGAACACCGATCGGAGCATGTGAAGCATAGGAAGGATAGAATCGGAAGCGGAACTCGGTTGTCGCCGATCATGGGAGCTACTGATTATCGGGACCAGCCTACGGAGTCGTCACGCTCAACTACAGTCGTCCCTCAGCCAGCTGTAGGCGCTTATTCGGAGGACGACTCAGACCCCTTGGAGGATCTTGTCGGGCCGTTGCCTCCCCAAAAGGACGGCCCCATTCGTCCGCGTGGTCGAGGTGCATACAAAGCCAGCGGAAGCAATATTGACGCGCACTTTGCGCCCAACTACGATCCGACCCTCGACGTTGCACCCGAGGACGATCCCGAATTTTCCACAAACAAGCCCACCCGTCGTCCTGTTTCCGGTCTCATGACAGCTGAAGATGACTGGGATATGGCCCTCGAAGCCCTGCGTGATCGACAAAGCTGGAAACAGAGTGGTGAGGAGCGGCTACGTGCCGCTGGGCTCAACGACGAGGTTATCAGTCGGTGGAAACAGAATACAAGTGTTTCGGGCGCAGGCGATCCTGAAGCAAATCTGGACAACTTTCGGTGGGCGAAGTCAGGCGAAGGTCGTGAATGGGACCGGGGCAAGGTCGTTGACTCGGATGGTCACGTTGAGGTGCGCCCTACCTGGTGACGCTCTTTCAAGTCATTTTGATGTAGACCGTTGCATACAGAGTTAGCATTGCATATATCACCATGATATTGATATCTCAGACTGCATCTTTACTTGCAATCATGACTTGTATGTTCGAACTCCGTATCAAGGATGGCTTGTCTGCGCATAGTCAAGAGAGGAAACATGGGGTTCTGTCTTGAGCCTTGTCTCTTTGGTGTCTCTCCGAATTTACTCAAGGTCAGGAAAGGGACCGAGCCTCTCATTATCGATTGTCGATACCTCGCCTAGACGTGCGTGGATCAGAAGGCAGAAAGCACAATCCCGCCGCGTGGTCGTTTCTCTGTCAGTGATGCTTAGTTACTTCAATTGGCAACTCGATCGATTATTGGATAAATAAGCCCCGCAGTGCGGAACAGTGCCGCTCTAGTTTTGCTGAAGATTGTCAGCCACGACCCACGGACTCCCGGGATGCTTATAGATCAGTTCCTTATGCTTTGACGTGCAAGCGGGTCACTGATTGATAAGACAAGCAAGAGACTGTCTGCTTCCCCACGCTCGTGTCATATTCGTGCACTTACCATCTCTACAAGATTTCCTGAACCCTTTTCGAATTGTGAAATCGCGACGAAAAGAAACTAGATCCTCAAGATCCCCAACGACGGCGCACCGACTGAGAATCAGCATCGGTTCCTCCGCTACATCCATCCGCAGTCAAAGTCAACATCCTCAAAGTCTACTGACTACCATGACCGACCAGTTTGCCTACTCCTACCCCTCTCCCCTGGCGGGATATGAGAATTTGGAGCCTCTCTCCGAGTCAGTCTTTGTCCACGTATATGAATCAGAATATGCAGGCTCGACAAGTTTGGCGCGGTCTCCCTACCACGCTCTTTGGACTCTGGCACTGATTTGATGGAAATTTGACCAGAGAACGTAATGAAGATGGCAAATCTCTCGTTAACCGGCAACATGGAATCTTAAGCAAAGCCTATGAGGAGTTCCCCGATCCGTTGTGCAAAGGACTTCGCGGGGGATTCGACATTCATATTTATCACTACCAGGTATGTCCGAAATTACTTATTGACGCGCTGTCTCTGCTATTTATGGAGAATTGAGCTGACCCATCACAAAAAGACCAATCCTGAACAGGCCAAGTTTGCGCGAGAACTCTGGGAGCGTATCCGGCGTGAGTGTAAGTCACGGTCTCTCCCAAAACTCCGGCATTGTACCACATGAATATCTGGACAAATCACTGTCGACCGAGCCGCAAAAAGATGTATGGTCCTGTGATCATTCATCCATTGACCACCTCAACTGTTTCTAGTCCCTGAACTCCGTATCTACACCTTTTTCGATCGACCCATCGGTCCGCACCCCGTCGCCATGTTCGAAGTGAACTTGTTTACACCTGCGCAATTTGGTGCATTTGTTCCCTGGCTTGTAATTAATCGCGGACCGTTGAGTGCGTTGATCCATCCGAATACAGTGGATGAAGAGGAAGAGCGGAATCATACCCAACGGGCCACATGGTTGGGGGAGCGAATTCCACTAGACCTTCGGCTGTTTAAGTTGATGAAGGAGAAACAGAAGAAGGCGGCGGGGGAAGTCCCGAGAGAGGAGGCTTATTGAGGCGATGGAGATTGCATCGTTGGTATTGATGTATCAGAAGACTGCAGGATAATTCGACAGAGTTCTCTTTGGTTAAGGTTGTCAGGATGGGGGATGAAGAACTGTGTGTTTGCAATAGGTAGTAGGTACCTACAAAGAAATCAATTGGGAATGATCCCAGACCGAGTACCTCACTAAAAGGGTCCTGTAGTGACGGGTAAGTGGTAACTACTACCTATGATTCAGTACTTACTATCTACGATCTCGTACTTACTACCTACTTTTGACTCGGTATCCTGGTTGGGGAACCGACTCGAAGCAGATCATACATGGATGGCGCGGGGAGTTAGATCACAGAACGTCTGGTTGTGATCAAGGGGAGGTGCCACTGCCTAGTCCTCTTCCCTACTACCTAATACCTAGTTTTACCTACAGCCCATGTCTGTCGAGAAAGTGAGACCACCATTGCCTCGACGCGAAGAATCGAAAAAAAAAATGCCAAAAGCGTCAAGTCCAGGTAGGACTGTCTAATGTCTGTTCCACTTCCAGATGTCACAACTGAATCACCTGCCAAGACCGTCGCGGCCTGACTTGACTGGATCAAATCAGCAGGTCACTGGCACATCGGCACTGAATGAGCATCCCCGCCCACAGACTAATCACATGCACCAGCGGTTTGTCAGACCAGGTCATGTGCTTCTGCAGATCGGACGGCAACACTCGAGACGATACACTGATGATCACACTTGCATGTCCCGACGAATAGTGAATGTCCTCGCACCGTGTCCAGCACTCATGCTTAATTGGTACTCGGTGGACTATCCCCGTCTGGCAGCCTGAACTTGGGCCATGCAGAGCTGGGAGTCGAGATGACCCTGCAAGTCTGGTCCCTGCAGAGAATGACGGATGGAATGTGCCTGTCTCGGAGGTTTATGATGGGTTGGACGTTTGCATCGCATCGGGATGTCTCCAGCTGCCTGCAGGTCTTGAGGTAGATGATCTCGCCATTGTGCCTTGAAGCTCATGACCCAGCGACTGGTGATTTGTTTGGAGTTGGGGACGTTTTGTATAAAGTTTTCAGGGTTTCCGTTTCCCCTTGCTTCGTGGGAATGTCGATTCCACGCACCCATCACGGCCTACAATTTCATTATAGAGCAACAGGCTAGAGACGCTGGTCACTCCTGATAGCGGCATTTCAGTCATTGCGGTAAGAGACGCAAGGAAGTAAGATTGTATCGAAGATGGACCAAACTGATCGGATGCCCTGGACAACAGTGAGAACTCATCCTCACCCGTCATGCACATACTGCTGCCATATTTAGCAGCGCTGGGTCTGTTAGCAGTGCCTACAATCAGCGCCAGCGTCACCATTCCAACATATGTCTACGACTATGGTGGGTGAATCCCCCCAGTTGGTGTCAAATAGAGAGAATACAGCTTACCTGCTCACCCATCCCCCGGCTTAGCTCCTCTCGTATGGCTACACAGTCAAGATGCCTACCGGCCCAGTGATCTTCAGGCTCAACTGGACAACACTACTCCCGAGGTAGACTGGAAGCCAGTGCAGGGCGCTCCTTCACCCCTCACTTTAAACAACCTTGACCAACTCAACAATCTCGGCAATACGAGCGTTTACTTAACCTCGCACGAAGGTATCGCAGCAAACCCACAGCCAGCGTGGCTCCGGGGTGTAACGCCCGATGCATCAGGCCGAGCTGGGAATATCACTGCGTGCGCAATTGTGGTGGTTGACCATGGAGAGGGCAATATTGATGCATTTTATTTCTACTTTTATGCGTGAGTGGGATCAGATTCAGATGGATATATGCTGGCCAGACAAACTGACTGAAAATCCTCCAGTTATAATAAAGGTGACAAGGTGCTTGGTCTGGAATTTGGGGATCACATTGGTGACTGGTATGTATTGGAACGACTTGTGCAGATCCGGGTCGACTTTTGCTGAAATACATCGGACAGGGAACATAACATGATTCGCTTTGCCAACGGCACTCCACAAGCTCTCTGGTACAGCCAACACGCCAGCGGTCAGGCTTTCACCTACGGTGCAGTAGAGAAGCAAGGCAAACGACCACTCAGTTATTCGGGAAATGGTACACATGCCAACTATGCCATTGCAGGGTTCGTCACATCCAACCCAATTCAACCATCCTCTCTCTTATCAAGCCGTGTTCATGAATGTGAATGTCGTGGAATATCTCACTGACCATGCTTTTCTGTTCCTTTTTCCCAGTCAACATGACCATACCATCCCCGGCATCAATCTTCCGGTAGGCTTCCTTCTGGATTACACGGATCGCGGTGTCCTCTGGGACCCCACTCTCAACGCCTGGAGCTACACTTACGATCCCAGTACCGCTGTGTTCACCCCCTCAAGTCCAGATGTTCCAGCGGCCTGGCTGGATTTCAATGGCATATGGGGTGATGACCAGCCGCCCGGCGAGCCATCCATCTTTGGGGAAGCTGAGTTTGTGGCGGGACCACATGGGCCAAAGTTCAAGGTCTTGAACCGGACGCTGGTGTGTCCTTCGAAGCCTTGTATTGTGCTTCCTTTTAGGATTTGGGCAGTCTAGAGGGTGGACTCGCGGGCTATCATATGTCTGTGTGATTTTGGAAAAGGGTACCACGTGATTGTTGTGTTCGATGCCTTTTGATAGAGTTGGCAGTCCCCCAACGTGACTGACTATATGCCGTATTCGATATCTACAGCCACCTCATGAACGTGATTGATTATAAGGACTTGAAGTTTCTTTCGTCAAAGTGATAATATTGCTTCTTGGTTTTACGCTTGTGGCAGCTGAAGGCTCATGACAGGTATCTCGTGCCCGTGCCAGATTGGATGTACTGTACATAATGAACAGATACTGACCATCTCACGAGTCCATCCTCTCCTGTGCTGCTGAACCAAGTCCCTATCAGTCCATCGCCCCCCGATCACATGCGGCGGGGCGGCACGCCCAGCGGACGGCTGATTCATTCTTCGCAATTCCTGGACATGCTTCTTTTCTGGTCATGAATCAGATCTTTTGCCGGACACACCTGACACGACGGATCCCACCCAGTACACCAAGAAGGCCCAGAGTCTGCGACGGGAGGTGCGCTATGGAGCCTGGATCTCCACAGTCACCAGAGGCTGTCTGTACGCTGTGCAGACAACCATCAGATCAGATGGAAATTGTCTTTTGGTCCCAAGCTTCAAGACGCAGATTGATTGATCGACTCGAACGCGTCAACGTCAGTCAGATTAGTACCGGCGGGCTTCAATCTGCGCCTGGTATTTGAACTATGTGCGGCTGGATCTGCTTCACATACAGACGGCATTTCGGACGACACATCCACGATCCAATGCCCCGACCGCCTCCTAGCTTTATTTGGTCGGGGTGATGATGTCGAGACTGGCAATGACATCAACCGGAATGAAGCCTGAGCCAGGCAACACGAGTCCCCTCCACTCCTGCACCTGGGACCTGACACCTGCACAGCGCTGATCTCCGTGTGGACCTGCAATGCAACGATCCCGTCATCAAGCATCGCACGTGCGAGCGCGCCTTTTCAGGGGCCAAGATTTTTGGAGCTCCCGCTTTTCAATGGACCTCCCACCGGAGCCTATTGTTGCCCAACGGCATTGCACGACTGTCATACTGGCCGAGAAAACTTCGAATGCGACTTGGACATCAGAGGCTCTCGTGGAGTGATAATACACGACGTATTCAATCGTATCATCTGACAATCAGATTCACCCAACGAAGTCTCATACATCAGGCTCGACAAACCCACCTTTACTGTCCTTCTAGTCCAGAGTTTGGCTCTTCGCCCGAGGCGGGTGGATCTGACCCCATCGCAACCGTGTGGCGGACAACCAAACAGCGACGCGCTCGAACGGACGAGAGCTTCCAAGTGGGGGGGGCGCTTTGGGCTTTGGGGCTCGGAACCACGCTTGATCGGGGGTGTTTTGCTTTTGGTTTGCTTAACCCCTGAAAATCCAAAGAAAAATCGGGAAATGAAGCGGGAAGAAAAACAATGGGAGTACTCACGACTCCGCGCATGGAGCACAGGATCATTGCGTCCACGCTGACAGACGTAAGTGACTGATTTCGGATACCCCTGGGTCTCCGATGGACAAAGACCCTGTAAGGCGTCTTCCTGAAAGGCCATTACGGTCAGTTCCTGATCTGTTGCAGCATACTCAATACTGTCTCCTGGCCGACATGATAAGATGAGCATCCCGAGGCAGTAACAGCGGAGAAGAGCCATCAAATCGAGCGCAATTCCTCCCGAAGTAACCAGCTGTTGTCCCTATTTCGTTCCCAAATTCCCAAATCTGGAGGAACCGCACCGTAGAAGCTGCAATTCACATCGTAATTGGTCCATTGCTGGCCCGTTCAGTCTGGCCGGCACGCTGTTTGATTTCCTCTTCGGCGCGATTCCCCTCTTCCCATCCAAGCTGTATCCTTCTTCCTTTCTCCTATGCATTACTAGATTCAGACCGTGCGCGCGCGTGTGTACCGGCCATTTCGCAATCCTCACAACCCGACTTGACCAGGACGACAAGGACGCCAGGTCTACGCATCAGTCGTGGTCTCACTCCGTTTCGTGCATGCTTTTCCTGACCGCATCTTTTTCTCCTCCTGAACATCTCCTGAGATTGGGACGCAACGAGATTCGCGCCCAGAAAACGTCCCTCGTCTCCTGATCGCAGTGACTGTTGCTCTCTGTAGAGTCGACATCGGCAATTGAACTCGAGAACCCAACTTTCATTTGGTGGCTGGTGATCTTGCAAAATTTACACTGACAGTACCGATTGCGGCCGTCTGTGTGCGATCAAGCGTCTCACAGTGACTCCATCCATCTAGCTTACAAGAACTCTCTTTGGCAAGCCATCCGGCTCAGATTCTGGATCTACTTTCTTTCCTTTCATTAGCCTCTGAAAATACAGAATTGGACGCCTCGATACGCCTATCGCGACTTGCACCTTGTTCGCATCGACTCTATTCATCCCACGTGAGTCCCGTTGCCCCTTACTTGGTTCCTGAGCTGCCATCGATCGGGTGGGACACCCTTTCCAGACTCCGCACGCGGGGAAGAAGAAAAGTCATTCGAAATTCCGTGTTCGGGTGTTTCTGCGCGATTGTAACATTGAAAGCCACTCATGAACTGTAAGACGATGTGTGGGACTAATAAGATGATCCTGAAACACAGATCTGAAGATTTGCCTCGAGTCATTTCCGGCACAGTGGCGAGTGACTACGACCGTTTCCAGTGTTTACTCCGCACCCTCCGCCCACGCAGCACCCTCCTAGCCTGAAACAACACCATACAGCAGGACCTGCCCAAAATGGCTACGCCCACTTCCACCCACGCGCCGTCTGACGCATTGCTCGCCGATAACAATCACCCTGCCCGTCGTAGCTCCCTTGGATTCCTCCGCCGTTCGAAATCGACGGAGCCTCTGGGGGAACGCAAATCCTCAGGCAGCCGCAAGAAAATGAACAAGACGCAGGCCATGGAAGATGAACTTCGCCGTCAACGTGACGCTTACGCTCCAAAGAACGCCCCTCGTTTGCCTGACCTAGCCTCCACACCCCAATTGGAAACCTTTGGAGGCGAGGAACGTGATACTTTCGCAGCTCCTCCCACGATGCCTCGTCCCCAGTCCGGTACTGCCACCCCAAGCATGTCAACAAACTCTCTTTCTCAGGCCGTGGACCCATATGCTCGTACAGAGAGTATGACCCATCGTGGCCGATACAGCTACGCGAGCAGTGCCATGAGCAACATCAACAGTCCCCGTCGGATTCGTCGTCGCAAAGACCCCACTCCTTACAAGTAAGTTAACATTCCGTCCATGTTCCCAAGGTGCATCACCCAGACCTTCCGCCCACACCATCCTGGTCGGGTCAATTGAAGAGACACTTGTGTTGGACTCAAGGCTGACCAAGAGTCTGTCAGTGTGCTGGTCGTTGGAGCGCGCAACTCTGGCAAGACGTCATTCCTCAACTTCCTCCGTACGGCCTTGACGATGCCCCCGCACAAACATCCCTCGCGGAGCCCAGAAGAGTTGGAAGAGCTGGAGCGACAAACCTCAGCCTACGAAGGGTTTACCTCGCAATATCTAGAGACAGAAATCGATGGTGAGCGCGTCGGCCTGACCCTGTGGGACTCTGTGGGCCTGGAACGCAACATTGCAGATCTCCAGATGCGAGCTGTGACGGGCTTCCTGGAGAGTAAATTCGAAGAGACCCTGGCCGAAGAGATGAAGGTGGTGCGCTCCCCCAATGCTCGGGACACTCATATTCATTGCACGTTCTTGTTGCTGGACCCGGTTCGTTTAGATGAGAATATTGCTGCGTCCGAGCGCATTGCCCAGGGCACTGCCAAAGTCACCGATGCGCCCGTTGTCGGCGTATTGGACCAGAACCTGGACTTGCAGGTCCTGCGAACCATGATGGGCAAGACCACGATTGTGCCTGTGATCAGCAAGGCGGACACCATCACCACCGCACACATGGCATTCCTGCGCAAGGCAGTCTGGAGTAGCTTGAAGAAGGCTAATATCGACCCTCTGGAGATTCTGACGCTGGAGGATCAAGATGAATATTCTTCGTCGGAAAGTGCGGATGAGGAAGAAGCGTCTGTGCACCAAGAGACGCCCGGGACCCCTGACAGATCTGCCGCTGCAGCAGTGATGTCTGACCACAATGGGACCGAGGCGGTAGTTGAGACATCGGGTGAAGCGAATGGAGATGGACAGTCCCAGCCGCGCGTTCCACAGTCGCCCTCTCAACGCAGCCAAAGCTCTCTGGGTGCATCCTCTTTCAACCCACACGTGCCCTTCTCCATCCTCTCCCCCGATCCGCACTCCCTGGCATCTGGGGAGCAGCCCGTGGGCCGACGATTCCCCTGGGGCTTCGCTGATCCGTATGACCCCGCGCACTGTGACTTTGTGCGACTCAAGGATTCGGTCTTTAGTGACTGGCGCGCCGAGATGCGCGAAGCCAGCCGCGTGGTCTGGTACGAGCGCTGGCGAACCAACCGTCTCAATCGCAATGGACAACCCACTTCGTCGCTGCCTGCGAAGAAGTCGTATGGAGGTCGCATGGGACCCGGTGCGGATGGCCGCCGCACGCGGTAATCCAGTCAACACCTAACATGGTGGACCAGACCGTTCTTTCCCCTCCTTGACCTCCTTCACCTCTCGTCCGTCCCTTGCCTCTTCGATGTCCTTGCTCGCTCTGTTCCGAGATTTCCTTCTTCCTTTGCCTGTTCGCATAGCCCGCACTTTCCACGCCCATACCCCAAGAGTTTCTTTTTTCTTTTTGTTTCTAGCCTTCCATTCCCTCTTGGCGCCGTGTTTGGACGGCAAAGGATTTCTCATGTTTCCACTTCTCACCTTCCATTCTCTGTCCGCTCGGGACTACCCGGCGGCCGGTCTCGAGCGGTCGCTCTTTTTGGTCACCACTCACCAGTCACCACGCCCTTGAGATGCTTCTTCTATCTACTTTTCCTCTCACTTTCTAATGAACAAATCATTGACGCTTGTTATTCTTCCATGCTTTCACTATCCTCGACATCTTCCTATTGAACACTGGACCAGAGACATTTCGCCCGTCATATAAGTTCTCGAATCTATTAAGCTCTCCGTATCTGCGCCCGTAAGCCGCCATCGAGGTACATAGACCATGCTTGAACCCACATCCAAAGTGCTTTGGGTGTTTCCACCGACTCGGCTGAGGGCGGTTGGCCCCACTGAAATTACAATGACACTCACGCGCCCAATGAAGTGTCCGACGACTTGCTCGAGCGGCTGAACGATGCATGATGCTTGGCAGATGCTCGTAAGCTGACCTTTCACCTTTGGAGTGGCAGCCTATCAACCTCGTTCAGAGACGCCTGCATCTGTGCCGCATGCACTACTCAGGGAGAGGTGCTCCGTCTGGGGGCCGTTTAGCGCGCAGATGTCCCGATTCTGGGAACCTTGGACACCCGCAAATGGACCAGTCAAGAGGCGTCTGAAGTGATGCATGGCAGGCAATCTAGTTGGGCTGACTGAGTGGGCTGCAGATTTCCCCTCGCACCTTATAGGGCATGCCATGCAGACGAGGCTCTTTGTAGCCGTGCACCCTTGAACAAGGTCTGTCTTAGTGTCTTCGGCCTTCGCATGTGGCCCAGGCCGGTGCTTACAGTGTGCGCACTGACTTACCCGTGCAAATACTGGTGCTCATCTCTCGTTCAATTTCCGGCCTCTTCTTTCTCTCACTTTTGCCCTGTTGTGGTGCTCATTCTTTACCCTTCGCTCGCTCCCCACGTTGCGATCATATAGCTTCGCGGCTCGATTGCGATTAGAGGTGGGGTCAAAGATCAACAAAAAGGACGAGCATCTCGCCGAGTGCTGCCTCCCCGCCTCTGCATCACTCTATTGACAAGAGGGCCGACGATTAGACTCCAGTCTCCCCGCTTCTCGCACAGATCGAGCGCACACAGCTTCGTCTCAAAGCTCAAGAGGTAGCCCGTCCTCACGTGCCCAAGGCCCATCGAGCAAGCTCGATATTCACACCTCATACCTCGCTCGTTTGGGCAAAACATAAGCAAGCATCCTTTAAGCTCTAGCCACCGCCCTCTCTGTCCCTGCGGCCACGCTTACTGGAGACAACGAGAGTTGCAATGTCCCTACAAGTCAATGACCCACGGTCGCGTACCCGGTCCAAATCACCGGGTCGCATCCGTGAGCGTCCGCGATCGCGTGACAGTCGCAGCACCACTGTTGATCTAGAGCCGCCGCGCTCAAGGCAACGCTCGCGATCTCCAGCGGTGGAGATGGCGCCCAAGTCGTCTTCGTCGCGGGACTATGAGCTGCCTCGTTCACGCTCACCTGCGGTTGAACTCGCGCCCAGGTCGTCGAAAGCTCCAAAGTCTTCACGAGATTTCGACTCCGAAGAGGAGGCGGAGATTGATCGCCGCTACAAATTGATGAAGGAGGAACGACTGCGCGACTCGGACTCGGAAAGAACCAGGGATGGGTCTCGGGTGCCTCGAACGACTGAGATGAGCCGGTATGATGTGGAGAGATCGGACTCCGAGGATAGTCGGAGGCGACTTGCCGACCAGCGAGAGCGGCGTCGGCGGGAGGATGCTCGATACGAGCATTCAGACGAAGACAGGGATGTCAAGCCGATTCGGCCGAGGGTTGATCGCGACCCCAGGGGATCTAAGGATTCAGTCAGGGGTTCTAGGGACTTTGCGGATCCAAGAAGTTCCCGAGACTCTCTTAAGGAGCCCCGAGCCTACACAGACCCGAGGAGCTCGAAAGAGTCCTTCAGAGGATCGGACCCGAGAGGGTCTCGAGACTCCCTTCAACGAGAGACCTTGAGAGAGCCGCGCGATTATGCTGCCCGAACACACGACACTCGAGCCACATCCCCGTTGAGCCGCGATTCTCGGCTAGATGATATCCACGATGATTCGGATGACGGGCTGGCCTACGGGGACAACTCGGGCGATCATGCTAGATACGCGCGACCAGGCACATATCAATACGCACAGATGGGGGCGCCCGACCACCGCGATAAACCTGACGCAAGGTCCGTGGACTGGGCCTCAGTTCCCGAATGCGAGCGCCCTGGTTTTGTCCCCCCAGCATCGCACCCTTCGTCACAGGCTGGATTGTTGTCGGCCATGCCCGGTGGATTCCCATCATCCTCGTCTTACGCCGAGGCACCTGCGACCCCCGTTTCCTCGCAGCTCCCGTATGGTCAGGTATCTTCTGGTCCTTACGCGCCATCGCACTATCGCACTGCTGCTTCTTCCTCCACGACGGATGCTTCTCATTCCGGGTACTATGCTCAACCGGCCCAATATCAATATGCTCAGGTTGATCCAAATGTTCGATATACCTCCAAAGCAACTCCTGTTCAGCCCTACACGGCCTCCACGGTGGAACAAACTGGCACCCGCAATTCCCAATCGGCTTTGCCATATAGATATAGCAGTGAACCTCAATTCAGTATGAAAAACCCGCAGCCGCAACTGCAACCGATGCCGCAACCACCGCCACCACCACCACCAACCCAGGAACCGCTCTATCAGTATCAAGAACTGCCTTCTCCAGTCCAGTACGGACACGGCCATGGGTCGGGATCGGTGTCACAGCAACCATCTGCACCCCGGCAATTTATCGAGATCACGCCTGGCGGAGGTCGAGGTCGACCGCATAGCGCATCAGTATCTTCGGCCAACAACCTTGCGGTCGTGGGCGGCCAGAGTTTGGGTGCCGGTCATCCTCCAGCGAGTCCTCTCCTTGAAGCTTATCGTGGAACGTATCAGTCCATCTCGCCGATGCCGTCTCCGATAGTCATGCCGGCACGAGACGACGACCTCTCGGACATTGAGCCTCTGGATGGCGGCGGGTCATCAAACTCTGAATCCGGACGCCGCAAGAGACACAGTCGATCGAAGTCATCGATCAGCGAAAGGGACATGCGTTACTCAGATAGCAGGGACAAGAGCAAGGAGAAAGAAAAAGACCGCAAAGACGAGAAGCGCCATCATCGGCACACCTCTAGCGTTTCTCATGACCGAGACCATGAGCGCGATCGAATGGTAGTGATCGCGCCTGGTAGTTCTCGCAGCAAGCGTGTCTCGTTCTATGATGCCGCCGCCGACGCGCATGAAATGCAAAACGCATTGAATCATCGCACCATCGACAACAAGACCATCATTCAGGTCCTCCCTCGACTGAGAAGCGACGAAATCCTCACTCTCCGGGCCGAATACAAGAACCGCGTAAAGATGCACGGTAAGGGCATCAACCTCGCCAAACACCTCCGTCTGAAGCTGGGTAACTCTTCGTTTGGCAAAGTCGCCTATGCGACAGCCCTGGGACGCTGGGAATCCGAAGCCTACTGGGCGAACTGCTACTACCAGGCCGGCACTTCTCGACGCGAACTCCTGATCGAGTCCCTAATTGGGCGCTCCAATGCTGCCATCCGGGAGATCAAGGCCTCCTTCCGGGATCCCCGCTACGATAATAGTTTGGAGCGATGCATGCGCGCCGAGCTGAAAGCGGACAAATTCCGCACGGCCGTGCTTCTGGCGTTGGAGGAGCGTCGGCAGGAAGAGCGGGAACCGCTTGATGACCGATTGATTCGGCAGGATGTGCAGGATCTACATCGAGCGCTGGTTTCTCGCGAGGGAGGCGAAACGGCCATGATCAATGTGATCGTCACGCGAAGTGATACCCATTTACGAGAGATGCTGCGCGAGTACGAAGCAGTCTACCGGACGAACTTTGCCAGGGCAATGATCGCCAAGTCGAGGAATTTGGTGGTACGTACTTTGTCTCCTCTCTATTTTCATTGTACTTGGACTTCGTATTACCCTACAAGACCACCGAGGTCTCGCAGAATCGATGGACGCTAATCCACGGTGCGCTTTCACCGTCCCACAGGGAGAAACCCTCGCTCACATCCTCAACGGCGCAATCAATCGACCCATGCGCGACGCTCTCCTTCTCCACCAAGCTGTTCGAGAAAGCCGCACTGGTCGCGAACGCTCCGAGCTGCTAATCTCTCGATTGGTACGATTACACTGGGAGCCCCGACACCTGGAGCAGGTCAAGGCGGAGTACCGGCGACGATACAACGAGCGAATAGAAGAGGCGATTGCGGAGGAAGTCATGAGCTCGGCGACGGCTAGTGATTGGGGAGAGTTTTGTATTGAATTGGCGAGGAGCTCTTCGGGATGATGGTTCCTTTTCTTTTTCTGTTTCTTTTTTGTTTGGCTTCCTGTGGATATCGGGAAGAGAGTGAAATGGGGAAAACCGGATCGAGATCAAAGCAGGGTTGACAATCTGCATTTGAAAGATTCTTTTTACTGCCTGATTCTGTCTCCAGTTTCGCGATGCTGTCTCATACATGGGATACCCAGCGCAGTTCATTCTATGGACCTGACGTTCCAACGAATTCCATGGATACTTACTGTGAGCGGTTCCGAGCCTGAAATCTCGTCCTTGATTACGTTGAGATGATTGGGCATAAAATAGCTCGAGAGTGACTCAAAGTCAGAGAGAACAAAGTAGGTATATCAATGCCGCCGAGGAGTCACCAACAAACCCCACCTTTCCAGAACTCTCTCTATTTGCACTAATGGCATGTGATCACTCGGCGCGCAAAAGTCGAATCCAAGGTTGAGAACATCACCGATACTCAAGAGGGCTACGAGGGGGAGAACAATGATCGACCACAGAGAGTTCAGAATCCCAGTGATCGGCAGTAGATTTGCCCCTGTGAGTGTCGGTGTCTTCTTCAGATTAGTAGCGAATCTAGCGATTAATACACCCGCTACCTACGTAGTAGGCACTAGGCAGTGGAACATGAACACACCCATGTGAGATGGGTTGAGTTGCTGCGTGTTGATCTCGTGCTTGACTCGCGTGGTGCTCGTGATTGTGATATTGATGACGATCGTAGTCAGGTTGAGGGCTTTTCGTATCCAGTAGAGCTAAGGTTTATCAGAGTCAGACCGATGGAGGCCCAGTGATCATGATGGAGGCCGAGTGATCATGATCGTGATCGGTGTTCGTAGTCTTTTTGTTTCTCAATCACCGTGCTCTTAATCGAACTTGATGGTGTACTGCTCTACCTCATCGAGCAGTGAAGTAGTGCCACGTGTGAGTGTAGGTGGATAATTTAGTGCGTCTTGTCAAGAGAGCCTTGGTTGTGGGGTAGGACGGGTTATGAGAGCGGGAGATGCGGCGAGTCGGCGACTATGCAATGATGCATACTGTTGATTGTAGTTTGGAGTTGTACAGTATGCGTGAGGTTGTACTTGGACATGAAGTGTGACATCGAAGAGACGATGAAGATATGCGGATTATCCATGTGGGGTTCTTGTTGGGCTTTGTACATGCTCACATGGTGTTTTTCTTCTTTTTTTTCCCCAAGTGCCAACCTTGTATCCATCCTGCTGAGGGGAGCAACCTCAGATAACATGACTGATGACATGCAGATCTTTTAAAAAGCCTCCGAGCCGTCTTGGAGATCGTCACATGGTCTCTCCGTAGTCCGCCCTCATGAAAGCCATCCCATCCGATTTCCTTTCTAGGTGGAAGAACGTGCAGATCGCTCGCGTGATGCTTGGTCTCATTATTGCGAGACTGGTAATTCAGTCTGCTTGCCTGGGACTAGGCTTGTGGCAGTGATATCTGAATTCCAGAATTTCGCTTGACCGGCTCATGTAGCGGAGGAGCATGTGGATGGTACTCCAAAAACGCGCCACGAGTACAGTGATGAGTGTTGTGATCAACTCCTAACCATCAACCACACGGCTTGCAGTGATCGATGTACAACGCAAGAGTGACTTGGCACACCGATCATACTCGTCATCTGACTTGAGCGACCCCAAGCCAGTCTGACCACACCCACACCTCCCAGCTTATCCTCACAACTCGTCATTGTACTGATTCAACCTGGAAGAAGAGACCGGAGAAAATCGAATCATCACGATCGACACGACAAACATGGTCGAACTGTACCTGTCTCGGATCCCGGCCCACCCACCGGTGCCTCCCGCCAGCTGAACTCCGTCTCAGGAACAGATCCACAATCGGGCACCCCCCAAAAGACATGATGCGTGATGCTCTCTGATTGCGGTGAGCGTGCCACATCCAGATGGTATCGAGGATCGAGCTTCATTGCTTGCGACTCCCGTCATCCACAGTCCACACCTCATTCGGACAATAGTAAATACTAAATGGGTATCCGTCAATGTGATCTGTCACGAGACCCTCCCAGTAAGGGAGGTCCTTGTCCACCACTCGAAGCACGTCCATCCTACGCTTTCAGGCAAGGGAATCACCAACGGGAAAGTATACCCCTGACGCGTGGAAACATCTCAGCGGGTTATCTGTCGAAGATACCCACCGCACTGATCTGTCTTGCTGTCCAGTGACGTCGAAGGGCGGTACCGATCTTTGCCAGAATAAAGCCTCTCACAAATTCGAGTACTGACGCGCAGTGTCAACCCTCACGATGCAAGGGCTGGCGCTGGCTCTTCTGGTTCTTTGTCGCGCAGCCCGCTTCGGCTCTCAGACACTGCCTGGTCCCTCGGATGAGACTTTGGGACAATATGCATGCTGTATGCATCATTGCATACTCAGTGCCGAAGCAGCCGAAAGTAGTTGGATCCTGATGACCCCTTCTGTATCATCACCAAGTCTACCTTGAGGAAGGTGACAAGCGCTTCAACTTAAGCCATGCCGGCAGTCTCATGTGCCTCCAATTTGGGGGGGGGGCGGCGTTCTGGACTCGCGGATGTGGTTTCCTCTCGAGCGCAGCATGACTCCGAATTCTGCCTCGGTCGATCTTGCAGGCAGGTACTACTGAGTACCGGTGCTCATGCTGTTGATCGGTTTTCGGAAAGACTCGATGGACACCGATGAGATCTGGATGTAGACCTCATCCTTCTGTGTTCTCTCTGCGCTCTCTATCGGTCTACCCTCGATCGCCGTGGTCGGTCATCTTACAGTTCCTCTCGCCAGTGCTTTCCCGTCACTCATTCCTTATTTGTTTCTCTCATCTTTGAGATTCTCCCTTGGTGTGCTTTTGTTCAATTCGTGGGTCCTTCCGATCGCCGTTCGAGCTAGACTTTTCCAACCCTTATCACCTGCTGAAGGTCTGTCCGGGGTAAGAAAGTTTCTCCCGCTTTTCCAGCGCCACTGGACGTCGATCATCGCATGGACCGCTGCTTGTTCTAAACCAGTTAGAGGTGAGCCGGATCTTTCTGTGCTGGGTCACATATGGATATGGACTGACCAGTCTCATCCGATCCTAGAGCCGGTAAGTCCCCGAGAGACAATGATACCTTGACGATACCTCAATTTTCGAAGTGTCATTTCTCTTCTTTACGCTTGCCAGACTGTGTTTCGGGATCGATCATTCATCTGCCTGTACCCTTCTTGGCGTAAACAAAACCCGCCGCAGAGGTGTAGTCCCCCATCTATACGGCTGCAGATGGTTTTCCCACTTTGTTCATCCCTACCAACCCCTCGCATGTCCTGTGGTATTTACTACCTTAACCTTGAGCAATCCACATGGCTCCATGCTCAGAATGCTGTCTTGCTCTGCCCCTCCCATGTTTTGTTCCCATGTTTCTCCGCCCCGGGTTGTCGAAATGCATCTGCATACTGACGTTGATCAGCAGACGTCCTGATCCCAATCCGTGCCTGGATTCGGTCAGGTCTGCTGCCCTATGCACTCTTGCTTCTCCACGCGTCGATCTTGATTCTGAATGGCACTGTAGGAAAAGGAGAGAGCAGAGGCAATCGTGGCATGCGGATGAAGGTCTGGGGCCTTCCAAAAAGCACCCCTCTCTTCCACCCCCCCCCTTTCGGACTGAGTTTGATGACCTGAACTCCGAAGTATAAAAACATCGGTGGCATTCCAGTAAACAAGAACGTCGATCACTGCCGAAGAATTCCATCTGCATTTCCAGCAGGCCCTGCATATATTCTAGCCCATCGCGCTGGCTCTCAAACAATTGCGCGCCTGAATCTCAACCACCGACACGTCCGACAACTCTCGTACTTTCCTTCAAACCCCTGGGTTGTCTTTGGGTCGATAATTCTGTCATTGCTTTGAAGGCGTACAGAAGCTCAGTACTTGGGCATTGCGATCCTGTCCATTCATTTTTTCCCTTTTTTCTGTACCACATTCTTTCTTTTCCGTCCTTGATTGAATCGAGTCGCGTTCGACGATCACACAACGCAATATGCGGTTTACCGACATTGGTATCTGGGCAGCGTCCCTTGTCGCCTCTGTGAGCGCTGCGTCCACCTTCTTGCCTGCACGTCCACCAGCGTTGCCACTGGCCGTCAAGTCTCCTTATTTGAGTACATGGCAGGATGCCGGCAGCGATGGGGGCAATGGTGGATATTTGGCCGGGCAATGGCCTGTATTCTGGAAGTACGTGGAGAGAATCAAAGCAAACCCCTGACATCGCTGGATTGAGAATCTCGCTGACAGGCGTCTGTTTAGTAACCAAGTGACTGGCTGGTGTGGTTTGATCCGTGTGGACGGTACCACTTACACCTGGATGGGTCTGCCAAATACCAAACTTGTTGATCAAACTGCATTCGAATATACGTCCACCAAGAGCATTTTTACAATGAATGTTGGGGGAATGGTGGAGATGAACATCACTTTCATGTCTCCTCTTACACCCCACGATTTCAAGCGCCAGTCCCTCGTCTTTACTTATCTGAATGTGGATGTCTCGTCCTTAGACGGCAATGAGCATGATGTACAACTTTATGCTGATATTTCCGCCGGTATGTCCTGCAGAAATACCTATCTGTTGCATATGTACGGAGAAAAGGATAAGTTCAGGACTAATGATGATTAGAATGGGTCGCCGGTGACCACTCTGCTATCGCACAATGGGACTATGGAACATCCGAGGGTGTCGCATACCACAAGGTGTTCAGACAAACTCAATTAGCTTTCTCTGAGACAAACCAGCAAGCTGACTGGGGCAATTGGTATTGGGCAACCGATGCCGCCAACGGAATGACCCATCAGTCTGGTCAGGATTCGGTAGTTCGAGGACAATTCACAAACAATGGAGCTTTGACCAACGGCGTCGACACGAACTACCGCGCGATCAACAAGGACTGGCCTGTGTTCGGCTTTGCATCCAACTTGGGCAAAGTCTCGTCCACGCCTATCAGCACACTTTACTCTCTGGGTCTCACCCAGGATGAGGCGATTCAATTCGAAGGCGCCTCCGGCTATGCTCCTGTCCCCTCGCTGTGGAAGAGCTACTTCGATACCGACGTAGCCGCCCTTACCTTTTTCCACAAGGACTTCCTTGAGTCCACTCATATGTCAGATTCTTTTGATGGCATGGTCGCTAAAGATTCTATTGCTGCTGCTGGTCAAGATTATCTGACTCTGACCTCGCTGTCAGCTCGACAAGCCTTTGGCGCTACTCAACTGTGTGGGACCCCAGATCAGACGTATGTTTTTTTGAAGGAAATCTCTTCGGATGGGAACATGAACACGGTTGATGTTATCTTCCCTGCATACCCCATCTTCTTGTATTCCAATCCTGAATACCTCAAGTTGGTTCTGGATCCCTTGTTTATCAATCAGGAGAGCGGCTATTATCCTCAAAGCTATGCCATGCACGACATGGGCTCAAGCTATCCTAACGCTACTGGTCACAACGACGGTAAAGACGAGGCCATGCCTCTGGAGGAATGTGGCAACATGATTATTATGACCTTGGCCTATGCCCAGAAAGCCGACGATAACGACTATTTGAGCGCCCACTACGCCTTGCTCAAGAAGTGGGTGAGCTACCTGGTCGACGAGGCTTTGTATCCGGCCAATCAAATCTCTACCGATGACTTTGCGGGATCACTGGCGTGAGTTCCTCTGGGGAAATTCTCAAGTGTCCATGGGCAGAAAAGGCTGACCATCTACTTAGCAACCAAACCAACCTGGCACTTAAGGGAATGATTGGAATTCAAGCCATGTCTGTCATTGCTGAGCGGACTGGTCATGCCGCCGACGCTAAGAATTATTCCACTATCGCCCACGACTACATCAAGCAGTGGCAGACTCTGGGCATCAATTCGAAGGCGAATCCACCCCACACTACTTTGTCGTACGGCGACGAAAACAGCCACGGTATGGCTCTCATCTCGTTAGGGCTGGTTGCAGGATGAGTGCTAATGTTGTATGTACAGGTCTTCTCTACAATCTCTTCGCCGATGCCCAGCTTGGATTGAACTTGGTCCCTCGGAGCGTGTACCAGATGCAGAGCGACTTTTACCCGACCGTCGCTGAAAAGTACGGTGTACCTTTGGACACTCGTCACACTTATACTAAAGGTCGGTCTTGACGTGATGTCGTACAGACACGAGAGGAAGTTGAGCTAACATCATGCCAGGCGACTGGGAGTTATTTGCCGCCGCTATTGCCAGCACTTCTACTCGGGACATGTTCATCCAGGACCTTGCCAAATGGGTGAATGAAACTCCCACGAACCGACCCATGACCGATCTTTACGACACTGTCAGTGGAAAGTAAGTCACCCCCAAATGTGACTTCGAGAGCGCCTTGCGCCTCTTCTTGAGCGTTGACTGACCAAGTTCAGCTATCCTGGTATTACCTTTGTGGCTCGACCTGTGGTGGGTGGTTCATTTGCACCGCTCCTTGTGGCCTAAGTGGACAAATGTCATTCTCTCCTTCATGCTGTGTTCATGTTCACTCTTATGATTCATTCACGCTTTTGATGGTTTTATCACACATCATCTTACCCAGGTATAATTATTGTCACTCTTGGCCTGCGACTGTGTCGATTTGCGTCTTGATACCCAATGATTGATCCCCCTACGCTCTTTGACTTTCTGCTGGGTTTTGCACCGACATGCAACGCTATATTGCATGACCGACACGGAGTTTGGAGAGGCATGGCAGTGTTGTCAGATTACTATTGCATGGTTACCTGCGCTTGGCAGTGAATGAGATAAATTATTGTTATGGTCGCTTACTGAAGCGTAGTCACCACATTAGTGATTCAATGTAAGCCCTTAGTACTTTGTTGCGTGGTTCACACTTGACAGTGTTTACTGAGGAACTCCATCTCGAGTGATTCTTAGGGTTGGCAATCAGATACCTATCTTACATACAACCGGAGCCCATAAAGGCGAAACACATGCCAAACGCCATACCACTCTCGCCCCAGTTCAAGGCATCATCCCGTGTAGAATTGTAGATAAACCTGGGCCGACCAGCCGTACCACAGCATTCCGACGCCCATCAGAACGTTGTCGGGGATCAACGAATATAGTCGATCCTCGGGTCGACGAGGGAATGGACGCATCGAGGGCCATCAAGATCCACTGGCACGAGAATACCCAGTTTAAAGCTTACCCTGACCGGCTTTGGCGTTGACGCTCGCTACGACCGAGATGTAAGGAGAAGCCGAGGCAATGTTCTGTCCGTGGAATTTGGAAAAGAAGCTGGTGTCACTTCCGCTATATGGGCCAGAGCTTCCGTATCCGTTCATTTGGCATGGACGACCAAGAGCGCCGCTGCAGGCTTGGGCGGCGCTAGCGTTGGGAGCCGTGAATAACTATTCAAACTTGCCCTGTATGGTCACATCGTTGATATTAGGCATTTGGCACGTTCTGGAAGAAGTTATCCTCGGCGAGAACGTAACCGCCAGTACCAGTCTCGAATGCATGGCCACCGTTATATTTCTCTGGACATCAGAGTAGATATGCTGACGGCAACCTCTGTATTTCCTACCTCTGTATTATTCGTAGAGATGGTCGACGGAAAGAAAAGAGAAAAGGTGAAATACAACTTGATTGGTGGTGATCAGGAAGGAGGAGAGAAACGATCCAATGTTATGGGTTTATGGGTCCCTCGGTGGTGCGTCGGCCGAATCATCCAAACATGCATTCCTTGTAAGGTGTGGCTGATCCGCTAAGATAGCTCTTAACAAGACCATTGTTTTTTCAGTCGCTAGTAGCAGATTCTGTTCACGTCTATACGAATCGAGGGCGCTGCTCGGGAGAATATGTTGTTTATGACGGTCATGACCCGACTGTGATTCAGGGAGCCTCGAATAAATCGGTACGCTGGCTTCTCGACCGGAAACAAGATCTTATGTAATAGCGCGTCTTGAATCGCTGGTCCCTAGATACCGATAGTTTCGAGTCTATAGGTACTTCTGTCTGGGTCTTGTATTAATCTAGCGATTCGGGGTGATTTCTGAGTATGATATTCTTTTTCCTACAGCCTAACTAGTATATCTATGCCACGAAGCCTATTCGTTGATGCGGAATACATTGAGGTAACAAAGGTTGAAGAACACAATTTGAGTGCTACAAAACACGTACGACCACAGGGTGTGGAAAATAGGGCTTCCCGTCCGCTCAGCCGTACTCAAGCCACAATACATGAACGCGCTCAATCTCCAAGGCGCCCTAAATGATCTTCGAGAGGTCGACTAAGACAAAACTTGGGTGTGGGTGATAGGGGTGAGAATATCACTAAGAGGGGTGACCGGAGTGATGAGGGTGAGAGGCTACTAGCGTTTCTGATGATGGTCTCGAAAGAAATTCTAGTACATCTGTACCTGGTACATCACCTATGCTTTGAAGTAGAGGACTCAGTGTGTATATAAGCAAGTTCCGCTCTTACCTTCTCAACTCATATTTCTGCTTTGCTCCTGATCCCAAGTCACGCCAAAATGACCGACTCCGAGAAGTATCTCGCGGAGATTTTCGCGCGTGTTGAGTCACGTGGCTTTACAACCGAATACCAGGATAGAAGAGAGGCAAGCAAAAACGCTATTTGTCAAACACAGTTAGCGCCCGCGACAGTCAATAGATACAATTCAGCGGTGAAGCTATGGGAATTGTGGGTAAATCGCAAACTTACTGAAATTCGGTTCTGACTTCTACTCGAAAGGTTCAAATGCTATCGACGCCTTGGGAAAGAGGACGAACCATGCGAATATGGCTCTGACCCGACTCCACAGATGCTCAAAGGCTTTGCGGAATTTTGTGTTGTCGCAAAATCGAAATTTCCATCCCAAGCAACTGTGACCGGGATATTCAGAGCTTTCTCTGCACAGTGGAAAAGAGACAATTCGAAAGGTCTACCAGAGGAGGTCACGAGGGATGTCTATAATGTAAGCTACTAGATTACTGGGAACCAATTAACCCCAAGAACCTAACGAAAATTAGTATATCAAAACAACGCTCACGTCTGAACGTGGTCTCAACACCAAGCCTCGGCAAAAGTTTCAAACAACGGGAATAGATATCCTGTACCTCCTGAGACACCTCTTCGGCTACGATGATCATGATTATGTACATGAAAGAGCCCGCGTGCAGTTCGGTAGCTTATTATCTCTCTTTGCCGGATCGGCACAGCGTGCGGGTGCAATAATAGTGTCGAGCTCGTATCGTGGAACAAATGAGTGTCTCTTCTATAAGGTAGGTAGATGTTGTGCTCCTTAAACAGACCGAATATTGATATAAAATGGATTTCAGCACATGACTTTCAACATCAAGTGGAACGAAAGCCGGGACAAGGTCGTTCGCTGGGTGACGGTTCGCCCGGAATTCACCAAAGGAAAACGTTATAGGAACGACAAAGTGGTGTGAGTGAGTCCGTCTGTGAACACTGAGCAGAAACTGACAAACTCTATCAGTGAGCGAGATTGGCTTCAGGAGCACCCTGTGCTTGCTCTGAACTTCGTGTTTTGGGTGATTGTGCTTGGGGTGGCAGATGGAGCATTCAGAAACTGCGAAACCCTACATGACGTGCTATCAGTGAAGCCTCCAGCATCCAGGGACACATTGACGCTGGAATGGGCAGATCATATCAAGGAAACACCCCTTTTCCGGATGGTCAGGCCCGAAGGGCCCGATTCATCACACGGCCTAAGTTTTTCGTCCATGAGACATCATTTTCAGAGTCTGGCGAAAAGAGATGGTTTCTACGATCCCTTGCGCGTTCATGGTATTCGAGGGGGAGTGGTCAACACTATAAACTGTGAGTAAAACAAGGATCGTCCGTCGAGTGATGGATAAAAGGCTTAATTTATGCTGACAAAACGTAGCGAAGGTATCTGACGCTAGTAGGGGGCAGGCTTTAGGTCAAAAAGACACAAAGTCTTTCCTTTCATATCAGTCCGATGTCAAAGACGTTGATATTCAGGCCTGCGTCTTCAATTTGCAGCCTAATTTCGAATGTCGGGATATGGAGCGGAGTATGTCAAACCACAGAGATACCAATGTTCCAACTCAAGTGAGTGCGGCTGCTCTGAAAGAGTTCAATCGCAGACCAGACATCGTTGAGCTCAACCGACAGATTGAGGATTTATCGGCAAAGATCTCTTTAAGACCTACACTTAATCCGAGTCTGACTGGCGAGAGAGCAAAATTGTACGGTCGAAAGGCCAAGGCGCTTCAATGTTTTAAAAAGCAATATGTTGAAGAATGGTGGAGTTCAAGCAACGATCGGTACACAAAGAGAGATGAGGACGGGAACAATTGCCCTTATCGCGATACAACACCTATTTTTGACATATACCGAAAATATGTTTCTGAACGCTCTCGTTTGAGTGAGAATCTGTTCAAGGAAGCGAATGTTGATAGCGAAATTGGTCGACAATGCCTGGAGGACATGCTCTCAATATGCAAATCAGTAGCGCGGGTGGCCTATTACCCGGGGCTGGAGCCACGAGATGGTCGATGCCCCCGATGTGAGAGGGCTGTGACAGAGTGAGTAACCCTTTCGGCTCTGAGTCAATCAGCACTGACAGGAATTGTAGAATACCGCTACAACAAAGAGCGAAACATATCCTTCAGTGTGAAAGAAAAGCGTTGAATGGCGCTCCGTATCAGCAAGCTTTAAAAAGAAAACGGACCCATCGGCGTACTAATCACAAATATGTTCAATTTTGTTACTTATGTGCAAGCTTCGTGTGTGGTGCGCAGGATTGGGGCAATCATTGCGCAGCTCATCTGCGAGAACTCCAGCCTCGATGTGGACTGTTGAAATTTCGATATACTTTGATTCATCCAGGCCTTTGTCCCTTTTGCTTGGGCAATGAAGACTTAGAGCCCGACAATCGGTTCCAACAATGGATGACGAAGGCGACGCTTCTTAGCCACATTGATTCTCACTTCGAAAGCCACCATTCGATTGTGAAATTAGAATGCCCGCACCCATGCTGCAAAGGCAAAAGCCTAGCTGCGGACAACGACCTTCGAAATCATTTTCACGATGCACATTCCATCGAGGAGCCGAGATCGAATTGTTTAAAGCGAAAGCGGTCGGCAGGTTCTTGAATTCTTCAACCCTTTACCATGATGTGATTACACTATATCGGCATTTCAAATACCAATTTTCAAACTCAATGCCTGATCAGGCATCTTTGTGTCGATACAGCGGGGTCAAGTTGCTCTCAAGTCATCTTGAAAAGCTCACTCGCTTCTCGTTGCTTTGTTTTGGCATCTTCTCTAGCGTTCAACTATTAGCTTTCGTTGCTCGCGACCAAATCATGTTCTTTCAATTCATACAGGCCACACTAAATTGACTCGCTCGATGTTTCGCGTTCTCATAATCGCTCCGTAAAAGCGCCAGCAAGCAAGGAAAACATAGTCAATCTTAGGTGGTTAAAATTCTATGGTCCACGTGAATATATGATGAGGCTGGACCTATTTAAAAGGCAAAAACTGATTAATTATCTTCCCCAGGAAATAATCAGTGAAAATAGGGCTATCACAATTCGTTTACATAAAAAGATATTAAACTAACTATATATTGATGTTGGGAGAACCAGAACAGGTACGTTAGCTCATGTGATCAGTACGAATGGCCAAGGCGTGTTAAGATGAATTTTGGTCGTTTCAACAATCTGCTACCCACACCACGCAGGTAGAATCAAGATATATACACCTCCATAGCTAGCCTCTCTCACTTCCTTCTTCCTCCAACCAAGCTACACGTCAGCTTTCACTTTTCCTTTTGTAGAGCACATCCACAAATAAAACGATCAGAGCTCTTCTTCCTCTAAGCTCTCCGAATCGGCAACCTCGGCACTCTTCAGAGATTTGTCGATTTTGTGACTTTGGCCATGCTGTCGCTTTCCGAGTACTGTCCCCCTGGACTCAATATAATCGAAGAGTCCCTGTGCACTCCCTTGGCGATCATGCCTAGGGTGCTTATACGGTGGACGCTCAGAAAAGACTAGTGCAAGTCGCTGCTCTAGTAGTTCGTCGTACATTTTGTGCAGGTCCGGTACGCCAAAGCCATATTCGCCATAGGTCATGATAACACCACTCCTTTGTATGAAAGTGGAAATGAGCGATTTAAGGCTTTCCCCACCTGAGATGCCGAATTTGTAATATCGCTTCACATCGACAATGTATAAAACGATGACCGGGCGGCTTGACTTGTTCCACGTGTCCATGATGGCGGAGAATTTTTGTGACACTCTAATCACGTTTTCTGCTTCCATCGGCCCGACCCACTTTGCATCCTCAAACCCAGGGGCCATATGACATGTGCGTGTATCAGGAGCGATTGTCGGACTCAGTTCAGGCATATCAGTGTTGCTAATAGCGAGGTCATAATCCTCGATCATGATGTGGTCAGAGTCAGTGTCTGGATGCCTATTATGCTCATCTTGATCTCGCGAATACTGGCTCTCGGAGCGAGGAGTTTCTTGAGAAGGAACTGTCAATCATTTCTCTGATTATTATCCAGATTATACTTTGCTTACCTGTAGCTTGAGGAGGTTCAGTTGTCTTATTTATATTTGCATACTCGCCTTCGCCACTTCCATATCGAAAAAGATGAATTGTAATTTCATCGAAGCACCCTGCCCCTAAAAAGCAGAACAGAGTATCTCTTACCACTCCAAGGGGAGTGGTGTACTTGGAACTCTGCTCGTTTCGACGGAAAATATGTTTCAGAAAGAGTTTGTCCCTGACAGTTTCGAATTGTTTTCTCGATGGCAAATTAAATTTGCACTCGGCTTCAAGATCTTCGTCATCGGTAGTGAAGTCAGGCTCGTCGTGCTCGAGCTCCAGGTCTGCAGGACTTCGATCAATTACGCGACGAAGCTGGTCAGCAAATCTTTTTGCCTGGTCATTCGTATAAAAGGCAAAACCTTGCTCTGAGAATGACTTCAATATGTTTGTCGCAATGATTTCCCACACGTCATGTCTAGTGAGGTCTCTCGTTTGCTTAGATTCGAATCCAAGGTGCTCCGCGAGTTCAGCCATTTTGACCAAACAAAACCGGACGGAAAATCCGTCAGAACAGTCTCCCCTGGGCTCTGGTTGGTAGATGAAGTGCCGCATTGCGAATAACCATAGCTGAACCAAGCAAAACATGAAAGAACATGCGGGATTTGGTACCGTTGTCCACCTATGTTCAGATGCTTGTAAAGGAGTATCATCAAGTGGTTTTCTCCACTGTTTGAGCATTGTGTCCGCAAATGAGCCTTTGAACTTTTGCGGACAGAGAAGACGCAGAGCTTTTGATGGGCCCTCAAAAAGCATCGCGTCTTGAAAAAGTGTGTTGAGTGTTATGATTCTTCCGGGTACGGTCAGCAAACGAGCTTTCAGCGCAGTTCGCTGACCACTATCTTTCAACAGTGCAAAAATCTTAGCTGAGTCTATCAGATCTTCAATTTTTGAACGATCCAGCTGTGAAGTGTGTGGCATGAGCCCTTCCAGAAGAACCACCGATGGAGCGTCCAAGTAAGGCACAGTATCGTCATCGAGAACGTGGGACCATCGCGAGAAAATCTGCTCCATATAATTCTGTATGAACTGCGATGCTGTGAGTATGAAACTTCCATGGTCATGAAATGGAGAATCTTTACCTGCGGACATCTCAGAGCTAGAATTCTCTCTATCTGTGTGGTCGCCAATGGTTTCCAAAGTCCAACGAATGGTAGTAGACGGTCAAAACATCTCAATAGCTTTGCGTTTTTCTGCAATCTCCGAACATCTTTTCGGCGGCCATCGGTTTTCAATTTCGCGAGCCATTTTCGGGCTCGCGCGGCGTCACCTTGAATTTGAAAGAGTCTCATAGCGCGATAGATTTCACCATCAGACGGATCGAGGCTTTTACTTGTATTCTCTTTCAAATGAACGATGGCTTGCAATGGTATACCTTTTAGGACGGTATTAGCTTCATTGCCGAATAAGAACCACGAGGGATAAGATACTCTTTGTATATATGTCCACCAGCCATGATTCTACGCCGAATAACTCCGCGGCTTTCAGTCTATGTTTGCCATATATACAGGGAAGCCGAACGCTGTGTGCGAATGAGAGCCTGTGCTGGCTTGTTGGATCCAACAGACACTCACGAGTGACGTTGCTATCGACGAGAGTCTGAGACAAAATTGACTCGTCAACTAATGCAGCGACTCTGTTCTCTGGCTCAAGGTTTCCGCAGCCCTCAATCTTGAAAATCTTCAGGATCCTAGCGACATTCTTGTCATCTAAGTTCCGGTCTTCATGATAGGGTACCGTGTCAAAGGCGAGATGTGACAGATCCACTATAGCGCAACCTTGAAAGAATTGGAGTCTCTCTGCCGCGAGGCCATTAATGCGATTTCCAAAATCATCACCCGCATGGTCCATGTTGGAAAGTGTTGATATTCTGAATCCCATGGGTCTTCCTCGTAGGGGCAGGCCTCCGGAAATTTGAACGATATTTGCGACACTGGTTCTGGAATAGGTGGGGCTGAGTCAAACTGCTTTACTTGACGCTCAAAACAATAAATGGATCCACAGATTCCATCGCTCAAAAGCGGCGTCTACGCATCTTCATCATGTCTGGAAAACGGCAAACAGTATTGCCCTTGAAATTACCTTGGTCGAATGTACAGGGCTCTAGGCTTGTAGCTGGGTCCTGTCAGGTCGGTGAAATTACTGGCAAAGCTGATCGCCAGGGTAAAGATACGCAGCAAACTACGGTCACCCCAAACAAACCAGGTACAGCGCATGTTGCAATCAACACTTCCATAACCGCAGAAAGCCTTGGTGTCCACCGAAGTCTATCGCAGAAAAAAATCTCAGCCGAAAAGTATCACAGGCTTTACACGATCGACCAAGCTGGACCCGGGATTGTGGCATTGAAAGACAGTGAAAATCTTCCCATCTATCTGATCAAAGATGGCAACGGAACCAATACGAACATTACACAGCAGATTACGTTTGCCAGTCACAGGAATATTGTGTCATTGATCAGCGAGTTTTCGTATCAGGGAGTTCAACAGCAAGTCTACCAGTACGAACACATGGCTGTCAGCATGGGATGTGTTGCCGGATCGGTTAATTTCAGCCAAGCCGACGTTGCGACTGTTTGTAGAGAAGTTCTGCAAGGTCTTCGATATATTCATGCCGTATTGAAGGTCTCTTACGGACTCGTGGACCTTGGAAATATCTTGCTCACCTGGCAAGGCGAGATTAAACTCGGTAAGAAGGCCATGGGAGGGGTGACCTTGGGCCCTTGCTCACCCAGTCACTGACGAAACGCAAGCAAACATTGGTCAATGCGCACAGAATGCTTTGACTGAGTCCAATCAACAGAAGGACCTAAGCGACGTCAGTAACCTGTTGATTCACCTCAGCAGTCGTGCTGTTCTATCTCTCGAGGCAAACGATATACTGCCAAAATTTCCATTGCCACGATTAGCTGGAGCCTTTGTGCAAAGAATAAGAAGAGGGGATTCAGTTGATACTTTGCTACGTGTAGGTGAGAAAGCTCAGAGTACACCTCACATCTGCTAATTGTGGCCAAGGATGAGTTCTTGCAACTAGCCAATCCCGGGGGAGCATGGAGTCTAAAACGACACTATTTCAGAACTCTGCCGCTTGGTATTAGAATCGGAAGCCCTATTGAGCAGGATGATTGAACAGTTTCCATATTTCAATATTTCAATTACTTTCTTCATGGCACGAGACAAAAAGATGACATTCCAAGACTATCTGTGTAACCCTAAAAAGCCCTGTGCCCGTGGAACGTAAGAGTGCTTACGGCTTGAGTTTATCAGCAGAGCTCAACAGGGTCGGGGGATCAGAGGTAGGTCGACAGGCCCCAACAAGGTCGGGGGACCAAAAGTAGGTCGGCAGGCCCTAACAAGACCGGCAGGCCCCGACAAGGTCGGGGGACCAAAAGTAGGTCGGCAGGCCCTAACAAGACCGGCAGACCCCAGCAAGGTCGGGAGACCAAAAGTAGGTCGGCAGGCCCTAACAAGACCGGCAGGCCCCAGCAAGGTCGGGGGACCAAAATTAGGTCGGCAGGCCCTAACAAGACCGGCAGGCCCCAGCAAGGTCGGGGGATCAGAGGTAGGTCGACAGGCCCCAACAAGGTCGGGGGACCAAAAGTAGGTCGGCAGGCCCTAACAAGACCGGCAGGCCCCAGCAAGGTCGGGGGACCAAAAGTAGGTCGGCAGGCCCTAACAAGGTCGGAGGGTCCCAGGACAAGTCTTGGCCAGCGAGGCCAGTGCCACCTGCGACGCGTTTTTGTAGACTCTTTGGATCAGTGCGTAGGGTATGGTATGGCGAAAGGCTGCCGCGATTATGAAACTACCTCATTGATGCCGAGTCTTCTTTGTAGACTTTATCTTTCATTCTCGTATGTTCTCGGTAATTATAAAGGGCTTGATAATGATTCCTCGTCTTTGCCACGGCAATACCACTCTTTTTAATTACAGCATTTGATGATCATAGGCGTTCCCAGAGATTCAGGTTAGAACCAAGATTTGTATACTGCTTGCCTCTGGCTCATTGTCACTCCCCAGGGCTGAAACTCTGTCTCAAAAAGTTCCACTCCTTCCCCCGCATGAATATTCACTAGGCTATGAAATGCGTTCCTCACGTACTCCTGTGCGGACACTGAGAATAAAGTGTATTAGCCTTCGTCATTCGGGGAAAAAAGAATGTTCAAACATACCCGAAACTATGATAGATCCTGCGCGACCGCGGATCTCGTCGATTAGCCGCTCCTTCCAATCGACGACACCACTGTAGAAATTTACTAATCCATTTTCTCCGAATTGGTGTACTTCGTTGTCATGCCTATCATGAATTGCGTCGTAGACTGAGACTCGTAGCATCTGGATTCGTAATCACGTAGTAAGAAGTGTTGAACGGTACTGGGTGTTGGGCGACACTCGGAACAAAACTTACGTATCCGTTGTCTTGCCTAACCAAACACTGAAGTAGGTCCCGCGCACTTTCCCAGTCACCGATCTGATCGAGCTGCCAAATAAGACAAATTTTTTGAGTCGTAATAGTTGCATTCTGGTGGCCGTCGAGTAGTTCTTTTATATAAGGTAGCTGGGCCGCAATGCCGATGCCTGTGGTGGCGAAAAAGACATGGCCGTAATTCCCAATCCTGCTGTTTGGATGCCAGTTGATAGACTTCGGCCCATATAAGCCGCTTGTCCAAGCCTTGTACGAATGATCGGGTCGGAGTCTTTCCACCATTTTCTGGGTAAAACCTGACTGTGGACGTAATAGGATTGTAAAGGATCTTGCTTTTCCTTGACGATCAGTTTCCCACCATGCCACTGTGAATGGATGTGATTGCAAGGCGTATTGAATTCCCACGTGTGGTACGCTCAAATTGACTCGTTGCCCAGCACGCACTTTCCATGGCCTAGGTAAGAGTACCCTGAGCTGCGTAGTGTCGCCAGGGTAGCATTGTATGTTGACCTTCGCGAGACTTTTTTCTACTGTCACATTTTGATACAGAGTACGGAGAAACTGCATCATGACTGTCAAGGTCAAAATTAACGCGTATAGTGCCGAGAATAGCCAGATATACCCAGGAGCAGAGCGAGTATGTTGCCAAATAGCGTAGACAACTGCTATCGCGCATGCCTTATGGGCGACGAGGAAGATTTCGTAAACTCGTCTCCGGACAAAAGGAAGAACGAAAAGGGATAAGAGTATACTCGCTGCCTGTGTCCATTAGCTGGGGCAACGATTTCTAAACATCCAATACACTTGCTCACCACTATGCCGTACACATTCATGTCAATATTCAGAGACGTAGAAGTGGTTCGAATTACGATAGCAACATGAATAACTGCTTCAAGGAGCGCGGCCACTGCGAATGACCTATGAAGAAAACTGTAGACATCGAGCGAAAAGCCTAGTGAATGCGCCGCAAAGTCATGACTGCCTCCGAGAAAAAGTGGTATCAAGTTGACAAGCGCTAAACGCGCTGCTCTTTGACCAGCGTCCTCAAGATCGTACGTTTTGAACGTATTGCAGAATCCGTTGATGCCGAGCAGCGTGAGAAATCCGAGTATTCGTCCATTGGAAGATGATCTGAGCCCCGGAACTCGGCGAAAATAACACGAGTAGACAACATGTCTAAGTACCATTGGCCTAATCAAATCCACCACCAGATGGCTACTGGCGATACTGCGAATCAAAGCCTTGATGAGGTTAAGTGTTACGAGCAACAGTACTGCGACACAAATACTGGCCCCATACACATTATCCGGACTTGCCGTTGGTTGCGAGGTCAAGTTGAAAAAAATGATCATAATAAAAGTAAAAAAGGCTAGAATTTAAGCGAAGAGTACCAATCGTAAAAGTGACTAGAAGTCTTCACTTATACCCGGCTTTGAGAACTTTGGCTATGTGGTCTATTAGGTTCAGCTAAGAGGCAGTTTGCGACACAGGTTTCGACGTCCACTAGTCAATTTAAAATTATGGTCCTTCCGTGGCCGAAATTAAAATTGGGGAAAGTAAATTGATTTCAATGTTTTCTATGTAATCTACGGCTAGGAGGGACTCTCTTGATATGAATAACAGAAAAAATGAATTTCGTGATTCGTTCACCAGAGAAGCATGCTCCGGTGATGTCTCGCGAGCAGATCTCATTACCATGGAAAAGTCACCTCTTAACATGCGGCAAACTCAATCCCCGGCGACATTGTATTCGACCCAATTGCGTCGCAAACAGTTCGATTTGCGATCAGGTGTCAAAACATCTCCAAGAAATTAACACTTCCCGAACCGAACCAAAGCAGTGCTGCAACCCATCTTTCCGCGCTAAAGTGAAGCTGCACTTTGCGCTGTAAGATTTTCGTAGATAGCTTCTAGCGCTCTCAACTGATCCAGTCTACTCGCGAAATATCTTGCGAGTTTGTCGAGTCTTGAGACCTGAATCTTGCCGGGACTAGGACATTTGAGGAGAGCGGAGTCATCATGAGATGCTGTGAGCGATCGACTTTTCTGCCTTTGTTGTCAGTCTTTTTTCTTCAAGGTACCGGACTGTTCTTGCAAGTACGTGGATAATCTTCGCATGCTCTAGCCATGCGCTATTGTTGTCTGATTTATAGACAAATGAGCCCTTTGGATGATCGACCATGAGATAGACTCTGGCGTTACATGTCTTTGCAAGCTCCTGTGCTTTGTTTTTCAGAGTTTGCGATCTCCTAACGAATCTGACTCGGGAATTTCTGTTCGGATCTGGACCACCCATTGCTTTCGGTGGAGAATTTTATGGCTTAAGTCGGTGCATAGAAATTTGAGATCCGCGGACCAGGAAAGCGACATTGAAAAGTCTTATATTCAGCATTCTATTCGCCACCGTAATCCCCATTCAGCAAGTAGTTACCGTACTCTTTTCAAGTCTCGACTCTGCGACAATGACGTTCTCCTCTTACGTCGTTGACCTCCAGGAATACCAGATTTCCCACAGGATCTGCAGTCCTCCCGACAGGGGTACCCATGGTCATCTCGTCCAAATGAGAAGCCAAAATTCTGCCTGTGAATCATTTGCCTAACCGTAGCAGGAAACCCACTGATTCTCCATTGTTTCTTCGTGGTGTTTGTAATAAAGACCTCAACACGTTGATCAAGGTGAGGTACGAGAAACGACATTGGTTGATAATAGCAACCGCACGTGTCACAGATACTTCTCACGCCATTAAACCTCTCAACGTAACCGTCCTGCGAAGTGTATTGGAGACCATCTGGATGAAGCCTCTCCAGTGCAGTGATGATTTCACGCGCCGGCCCTTTACACCTGACTGTTCCGTAGCACCAAAACGGACATGTAGCCTGCTCTGGTACCGACTGAATCAAGAAAAAGAAGCGGGAGACTAAGAGGGTCGAGACTGCTTCGCGGACCATTCGTGAACTGCCAGGCTGTAGAATGACCAGATCACGCAATCTTTCCATGCTTTCCACGGAGTCCAAATTTGAGTCAGTGCTTTCAAGGGGAGCGTCTAGACGATGACTATCTGTTTTCGAATCGTCAGTCAGTCGGTTTCTCCATTTTTTCCAATCTGCGTCCGTGTTCATTGTTGACATCCAAGCATCAAAGCCCCGCCGCATGAATCCGTCACTGAAGACATGGCGGAAATGGGGGGTTTGATCAAGATGCGAAGCCTTGCCAGTTCCGAGAGAGAGTACTCGAAGAGATCCAACAGCGGACGGCCAAACTTGCTGGGCGATTTGACACGCGATGTCACCCGCAAAATTGTACTTTAGTCCGCCATCCTGGAAAGATCCAATTCCTTGTAGATCCGCGGGGGTGAAATAGCTATGGGCGGTTGAGCAGATGTGTCTCATTGGCTGTGTTTCAAACTTACAATGGCGCGGCCGCTGTTGCCCTTGCACTAGTGGACTGTTAGACTCGAAACTCGAACCGGTGGACTAGCGGGCGAGAAGCAGGCGGGGAAAGTAACGCACGTCTTCCATAACAGGGGCTCATTGTGGACATCTTCCGGGTGTAGTATCCGAAAATCTGATAGTTGTGAGAGGACCGAAGTTAATCGCAGTAAATTCTTGTTCAAACTGACCACAATCCTTGTTCACATTCTCGGATGCATTGAAATTACCGAACACAAAGGTACTTGTGTCTTTCGAAATACTTGTGGTGATCACGCCAAACTTTGAGTCTGAGCGTTGGAGACTCAAATCCTTAGCGTCAGGAGCACTGAAAACTTGACGATCTTCTCCGAAGACGCTTTTAAGCGCATCGTCAAAGGCAATGGAGTCATAGCAACTGTCTTGTATGAGCCATTGAAGTGATCGAAGCGCACCACCAACTCGCGATTCGACGCCGGCTAACCGATGAAGTAGCATGGATAAGATGGAGGGGCGCCGCCGCGAGAAGATACGCTTCGCCAAAGTATCGAATCTTTCGGAGCATGTTCGAACGTCCCATGACATAGCAAAAAGACCGAGAGCGATAAGGGCCCCTGCAAGAAAAACAAACAAGTGCTTTTAGCACCAGTGGTTGGACTCTGCTCAACCAGCATTTGACATACCAGAACTTGTTCCGATCGCAAGATCCACAACATCCTGTATCGAGCACGGGGCTAGATGCTCAGCGGCGAGAGTCAAGAATTCCAATGGAATAACCCCACGAACGCCTCCACCATCGATAGCAAGGATACTTGCACTCATGGTAGGTGGAAGTACGCTAATGAGAAGAGGTCTTGGATACAGACAACAAAGGCATCCTTTGACCAGAAATTGGTATTCCCCACCAGCAACAGGGGTTCCGAAAATTTGGGCACAGCTGTCACATAATGTGTGCCCGCATGATAAGACATGCTGAGCTGAACGCAGCAGGCAAAATAGACAAATGTGGTGGCTCTTAAGACAGCACATCCGACCACTTAAGGATGCTAGCTGTTCTCTCCGCAAGACAGCGGATGGCTTTTCTGGTAGTAACTTAACCATGTTAGTGAAGTGACATGTGACGACTTCAGTCTCATACTCTGGCGTGAGCTCTGCATCCGTTGTCTCCAGTAAATTCTTGAACGCTTTCATCAAGTCGGAAGCATACAATCTCTCAAACACCAATTTGGCGTCGATGACTAAGCAAGTTAGCGCGGCGCACGCTCATTAAATATACACAGCGATAATACTGACCAAGCATTTGAGGCACAAAATGATCCATCAAAAGGGCTGATGCTATATCGAGTGCAACGTCCGAGCGGCGGATATCCGCCTCATAACAAAGCCTTAGGAAGTGGGTGAGAGAAGAAATGATACTCCCAGGCACTGGCCGATCCTCTCGAGTGGCTTGTACAAAACAAAAAGGGCTAGCAACGTCTTCGAGCAGATGATCAGTCGCCGATTGGAATAATCGATTAAGTTGTAACCCGCTTGGTCGCGAATGATACTCTTGCCGATTTGCCGAGATGAAATCGATCTTCTCGATTAGTAGCGCTCTAATACGCTGAGACCTGACCGTCTCCGATAATCTATCATCAATAATGTTGGAGCACTTGACTTCGGAAAAAATGGTAGACAAAACGCTCTCGTTACTTCTGTCTGGGCATTCTTTGGATTTTGCTGATAACAAATCATCAACATTCCTGACTGTTGCGTTTGAAGTGCAAAGTACGGAAAGGCTCGGCAATTGTTTTGCGGGAAAAGGATATGCAGATTGAAGCTTTGAGCAACGCTGCACAAATCGGCTAAAACTCTGCAGGTCCTTTCTGTCGTCAATGAATATGCATACCACATCTGTGAACAGAAATATCAGCCGACACCAGACTGCGAGAAGAAGCTCGGTCGATGAATCGGGATTCCAGGATGCAGAACGACCTGGACCGGCCCCAAGTTTTCTTGCGCAAGCCTCATCGGGATCAGGAAATCTTCCGTCTGCCAATAAGATTGGCTTGGAATTCTGCATGGAAGAAGAGTCACATCGGAGTTTGATAGCGGCTGAAGAATGGTATCTCTTGATATTGTTGAAGTTGAAAATCTGTTGGAGAAGCTGATCCTTGATTCTTCCCCCAAGAAACACACACAGCGAGGGTGTTTGGATATCTGGATTTGGTAACTCCTCGACAACATTTCTCAATCGATCAAGAACTCGAAGAGCAGGCTGCGCATCTTCTCTCATTCCAAAATCGAACCAGCCAATATCCAATTTGTTCAGCATGTTTTACGAAGTCAACGGTGATATAATAAACCTCAAAAGCGCAATAATGTCAGCATTCATTGGCGTTTAAATAGCCCTGACAATTGGGTACTCTACCAATTCAGAAAAGAGCATAGTGCCAGAAATCGACAGCTTCTCACCTTCTCCTCACCCCACCACGCTACGGTCTCTGTTACTAGATGAACCTCTGGGAGTCCAGGCCTGATGACCGATTTACGTGCCGGCTTAGCACTGATGCACGCTATTTGAATGACCCTATATCTCGCACCATGCTGAGTCCGTTTGTAAACCCCTGTCCATCCGATCCAATCAGCCATAGATATATACCAACACTACTGATCCTTGTAAAAAGTTGGATTCTCGCCGTTTCAAAGTCCATTAAAGCTGAGACCCTGTCCCCTTTGGAACAGATCTCCCACGCGGATCAACTATGTCTACTTATGAAAGCTTTGGCCAATTTTCGGCTCCGTACAGTAGCAACGATCTGGATCTTGCTCTTGCTGAATGTCAGGAACTCGAAGACCCTCTTCAAAGGCTTAAACCCTTCACCCAAATGACGACAGAGTCTACTAGCCTCCCAGATTTGCAGCTGTATGATGATTGTACTCTGGGCCAGTGGCTTCCAGATACCACGAAACAGACAGATTTGGGAGGATTCGATGACTTCAATGCATCGATAAATGCGACCATGCCGGAATCATGCACCCATTCACTCCAAAGCACGACGTACGTCTTCAAACTTTAATATTTGCTGCTGTTTCGTTCGTTAACAGTAACAGTGGCATCAATGAACCAATACACGGAAATGAAAACCTGAGCCGCAGGAAAAGTGAATTGTTATCGCAATCAGCTTCTGATAACCGGGTGGTGCTCAACAGATCTTCATCAACAATTCGCCACCTTAATGAAGACTATCAGACTTGGGACCAACATGCCGCTTCGCTGTCCAGACGATTCGAGAAAATGGATGGGAGTCTAAATAATGTCCAAGATCGTCTGTCGAGGCTTGAACCTCGTTTGATGGGGTTGGAGCTCAGTCTTGATAAGATTGACGGATACTTTCAACAGACAGAGGCTCATCTGAAGAGAGCTTTACGGGAGATCGATATCCTAGGTGACAAGTTCAAGACTCTTGACAGTATTATGCTTGAAGTCATTCGACGGGAGCAAATTGCAATGCAGGAGATAGGCGAATTAGCGGGTAGATACAATGATCGCTGAGATATCAGGGCTGCTGTCTGATAACGTTTATTTCTTATTCTCTGAACATATCTCTAGCTCATGTCCTATTCCTCAACATCAAGATACCTCGAAGTAGATACAATAAAAGGAATAAACTAGCTATCGCAGTTCCTGAAAAAATGTACTTAGATCGAGCATTCGCTGCAATTTGCCGACTGGTTTTCCCAAACGCTCAAATAGTCTTGATCGGACTGTTGCAGTTGGGCTGCCGCAAGTGCAAGTGCATCCTCAAATGATCCAAATATGTCGAACATCTTTTGTTGAAGACGCAGAAGGATTTGTTTGGTCTCTTTGTGCCATTGAAGCTCTGCTTTCAAGTAACTCAATTCGTAGGCCATTTCCTCGAAACGTGTGTGTGCGTCAAATGACGAGCTTTTCGAATCTCGTAAACGCGATGGAAGCCGCTCGATGATGGACGAGCTACCGCCAAGGCAAAGTACTCGATGATCCATTGGAGATACTTCCTCCGTGATAGGCTCCAGGCGCTGAGAGGTAATATGACTCATTCTCAAGCTAATAGGGGATGACAAGTGTATGTGAAACGCAAAGGGCTTGTTCCTGCGTGGTGCTGTTCCGGAGTGGTGCGGCTTATTAATTATGGAATTTGGGTGGTGAAGACGCACGATTATAGAGAGAAAGTGGAAACAAGACAGAGGAATGAGATAGCAGACTGAGAAATCTTTCGGGCCTATGTCAAGCTGTTATAAGACTTGGAAAGCCGTATCAAAAGTCTTCCCGACCAACCACAAATCTTTGCTACAAGCTGAATCTTGATGTGAAGTCATCTGAATTCTCTATAGCCTACTCTTTATGTTGGGAGTTATCGAAGTGTGTACTTGGTATGGGGCCATGTTCCAGTATGCGTGCTGAGCTCAATATCTGTGGCGGCCGTGAATCTGCGACACGGAAATAGCACATCTACTGCCTATATCCCACAGCTGCGGCACTGAAATTGGACAGTCCATATAGCATTATAAGTATCTCTAACTCTAGCAATGTTTGAGAAACCCAGCAACGCAACAAGCAAGCGATAGCTTACAGCTCTTTTGATTGACAGCACATTCTTATTTTCATTCATTCATCGTGACACATGCTATGCGAGCATGGCTACTGACACAGAAGCCAGCATGACAACTGTGAGAGCTTCTTTCCATACTTTATCGATGTCTGTTCACAATGGAAATCTCACTAATTAAGCAGTCAATTCCTATTGTCGAGAAATTGTTACGACAAGAAGAGGAGTCGAAACGCTATCAAACTACTCTGGAAACAAGAATTTATGATGATTCGCTTGCCTATCAGAGACTGCAAGCGTATTGTTCGAAGATAGAACGGGCTATGGCAGGAATACAGTACCAAAAGTCGCAGGTAGACTTCTCTCTAGCTCACACTGCCGAGACCTGTCGAACATTGGCATACGACCTTTCTACTGAGAGAACAAAGACACGGAATCTGGCCTCTCAACTCCAGCAATTATACCCTGCAATTGATGCTTGGGTTAATGATTCGCTACTCAAATTGCCCACAACTGAGTCCGCCCATTCGGTTGATGTTGAGCATTTGGTCGCTCAGAACCAGCAGCAGAAAAATTTGATTCAGAAACTGCAAAACGAAGCGAAAGCTCGAGAGGATGCTATCGATCAGTTGAAAGAGACTTTGAAACATACAGAGGAAGAGCTGTACGTTGCCAATTGTTTGCAACAACTCGGATCAAGCGATGTGGAACCAATGGAAGAGATCGACAGCCCATTCTCAGCCCAGTCCTCTGTCGATATAGTAACTTAAGAGCCAAGTGTTTTGTCCGGTGATGGCCACGTCAATCTTTCTCTGATAACTATAAATAATCTTAAAAAGTCCACGAATCTTTCGGGTGTCTTGAATAGAGGCGTAAACTAGAGTTTTATCAGGCGCATCGCGCATCGACTTGTTGCTTACGATGAGAAGCATATGTCTGTGCGCTACTCACAAGATCTAGATTTGTCGTGGTTCGGAGATAATCATCCTCTCAAATTTAACTTGAATGGCCCGCTTCTGGCTAGGAGTTCCAGCGTACACGTTGAGAGAAACATGAATTGCAGATTTGCCATGCTGCCTGGAATTCAGTATTTGTGCGATCCATTTCTACCGTTTCGCAATTCTAGCCTTGCCGAAGATAAGAGGTCCCGGGATGGCTTCACCAATGTTCTAGCGTGGCACCTATTCCTGCGATTACGCGCAGGACTCCCGGCCTTATTATGAGTTTCGAAATTGAACCTACAGTCCCTGTAATCCCATCCCTAGCTGCAGCTCGGCAGGAAAATGGAATGTGGGACCCCTGAACCGCGCTTAAATAGAAATCATACGTTCTTTTGTAAGAGTGTTCCAACATTTTCTTAATGAGTGGCATTGATTCCAATTTGCTGAAAACATGGGCTGTAGGCAGCAAGGTAACAGGGGTTGGGTCACCTCAGGTTAGGTAGACATGCTTCTGACAGTGCAGAAATACGTCCAGTAGAGGTCAAAGGACGATCCCGCAATATGCGCTAATGCGACACTAGTTCTAAAGGTCTGCTCTTGTTCCAAGCGCTTTTCTGCGGCACGGGTTCTATACGCCTGCTGCGACATTGGTTCTGAGGTCGCATTCACCAAATAGAAGTAGAATGATGAGCGAGCTCTGGAGCCCTAGAGTTCGAGGTCTATTTAGAGAGCCTAACGCGCATGACAGTTGCCGGTAACGAGGCCATGATTTCAAGCCCGTACCTGCAGTGCCTACCATGTATTTACCTAAATACATTTCATGTCTTGTCGCTGTGGCTAGTGCTTGCCATTTCAGTGTTCCAGTGAAGGTATGATTTTATCAAATGTTAATAATCGCGCACTCAAAATTCGGCAGGTTTATGCTTCCCGCAGCTCCGTGGTTGCGGCAGTTACGCCTATAGGGACTTCGGTCACCGAGGGTCCACCTTCAAGGTTGTAAAAGACGTGCCCCGTTCACGATAATGAACGAGATTTAAGACTAGTCTAACCTCGATTAATCGCTAGTGGAATTTGGCTAGCCTCAAGCCGTATAGTACCCACGTCTCAGCTGGCCTCGAGCGCGAGCATGACTCACGACGTTCAAGCTCTAGGCACGACTTCACCATCCCGTTTACCAATAACTTTCCTAAGCCCCACATCCTTAACGGAGATGGAGGCGAGCGGGCACTTCGCCATGACTCGAACTGATCCAATCAACCTCACAAGCAAGCCAACAGCCAACTCTGGGTCGAGAATTGTCAAAATTCCTGGATCCGTGTTTTCGTTCTTGGTCATTTGTCTTTTTTGACCGCAATTAAGAAACACCGGCTTATCTTCTTTGATAACCATGCTTACTCGTCCAGCAGATAAATCACTCTGCCCCTATGTATTCAGTGCTAGCTATAGTTATACTATCTATCATATGTATCTTATAATTGAAAGTATCGCGTTCATATTTCGATTCTCTAGTAGGCATAGACTACCAATAAAGTGTTGGCGGCTACTAGCGAGTTCAGTGGCGCCGCAGGTCTGCTTACCATCTTTTTCTGCCAAGTAAGTCTGCCGTAGTCATACCCCGCAATTATCGTCCAATTACTTTTGTTTGATGCACTATCCATCCGATGTATGTTTGTGCAACGCAATGCGCGCTCACGAGTGTAAGAGGGTCGGTCGGTGGAGGAAACCCAGAAAGCGGTACAAATAGCGGTTAATAAAAGGGTTATAGATTTTCGTGGCTTCAATGTAGCTCTAAAGCAGGAGGTAGTCGTAATATTACATTTAGGCTGGAATTCCGCCTTTCAGACCCTCTATGCATATGCTATATATCATATTACGTATTTATTGATGGTGAGCCGCACCAACCTTGGTATAAGTCGACTACCGAACACGAGAATAGTCCTTCAACGTCCAATGCTCATACAGATGTCATAATTACGTAGACTATTGGACAATTCTAATTCTATAAAGCTCATGAGGACTTTCACATACTGTCGCGAAACTTTTGGCTTTTATAAACTACAATCCAACACAAACATCACTGAATGGAATCAGAACTCAATACAAATTTTGAAAAAGTGATTGGGCATCATTTCCATGCCCGAGACTTGATAGAAGAGGCTTTGGAAGAGTCGGGACTAGCATCTGCAGGAAATGTGCGGCTAGCCTTGATAGGAGACAAAGTACTCGACCTTATGCTGCTTCAACGTTGGTATCGCGAAGGCAACACTACGGGTATGTTTATACCTTCCAGTACAGACGTTTAGCTGATATATAGGTACAGAGCAAGGAACAAGTATGCTCCAAGCTTACGCCTGCAACAAGCAGCTAGCCTCTAGGGCTAAAGTCTTGAATTTACAGAGATTTATCCACCAAAGACCAGACTTAGACAGGAATGTACCGGACAGCACATTAGCCACCACCGTGGAAGCTATTCTTGGTGCAGTTTGGCTTGATTCCAACGAAGACGTACAGCAGGTGGATGAAGTCATGGAGAAACTTGACCTATACCCACCTTCCGACCGCGTTTCTACCTAATATACTGAGTCCTCCGCATGTGAAGATTATTCTGTCTTCGAATTGATTCAGTATCTATCTAATGATAATTACTGATATGACAATGACCTTTCTTATGGCCCGCCGCATTGAGTCTCCAGTTCACTAAGTATCTCTCGATAGCATGCTGGAAAAGTCTGATGGCTAGTTATTATTTGACTTATTACTGTTTGTAATTGAATAGCTGATTGTTTATTGCCTGTTTCATGCCGAGTATGAGTATCTGAGGTTTGTAATGTTGGTAGAGTGCAATTAACCGCAGGAAAAGGAGACCTGGAAACCGAGGGCCCGCAGATGCTCATTGGAAACCTAATAGCAGAAGTTTTCACACTACAAGAATCGAAACTAAGCCATCTTTCCCTGGAATCGGGAGACCCTTTGCAACAAGAGCTCGTGTTCGTTTAGCTCTCCTCTTTGAGGACATGCTTTTCCAGTGCTGGTAAAGAGCTACATCCTCAAGGCAGACCTTCGTCGGATGCAATCTATCGGTGGAATCCTCAGCAGCACCAGGCTCGTCGAAAGCAGCACCAGGCTCGTTGAAAGCGGCACCAGGCTCATCCGCAGCACCAGGCTCGTTGAAAGCAGCACCAGGCTCGTTGAAAGCAGCACCAGGCTCGTTGAAAGCGGCACCAGGCTCATCTGCAGCACCAGGCTCATCTGCAGCACTTGGAAAAGGGACAAAAGATTCCCCAATAGCGGGCATTCCATTAGTCCACGCTTCTGTCAACTGTCGCCCGCCAGCTATCCCGTCCAGTGGATTTCCAATCGATGCCTTCACCTCCGTGTTCCCATGAATGCGTATCTGTTCGCAGTCGCTCTTCCCGTCCTGCGAGGTGAACTCCTGCGGACGGAGGAGTATCTCGAGCATCATTCTTGTCACAGTATTATCGAAGTAATGATCCTGACCAAAAGCCTTGTAAAGTTCATCCACATCGAACTTTGACTTGCTAGACCTCAACGAGTGCCGGAGGTTTCTTTCGATATACTTCGGAAGCCAGGTTTCGTCCTCAGGAAGGTTTGAAAAGACCTCACTTGTAGTCCGCAGTATATCGGATATAGACATTTCTTCGCCGAACCGTTCTATGTAATCTCGGGCAAGGGCCTCAAGAGAGGGAAGCTGGTATGTTCTGGATGCCTGGTAGATAAGGACACTTCTCCTATACTCTCTCATCGCACTGGATATACCATCATCGACTGGCGAATCTATTGTCTCGTAGCACCCTGAATATAGGAAATGCACAAAGGTATGCCCAACATCCTCGTGAATATAAGGCAGGGTAATATATGAAGACAAAACCGACTGCTGCTCAAATTGCGGGCATTTCCGAAGACAATATCCCAGAATGCAATATTGCTTGTTCCCGATCGTGGCGGTCACGACTGGGCCTTCGTATGGTCTATGAAAAGTTAGATAAAAAGTCGATTAAATGGACAACAGCACTTACGATGACAATGGCTGGACATAATCGACCTTTGGAGATACCTGGACAGACATCGGATTCAGGGGTTCCTCTTGGGCTCGACGCTGCTTAGTTTTCTTCTTGACCATTTTCGTCGGTCCTTGCAGTAAGGAGAGAAGGAAAAACCCGGGTCAATTTAAGGAAATATTCGAAGCAGCGGAATGTGTGCCATGGCTTCTTAGATTTTTGGGCGGCAAAAGAGGGAAAATGCCAGGATGCAGGTATGAGTTGTCCTGCATGCGTTAACCTATACGTACCATCATCGCCAAATTCTCCAGAAGTTGCGGCATGTTGTGATGTGTCCTTGCATTATCACAGCCATTGAAAGGTACAATCTTACCATTTACATGATTATGATTGATTACATTTGGCCAGTGCAGAAGCTTTTACTACTTATCCGCACCAGGACCGTGAGCCTCGTCTTCAGTATCGCGCTATATATTCCTGCAATCGGCCATATTGGCCAGCATCGAAACCTTGTACATTCCGGCATGACAATCAATGTGCCTAAAGCTGAAAGAGAAACTGTAGTGGCGATGCTGGCAGATTCAATTCTCAAAGAAGTCGTCTGCCTTGCTATAGATTGCATCATTTGGTACTGCGAATTCTGGTATTGGGAGCTATGGGAACCGTATCGTATGAGTGGTACTCTGTTCTCCTTTCTCCATCCCAGAGCCGTGTGGCAGGGACCAGATCCTTCGTGCGTGACGAAACCTAAGGACTGAAATAGGACGCTTCAATATCGCGTATTCCAAGAGTCGCAACGAAAAGTTCGATCTCCATATTCTCCACTTATTAATTTCACATTGAAAGATTTCGCACATTACCGATGGCGCCGAGAAGAGCTGATCCTAGTACCCAACGGCAAAACATAATTATCGTGAGGCCGTTTCACCATCTCGTTGCTGATTAATTTCATGATAACGAGGGACCCAAGGCATCCAAAAGAATCTAAGGTGCGAACTATCTCTGGGTCTTGGATAAGGTCGAAGACATGCCTCGATATAATGTCGGCAATCACTTCCCGAAGAGATAATTCATGTTGTGGTACTGACGTCATGACCTTTTGCACGACTTCGTTAAACATAGGAGAGCACCAGTTTTTGTCTGCCCATTGGGAGAGCTTTAGGGTAGCCAGAGCTTTCAAAGGAAGGATCGCATACTTATCAGCAGCGATAAACACTTCAATATTGTTGAAAGCAACTCGATTAGCTGGCTCTGAGATTTCTGGCTTATTTTCCGAAAGAGATGAACTAGAGTCATGATCACAGATGGCAAGCGTCGATATCGGTTGATGATATTGAAGAATGTGCCCATCCTCATTATAATCTCGGAGATAGAGAAAAGATAGAACACGTTCCATGGTCTCTGGAGTGTCGTCTTCAATATTGATAGCTCGATCGATGGATTCCTAAGAATAAAGTAAGCGACCAAAGATATCCTCCATTTCCAAATAAAAAATACCTTGAAGCCATCGCACATCGCGCTATAGAAATAGCTTGACTGAGTGCACACAATAGCTTTGTGAACTCTGAAAGTAATTCCTTGGCAAAGAATCTCCATGTCAGAGAATCGGCCTCGTAGAAGTAGGTCTTGCAGGACATCCTTGAGTTCAGACATGATTGCTATCGCGTCCACTGGCACTTGATCTCGCACGAGGAAGAGAGTTAAGATAGAAAACCGGACAAAATTAAATCTTCGCCCCAACATAAGTATTGCGGGGAAAATTATATCTGACGCGTAGACTGTCGAGTGATGAACATGCGGGGGTCCCATTAATGAGATCCTGTTCTTGGTATTCCAGTACGACAGAAAATACATTTGATTCTTAGTCGCTGTAATTGTAAAACAGGGATGATTGACAACGAAAGATTTTTGAAAGAATACATGTGGTATGATCACCATCTCATTCAAGGTCCACAGTAGCAGGAGGATAGTTGTGGACGTAGGTATGCGAAAGATAAATGATAGTAAAAGTAGAGAGGCAGCAAAGAGTTTAAAACAAAGCTTCGCGGAGGGCCTCAGACTGCTTCCCAAGTCTCATCCATCGATTCTTATTCTGTCGCAGAACATTGATTAGTACCGATAGAGCTAGCTCATTATAGACATCATACATACTGTGGGCGGTACAATATCTCGACCCACTCTCTGCCCAGCTCGTGCAGCCTTCTTTCACGCATTTGATAGCAGGGCTTGGCATTCTTGTGGATTTCAACCGAAAAGGATACAAAAAGAATCAACAGTTGATCGACACAGTGAATAAGGGATTGTGAAGAAGTGATTCGTGGTAAAATGAGCAACCTGCGGAAGTCAACCTCTTTTTAACCTTTCGGTGACCAGAGTCAGGTGTCAGTTGCAACTTCTGATGTATCGTCTGCTTATGGTTTCTCGTGTGATTGTCACACAAATGAGGGGTGTAGCCTATCAAATCTTCTAGCTAAGCGCCATATGAGCTGCTCCGTATGCAATACTTGGACCAACGGAGACTTTTGACTATGATAAAGAAGAAGTAAGGACTTAAGTTTGGGTGACAGCGCTCCAGGTAAGAGCTCTAGGAGGTCTGCGCAGTCGCCACGTGTCAAATTAGCGGTGTGCTTAAGAATCAGGTTGTCCACAATAGACTCAAATTCAGGCGAGCCATGCCATAATGACTCATCACATAAATAGCAGACCCGCCCGAGTTTTCTAATTTCTGTGGTCTTGAGAGATACAAGGCAAATGATGATGTGGCTATGTGATATTCAAGATTGCAACAAACCCTCTGTTCGCATATACGGGGAATGTGCTCTGTGCAATCGTCATCTTTGTGCGAAACATCTGGAACCAAGTTACCATACCTGTCCGAGATGGGAGGTGAGTCCAAGACAACGGCATTCTAGGCCTTGCTGATTCTTGTGAATAGGAAGAGGCTGAATACGACCCCGCCGCCAGGAAAGCCGAACAGGATGAGATCACCAAACTTATTGATAAAATCAACATTCCTGCGCTCATTTCTCGAGCATCAGCTCTTCGGGGTGGCCTTACTTGCTCCATTTTGCAAGACCTTAGATATGACAGATCAACGCGAAGCTCAGTCATGGGAGGAATGAATTACCATATCGAGATATCATTCGATGATGGCATCAGTTGGCTGGCGCGTGTTCGAAGGTCCAACGCGACTTCGCCGCCAGCAGAGCTACGAGATTACATTCTGCGCAGCGAGGTTTCAACCCTACATTTTCTTGGTGAAACTCAAGTCCCAGTTCCGAAAGTTTTCGACTTCAATTTTTGTGAACCGAACCCTATTGGCGTTGGATATATCCTAATGGAGAAGCTGCCAGGAAGTTCCTTGCGCTGGTCTCTGGCCACTCCCGAGCAAAGGAAAAAGGTAGCAAGTCAACTTGCAGACATTTATATTGAGCTAAAGGCTCATCCTTTCGCTATGACGGGCTCTATGCACCATCCAGGCTCTTATGATCTTGGACCATTTGCTCGAGAGTCCTTGACTGACTTTCATGATTCCCAGATGAAAGCGCTAGGTCCTTTCTTCTCCATTGAACTATACTTTAGCGCACATATCCGATTAATTTTGGATCTTATCGTTCGACAGGAGTCGTATGTCGACCGGGCAGTCGATGCGTTTTTGATTCATCGTTTTCTCTTGGACAAGGTCCCGGAAGCTTGTTCTCAGAGACTTCTCGACGACGGGAAGTTCTACTTGAAGCATGCGGATGAGAAGGGGGACCAAATACTTGTTGACGAAGAATTTAATATTACTGGAATTATAGACTGGGAGTGGGCGTATACAGATTCAAAGTCAGGAGCATTCAACTCACCGATCGTCCTGCTCCCTGTTGCTGATTTCTACGCGGGTAAAACCTCCATTGGTGAAGACGAAACTTTTTTTGCAGAGTGCTTTGAAGCAAAAGGGCATCCGGATCTCGGAAAGATTGTCAGGAATGGCCGGCTCATCCACAGATTTCGATTTTGCTGCGGTTACGACCTCGCAGATTGGGAGGGATTCCTTGGGCTCTTTGCCGGACTTTTGGGAGCCATGGGCATCACTAGTGATTTCCATTGGGAGACTTGGAAGGCAGAAGCATTGGAACACTACAAAAATGATCATCAACTCCAACAAGTGATCGAAATGTATAATTGAAACATGCTGGTCTCGCCAAAAGGTGACAAAAAAGGAACAAAATGTCAGTTTGAGAATCAAGATGGCTATTTTTCTTTAGTACCTTGCTCCATTTCAATTATATACCACGTTCGTTCAGACAAGAAACCTGCCGATCAGAACATTTCGACTCACACAGTTTTCAGGCAGTTGCCGAGCCAAAAGCAACGCATCGAGGAATGTGACCAGGAGACGGTCGAGTGACCTGCACGTCAGTTTGCCAGCAAGATGCCCGAACAAGTCTTCAGCCCAGCAGAGGTTCTAACATTTCTTCTGGAGCGCAAGAAGTCACCCTATGATGCTGTTTCTGCTGTGGAGAGCTGGGTGGCGGAAGCAAAGCATTGAAAGGAGAGAAGGAAAGGAAGAAGTAGGGGGTCGTTGCCAAGTGAAACGTGAAAAATATACGGAGAAGCTGGGAAAGTGAACAATCTCATTGGTCAAGGTTGCCGAGCGGTGGGCGCTTATCGCAATTTTTTCGATTAGTACACGACAGTCCATAATATCGGTGCTGAGGCTTCATAGTCGAATCAATCATTTCATATCATTCATAGCATCACATAAAGTCAAGTCCAAGAGCCAGAATTGGGTGATCGATTCGTCACTGTCAACACATATAGGATTGTATATCACCTGAGGCCAGTATATGCAGTGGAGAAGCGGGCATCAAGAATGATGATAAAAATAAATCCTGATTGATTCAGGCAGATGCGGCCGGAAATGCTGCATGCTTCATTATCATGCGTAATTGAATTGCTAATCCAATAAGATTGAGCACCCTTCACGTCACACGAAGACGTTTCGAACCAACTGTCTCTGGTTGACGGTGTCGTCGTTTTGAGGCTCGCGGCTGCTGCAAAGTCGGTCGACGTTTCAATGTGGAGCGGTGAAAGTCGATGATCATTGCCCGCCCAAGCTGTTCATTCCAAAGAACATTCTCACGTCGAAGGTCTTCGTGGATGATTCCCAAAGCTCTGATTTCCTTGTTCGATTGGTGAACCCTCTGCAGAAGCTCAGGCGTCAGCTCCATCGATGCCATACTTTCCCCCCCCAGGCCATCACGAGCATATGGCGAATCTCTCCAGCACCGTGAAGGAAATAAATTTTTGCCAGGTCGATTGTACCCAAGAAAACAGGAACAGCGGACCCTTGTACCTTACGCAAAATTCGGTATACCTCCGCTTCGCGAGAGACTTCTTGCCACAGCCTAGTTGTGGTGCCTTTTCCGACGACAGTGTAGCCGTATGTGATACAAGTAAGTTTGAACGGCGCGCCGTATGCCCCGCACCCTCCGAGGGGTTTGCATCGGTCAATGTTTTCGTCCAATTGTGCTTTGAGTAGACGGACCAAGTCTTCTGAAGTAATCGGATGCTGCTGATCATCCTTGCTTCGACGATGTAGCATCACATTTGGACAACAGTCGTCTAGAAGACCGCCAGACTGCAACCCGAGTAAACATTTCTGGGTGCAGAATTGTGCGCCGCGGTGGCGGGACTGGCTGTCTGGACCCCTACCATCGATTGTCTCTCTTTGTCGGGCCACGCGTTGGACGGATGGAGATGACGGAACTTGACTGAAGGTTCGTTTGCGGCGCGTTGCCGGATTTGAGTCGGTGTCGGGTGATTGTGACGAGTGTAAGCGATGCCTCACATCGGATGGGGCACAGCTAACTCGAGATTTAGAAGACACTTGACGTGATAATGATTCCGGGGGCTCTGGCGGTGATGACGATGGTTCATAGGTCGAACCAGAATCTGGGCTTGGAAATTTGGGCGCGGTACTGTCGGAGTTGAGAGGAAGTTGGCGGAATTCGTCTTCGGGAATGCGAGAGCGAGTGTGATCGAAACTGGTCTTCCATAAAGGAATGTCTGGTCGTACGGAATTCCTCCACTCCTGACCTCGCACAGGCGAGCGGAATGCCATCAAACACAAAGACAGTGTTCTTGCGACAGAAGTGTTTTCAAGGGTAGCTTCCATTTCCATATCCACTTCGCTATTTGGATCACATAGAAAGTAGTAGAGCGTGCCAGGTTTATCATGTGGAACACGGAGGAGCACCCGAGCGACCCCGTTGGTCACATAGGAGTACTCTAGCCCCTCCTGAATCATGACATGATACTCCTGGACAAGAGCGGAGCAGACAAGTCGCTCGGCGTTGTACCTCAGCTTGGCTGCTTGGTTTGTCGGTATTTTGTTTGATCTGACCATATCCTTCCATAGGTCCATTGGTCGCAGCCCCATGCGAAGGGTGGCCAGAGAAAGCTTGTGGGGTGGCTTATACTCAACAGATGTGAGGAGAGTGGTAGTGTGATCGTCGACACGGTGGATGCAGAACTGATCAGGTCTTGGGTGGTGTACACTTGATGGTTGGCTTGCATCTGCTTCGGGAGCTTCGTTCTCGTTTAAGGAATTCGTATGGTTGCTGAACTGGATTTCATCGCCGAGACCGAACTCGTTGCGAGCAGCTGGTAGTTTGCACAGCTCGGTAATTATGTCATGGACATGTTCTTCCACGGCGAAGCGCTCATAGGCCTCGAGTTCTTGCTCGCTGCTCATCGGCTTCCGACCAAGTCGACGGCCTAATCCTTCTAGCTCAGGCAAAGATGAGAACAATTGAGGCGCCCCCCCGGGGGTTAACTGGAGATAGTTGTAGACGGATCTGAAAAGCTCCGACTGCAGTGCTGAGCAGTCAGCCCAGTATTCCAATCGTGTTGGGCAATGTTTTCCCGTGGGAAGGGGGATTTTTCCGGTTGTCGACCGAGATGGTGTCTCGACTCTCAGCGGTCGGGATAGCAGTTCATGGCAATGGCGTAAGAATTCCACAAAAGTGGTTGGTCGGCTGAGCTCTTGAAGTTGCTTCTGTCGGTCTTCAGCCTGCTTCTGCCGGTCTTCAGCCTGCTTCCTCCGCTCTTCTTCCTGCTTGTGTCGCTCTTCAGCCTCTTCGCGTCTCTTTTCCGCCTGCAGAAAAAGAGTCTTGTAATCTGGCGATTTCTTGTTGGCCATCGATTTGTTAAGGGTCCCTTGAGACAATCGCGACTGGTCTTGGTTGGGGGCTGATGTCAGCTGATCACGATTTCCGGTGGAAGTATTTTCCCGAGAGATGACAAGGTTTCTGGTGGCTAAATTTAGCACCTCGAAGGTATGATAATATTCCCGTTGTCAACAAAAAAATCCACAGCACTCATAAAAATTGAATTTTCGCAGGCATCAAAGGGACTACTGTGGAGGCAATTGCAATTCACCAGGTCGGTCGCCTCGCGCTTAGTCGTGAAGGTCGCATCTGTCTCGCCTCGGATCGCTTGAGACAGACATGTGGCAGCGATCGTAAGGGCAAACAGAGTGTGTAGTTGAACTCGAATAATGTTTGATCCATCCATTGTCGAAAGTTAGTATAAAGTAGAAAGACGAATGACACACGTTGAAAGAAACCTAGTAGGGAGTCCCTAACTTATTCACTTGGACATACCAGTGACACAGGATATTGAGCGGTCGCCATGTTCACGAGGCAGTCACAAGCTACGTGTTTGACATGTATATCCGTGGAAAATCCCAGCTCCCTTGGCCCGCCAATACAGTTATGAGACAAGGTACGGAATTTCGATTAATGTAAACTACAATATCCAGACTGATACAGGAAATATTTCGTTGCTGTTCACAAGTCGAAGAGTGCAAGCGGTTGCACCGGTTTCGGGACGTACTGTATCTGCCTGATGTGTGCGAGACTACTCCCGCATTGATGAGCGGGAAAGTGTGATACATGTTCTGCTAGATTGTCCTTCACTCCGAGATCTACGCCGAGAGCTCCGGAGGAAGGTCGGGAACGCGTTTAACAGCATGACGACCTTATTGGGAGGACCTGGAGAAAGGGGAACTGCTTCACGTGCCAAGACGGTGGAGGCTGTCTTGGACTTCGCTGAAGCGTCACAGCGATTTCGAAGCCGCGCGCCATGAGGGCAGCAAGACAAGCAATAAGGGCTACTAGGCCACGACAGGCCCCGACGAGGCTCTAAGTTCGTTTTGGAAGTAGTACACGAAACATGTATTCTAGATGTATATATAATTGTGGTAGCCTGCATATCACTTCGGTGAGGGGTCAGGGTAAATGAATTACACACACACACACATACTGTATCTGCCATACTGTTGGTATGACCGCAATTTGTGATGGAAAGTGTGTCGCAGGCCACGCCGCTGGTAAAGGAGAAAGAACTACCAAGTGGTCTAAGTTATGCAGCCCTCAAAGCCCATTCCAGACTCAAGGTCGAATCTCTTCAGCTATCGGATACGACACGATGACGATATGAATGTAATTTCATTAGATGCTAGAGTGCGTCGGCGGCTAGGCATTGTCCATTAGTGGGCTGACCGATCTATGTGAAAGCCCATCTTCCGTATTGCGCGCTATCTAACCGTTCCTTCGCTTTCAGGAGGTATCTGGCAGAATGCCTAGCTAACCAACAGGGACCCAAAAAGATGCAGAGTGGCCTTCTTATTCTCTTCAATAGACTCCTTCATCTCTCGGTACTCGTCGCAAGGTAGCCAAATATGCCATTCTTGTCGTACCCATTTGGCCTTCGATATCTTTGCATGCCGAGCTCTGTGCTTCTGCAGAATGCTGAACTGCTCGGACAAAGATCGTAATTCACGGGCTTCGAAACATTTATGACAAATCGTGTGCAGATTCAGACGTCGTTTAGCGGGTAGTAAAAAGACCAGGCATAGGCGTAAAGTGATCCCAGATCATAAGGCACGATTTTGAGGTCCAGCCGGTGAAAATTCGTAGTTCCACAACTGACACAAGACCAGGTAATTCTGCCCCTCATTATGCTAGAACTCAACTTAGCTTTAGTACGTGTACTAATAGAAAGGTGCTTACTTACTTGAATAGGTACTATTGAGCACAAAATTACTTGACGGTTGGTTTCCCAAGAATTTCAGAGAACCATATCATGTGCTTTTAAGTAATCTCTGCTTAAGCCGGAAATTGTGTCGCAGCGCAACCGATCTACCCAGGCGTTAGAAACGTGTGTCGCGGAAGGCACCTCACGGGATACACTACTCGTCCAAAATAATCACACTCATTACACTCACTGGTAGCGCTGAGCGACCAAATAGTAAATTACTAGAGAAGTCAACTTAGAAGACTGTTTGTGAGCTTCACTCATAATTGATGCATGTGCAACATGAAGTATCCTACAAGCCTGCCAATGGAAATCCTCATTCTGGTAACAAGAGAACTACAGCCCAAGTCGCTGAAAAGTCTCTCTTTAGTGAACAGAAATTTGCGAGCCGCTTGCGCACTTATGCTATTTAGAAGATTTTGACTACTCTTCACACATAAGAGCTTTTCATTGCTAAGGGAACTTGCCAGGTCCCCTTATGCAAGTTTTGTGGAGGAACTCGAGTACCGAGTACCGAATCTGTATGATCCAAGTAAGTTTCCTTCGCAAAACGCTCGAGGATTCAGTCAAGTGAATCAGTCTTTGACCATAAATTCAGTGATCCAGAATTGGCTCTATTTCACTGCGTGCATCTACACTCCTCCTGAATACAATCGCGACCAGAATTGTTTCGCAAAGTTCATTCGCTGCAGAAAACTCAATTATAAGACTATATATACGCGATTGAGAAAAGTGGCACTTGAGCAGGCGTCTATTCTCAGAGATAGGCGTGATTCTCGTATATGGCAAAGCTCCTTCCCCAAGCTGAAAAAGTTACGTACAGTAACTCTTACTTCTATCAAGTCGTCGCCGGAGTATTCTGTATTTTGGTGAACGACTGTTCATCGGCGAGGAGTCTTCAACTACAATTCATATACAAGCAGTTTTTGGAGGTATAGAAGCGGCTTTTCATGGTCATGTTGCCATCGACACCATTGAATTTCGTCGCCTCTCAGGACATCCTGATCACCGTACTCTGAGGAAATTGATGCTTCGCGCCTTGAGGAATATTGCAAATTTGACTTTGGTGGAAAGCGAGTGCCCACTTAACTGTCTTTTCTCAGAGATGCTCCCACGTTTGAAACAACTTGAATTACGAGGTTGTTGGCTCTCAGGTAACGACTTTGCCCAGCCCTTGCAAATACAAGGATTATATGAGCAGCACACCGACGAGATTCCCAAGAGATTTATTCTTTGAAAATTTGACAAACTAGTGCTGGTACGGAAGCACCTCGGAAAATGATATTTTGCACGGGTTTGCAATCTGAATCACAAATTCTAAGTATATGTGAAGTAGATGGCTTCGCCTTAGTGGTACAAGTTCAAGAAAAAGTCGACGTCAGTGTTGCTGGCATGTCTGTTTTTGATCACCAAGATGTGGCTTTGGCGCTCGTCGCTCTTGCTAGAGCCCAAAGCTCATGCATGAAACATCCAACCTGGCATATTAGATTGTGCTCTGTATAAATTGCGGTCTTGAGTACCACTAATTCCCCGACCAAGTGAGTTATTTCCCTTACCCGATCTACCTGTATGATATGGAGCATGACTCGTCCTCGCGCGGAAATGAAAAGCGTGCCTCTTGGAGGTCCAAGTGTCGAAAGATTCTTTCCCAGCATATTTGTAAGGAGGGTCCAATCAATTGAATCGCCTGGCCAATCTAACACTGCATATCTATAAGGGGACACACTTGAAATAAGGGTACAACCAACCCACGTTCGACTCAAGACCGACAGAAGCCATCAATATCTATGGAAGGTGGAAGATCCATCCCTCCTTCCACTTTTCAAGAAGCATCTCAGCAAGCATTCTGTGGGAGCGTACATTGAACTTTGTGAGGGTATCAACTCAAGGTTTCGGGCTGTTCGTCGCACACCAGTAAGTCAGGCTCTTGATAGTTACGGAGCGACAGCATTTTGTGGACAACTGACGAGCAACGTAAGTAGTTAGTGAGCACCAGAACAAGCCATGATCTTCATTCAGATCTTGACCGAAGACTTCACGTTCTTGCCGAGCGGTTGAAAATTGCACAGAATGACAGTCATCAATTGAAGATGTCTGGCAAATCAATGGAAGATGAATTGAACCGCAAGAGTGCTGCTCTAACAGAAGCTTATTCGACGATACAGAAACTTCAAGAGGACGTGTCAGATTGGATGGCGATTGCGGAATGCTACAAGACTCGCTGTGACAACGCGTCGGTTATGGCGAGCAATGTAATGGCATACTTACAAGGCAATTGTACTGACATGAGTTACTCTCCAAATTGACAACATAATCAGTGGTACCTGAAGTCCAAGTACTGGTGGTTACAGGGATTATGATCAACATGTGGTCCCAAATTGTAAACTAGATTCTGATTGACCCATCGCATTGCGTTCGACCTCGTTAGATTATAGACTCGTACTGTAATTAGAGCGCTTTAAGCATCCATACTATAGAACACAGTTGGTGCAATGAATCTGACGAATGACTGAGAGTTGTTCCAAGCAACCTCGACACGTAAGGACCTAGGTGGCGTTCCTCGACCTCCGTAGCGCGCTTTGGTGGCCGTCGCGGCACGTTTTTAAGGCTTTGCGGCACGCTTTCAGGCTTTGCGACATGCTTTCAGGCTCCACAAGCACGAACTCAAATTCAACCAAACACATCAAACGGCTATAGGCTGCGAAATTACCAAGAAGTTATCTGTGTTAGGTATAAAGCACTGCTGGTTCGAACGTCCTGAGAAGAGGCAGGTGCAACTAGCCCATCAATCTCCAACCAACCATTTTCCCACGCGTCTAGAAACAATTATCAACATGGCGAAGCGGAGGCAAAGAAGAAGTCGGGATGCTCGTGAAATTCAAACCCCGTTTTCGGACAATGAGGACAGTGTCAAGCCTGACAATATCGTACCGAAACTATTACCCAAGTCTGATGGTATGTCTCTCGACCTTGCTACTTTGAATTGTGATCACAATAGTGATCGTATCTGAGGGATAGAAAACCAAAAAACGAAAAAGAAAACTGGAAAGAAGACCAGATTCGGGAGGAGCCCGACCAGGGCGGGAGACTTCGCACCAAATGCTGGTGTTCACGATTCGGCGGACGAGACAGACCCAGATATCATGGATCTGGCTTCGGACCATGGTGGTATGGCTGAACATGAGCCTTCTCCAGTCAGCGAAAGGGTGAAACGCATCATTCGAGAAGATACCTTCGCTCATTCAAACAAGATGATCAAGTTTCTTGCGACGGAGGAGCCCGATTACGAAAATTGCGAGAGGTTTTTCGAACATCTGAACCACAAGATTCACAGCGCCAATAAGGATGATGGTCTCCCTGAACTTAGTGGTAGTATACCCCAATCATTCTATCCTTCGACGTATCGAAACTGGCGAAGAAAATTTGAGGAAGGAATAGAAACAAAGTCCTCTGAGTATGTGATGATGGCATTCAAAAAGACTCATGAACTCATCAATAGGTTCAACGAAAGGTGTCACCTTCCGCAAGAATGGAATCTCGATCGGGAGGTCATGAAAGAAGAGGCCGAGATTAAAGGTCTTGAAATTGTGAATGACAACGACTCTATCGCCGACGAGAAGTCTACAGGACTGAATGACCAGTCCGATGTAGATGAAGATACGGCAACCTCAAGCCAAGCATCAAGCCTTGACAACAATGGCCCTACAGGCCTCGATGCCTTGGAATCACGAACCATAAAGGAGCAGCGTAAATTATCCACGGCTAAGGTCCTATACTGGTGGCCTAAAGGAACTGGCTCCCAGACCTTCGTGAGATATGGAGACCACAAGACGCCTATTTATCGAATTCGAGCGGGGTCTTATGAGAGATACAATCGTCATACTGTTCCGCGAATCTTCCCATCGAGGGCTCGTGGCAGCGCTAAGATCATCAGTTCCAAAAATGGACTTGAACATGAAGTTTGGAAGTACACGCGTGAAGACGTTGAAGATATATTGGGGATCGGCTGGAAGATTGAAGAGGACGATGAAGAAGGCTTCGATGCTCTTGATGCCATACAGGCCACCAAGGATGCGTGCTATCCGCAGACCCGCGCTCTTGTGAAATGGAAAGATGGCGCGATCACGCTTGAGACACGTTCATTCATTCGTCGTATAAGTTCTGGATCCAAATTAGACGCTGACCGAATGATATTCCAGAAAGCTGTGGAGCTTGAAACGGCATACCGCAAAAAGCACGGACTAAGCGATGATGTGGACAGTAACCACAGTGGACAAGAAAGTGATGCGGACCAATCAAAAGACAAAGCGTATCGAGACAGGAGCAGACGCCACTCCCGATTTGCCAGAAGAGGATCACGTGATCGCTCTCCCGAATCTGAAAACACTGACGCAACTATGTCGGAGAGCGAGCCAAGCGTGATTCCCCAGAAGAAGCGACCAAGCAGGCGCCGTAACGAGTCCAGTGAGAGGTCCAACCGACGGGGCCGCGATGAAAAAGAAGAAACAGCGACAATAATCAAGCTCGAAAGACAGCTTCACCAACTGCGAACGAAACTGGCAAAGTCAGGACGGTCATAGAGGCCTAAGAGATGGACTGCTTTCATATCCATTGTACCTCTGTTTTTTTTCTTCAAAAGTTGATAACAGAGGTAGGACTTGACTAGTCCCTGAAGTCGAAATGTCTGGATTCCAGTGGTTTCTTGTCTGCCGTTTCAATTGCCCCAGAATAAGCTCCTACGTGCCTGTCGAGAGGGTTTTCTCTCCTGCTGTCGTCTGCAGGTTTTCCCTCTCATTTTCCCTTTTCTCAGCGTCTCGTTTGTATATCCAAGCTCACCAAAAATCTATCTTTAATAGCCTCCTTACTATATTTCTGTGACCGTAAACAATTCCCTGGCAGAGGGTGTCACCAGACATGGATGTAAGCTCGGGAGTCCTCTGCCTTGCCTTAGAATTATTCTCACTCAGAAAGTATCTGATGCACAACTGACTTAAAATTGACTGACAAATCATATCTATCTTTGAATAAGAAATAAGGATGACTACTCTACTAACAAAAAGAAAGTAGTGAACATATTCGAGATCTTAACAGAATAGCAATTGCAATGCGGTAAACGCCGACTCAATGATAGAGTTGCTTCTTCTTTGTTGTTGGTATATAACCCCAAATAAGATCGTTAGGCAAAAGTCTCGGAAATAGTTAAGTAGTACCATATGCAAGCTAGCACATCAACTGTGAAGGTAGGGCCCAATCATTTAGCGCCATCAGATGATCGAGTATTCTGGATTTCGAACGCGAGGCTGACATGCGACGTAGAGCGGACATTAATAGACAAATCTGAAGCATAACCACGGTAAGTCAATATTATGAGAGCTTTGTGACTCGGCGACATGAATTCTACGATCTTTCCCCAACCCATGAAACTTTTTATAACCACCTCCAACCTATCTACGATCCAAAATCCTTCTCTTGTGAAGGGCTGTAGCAGAATTGATTCAATTATACTAGGCCACGTGCAGTTTACAACAATCTTGAGGAAAGAAGAAGGGACAGGACTGGTCGCGGTCCTTAAGAGTATCGATCCCGTTTCGGATGGGATCCTCTAGAACCTCATGATGGAATCGTTCAGAATCCTTCTGCCAAGACGATATCCGAAAGGCCATGGCACATGGTTTACCACCGGGCACTGGCCCGTCACAGCAAGCTTTCCAGTACAAGACTAACGCCTGTCAACATCTCGAGCATTCACGAATTCTGCGCACCAGACAAACAGTTCGGTAGAGGAATTTTTTCAATAAACAATAATTGACCTATGCCCTTAATATTTCAAGGTGTCGCATGTCAACATAGAGATAGATGCATTTTCTTCTCAGCTACACTATCGTCAGCAGGATTTTGGCAAGGACAGAGGAAGAGAGTTAATAGCCCTTACGTTCAACGACCTAAAACTAGGTTAGAGAGGCCCAATTCGCAAACGACACGAAATCCTCGAAGGTAACGCAGAATGTGCTGCTAGGATCTTCACCTTCCTCCAAATTCGTGTTTGCTGAAACAGCTTGAGCAGTCCCGTAAAGATTTGAAAGGGCCTGGTTTAGCTGCGTCAAGTCAGGGCTGTGTGAGAGTTGATCTGGGGAGACAAGTGGAGTGTTTGATGGTGCCCGAGGTCCTCCGCTGGTATTTATAGGCTGCGTAGGGGTGGTGGCACCGGGGAAACGCCGTGCGTCCTTCGAAATAGACTGAATCTCATTGAGGGCCATGTCGTACGTTCAAAATCTCGTGGAAGGTAAGAGAAGGCAGTTCAAATTGATAAGAAATCGTGATTTGCTCTTTCTTATATGATTCTGCTACTGGTCATCTTTTTAATATTGAGCGTCCATATTCTGCAGGATCCCATATCTCATGGCTAGCAGTATTCCACAAATCTGGTGGGCTATAGAAATAATGACCGACCAACAAAGGCACACTTGGCGAGCTTGATGTAGACAGGCGGCTGGTGAATATTTTGTGTGAATATTATGCTTGGAAGTCTACGCTGATGACCTTAGGTTTGAGAGAAATTGACATAAATTCGATTGACCAAGGCACGAGCTGAACACTCCGAAGCTCACCACCATGTCTTGACAAAAAGATTGTCAACACTGTCTGCAAAGAGTTACCCTATTGTAATCAAACCAAGACACGACGGGCAACGATCTTCGAGCTTTGTGATAGACATATCTCATGATGAGGCATTTTGATATTCAAGGTAAATACAACCGACCCGACCCTGGTTGTTTGGCTATTGTCAAGTCGATTTTCTAAGCGTCGACTTCATCACGCGCAATATTCTAAAATATCGCCGGGTGATCTGAACGATGGGTTTTCAGACAAAAAACCGAGTAATATGTGAACAAAAGAATACCGGCTTGTCCCTATGAGCAATGCTAGTATTTGCTTTTAACCCGTCGTTTTATTCCCGCCTTGTTTCGCTATGCACAACATGTCAGAGAGATTCGTTCATCTTCTCAAAAGCGGGTTGTGTGACTGGAGTAAGATGAGAGATGAAGGAGAGTACCTGAATAGATCCAATTACCATATCGGTATTATTGAAAATGGCTCGTATTATAAGTCTTGTCGCAAATGACCACTCGATATAAGGCTGAGGTGTTTCACTAGAAAGGCCTCATTTAGTATTTTGCCTGGTAAGTTTCACGATTGAAGGCTTACATATAACAAAAGCTCGCGAATCTGGCGGCAAGAAATGACACAAAATACCAGCGTAAAGTAAAGAAGTAGAAAATGACCTAAGATCGAGCCAAAGGAGAGAACTTCTGATCTTTGGTTATCCATCTCCGAAGAAAAAGAAAGGCACATAGTCAGTATAATACAGACACAGATAGACATATATAAGTAGAAAAGTATTTGTGGGGCTAGTTCGGCCTTTTAAAGGCACGGATTTTTCATTCTCCATCTTCGACTCGTCGGGCACAATTTACACCTGGCTCGTGGCTGCTACTTCTGACTCGTCTTCCAATACCCAGAGCCAAAGATTATCTATAAGTAGTCCGCTTTGGCGGCGTTCCGGGCTTTATTCTTGAAGATCAGTAGCTCTCTATCCTATTACGGGGACAAGTCCGCATGATGAACACAGAGATTTCAATCTTAGTTGATGCCGTGAATGACTACTGTAAGTATTGTGACCCTAGAAATCTGATTCTTAGGCTAATATTCCATAGTCAGCGACGCAGATGTCCAGTGGAACCTTATTGGCACCAGCGCTAGCCCCGAGCTGGAGAATCTTAATCGCTTTGTCAATGAAGTTTTGACTTCTAGTCGCGAAGACTCGATAAGGGAACTCTTGTGCGAGGTCCTACAAGTTAGTCTTTTGAATGCTCCTCAGAGTATAATGGACAGCTTCAAGGAGAGTTGTGAAGATAGAAACCAGAACGTCGCCCTTGTTCTTGTTATATTCATTGAACTCGGATTGATGCCGCCCCCGTCTATCATTCAATCCGTAGCCAAGATCATCTTGTGCGAGCCCGGAAATGATGTGACAAACCACATCCTGGAAGTGACGAGAGAAAGAGCCCCCGAAAACCGATTTCTATTTGCGAAAAATCTCGCGGTGCTGTTGAGTCAATTGGAGTGAGATTCCTGGAGATTGATGGAATGCACTATGCTGGAAGATTCACGAGGCACGATGAACGACAGGGTTTTGCTGAGAGCCACAAGGTGGAGAAACACTGGCGTCAATCTTTATGTCTGTATTCACGCGTAGTATAGCCGGCTCATTCTCATTCACCATTTATTGTACCTGGCGACTAAGAAGAAATTAAAAGAACTCAATCTAGAACTAGCATTCCAAAGACTGGTAGCTTATAATGGCACTGAGTATTCGGACTTTTCTAGCACCTAGGCCATACGCTATGATAAAAGGATCCAAATCTCTTTTCCGTCCAATTAGATATCATTGACGGCTATTAAGACCTCAGCGACGTATATGATGGGTATCTTGCGAAATTAAGAGGCCTCCCAATCAGAATGATGGACTGCATTTGTAGGGTGAACTGGAAGACGTCAGATATCCCCGCACACTTGAATCAAGTAAGACCACTCACAAGAAAGCGGTCTCCAGATAGATACATTGTTTTTCGCCGGGCCTATGCGGTTGTAATCGAAACACTCATTTGGGCGGGGAAGAACGGTGATACCACTGCTGATTGGTAGCTGAGCTAGGTGGGTAGAAGTAGGATGACGAGACAAATCTGGGAAACATCGTCGAACTTAGCATTCTTAGGGGCGTAATATTTCAAGTGCTGGGTGAATACCACTATGCTGTGTCTGGGATAGTGAAGCCGGCTCTTCATTATCCTCGAGCGGTAAGCAGTTTTTCAAGGTTCTGACGGGCTTGAATAGCAGAGTTCTCAGGCCATATGCCGCAAGTTCGATGCAGGTTTCAATTGTTTTTTTGTCGGAGACCTCGCATTCAAGATTTGCTTCCGGCTTTCTTTTCCAAACCAAATCGAAGAGATAGTAGGGGGCATGACGAATTGACTGTGCCCACTCCGAGAACAGGAACCGCGGGGACATGGTTCACAAGCAAGCGACTTATGATAATTGTTTGAACTAGACTTGAGCAATTTCGTATGAGGTGATTATGGACAATGGAGGCCATCGTTGCACGGTATTATATCTTTCATAGTCTATCAGCAAAGAGATATCTGCTTGAAATAAAACATAATCACACGGATCTCATAGCACCGCCTGCACATTTCATGTCAGAAGAGTAGTCACCACTATTTTGCCCTGGAAGCAACTTCCCTGAGATATTTCTGGATATCCCTTATCTCCGTGCCACATGCTTTCGATACCAAAAAATAGACATAGCACTCAAATGTCGAATCACAAGTAGTGAGGCTGACTACACTCTTATACCACGTTTACGTTGACCCATTGCCCATACATACGTCAGAGACTGATATTACTGCAACTGGCGCTTAGTTGTTAGAATTGTGCTGGCAGAGTCTGACATAGTAACGTTTACGCTTACAAAACTAGAAAAATTAACTCGAGCTCAAGTGGGGGACGCACACAATCTTTCAGTTCCCAAAAAATTTGAAGGGTGGATAAGATGGATCTTCCTCGCCAATAATGTTTCGATATTCAAGCATCGGCCTTCAATGGCAGACGGAAATACAAAAAGCGAACATCGGCAGACGTACATTTATTTGGATCCCTTCTGATAAAATACAGCTACACGGTTAGGTGTAGCCGCAGAAAATAAGAGAAGGCTGAGGTCAAGATTACTGTGGGGGAAAGGTTCAAGGTTCTATCTAGAGCGGCAGAAACACATGCCATACAAACACCTTCATTAGCTCGCAAAGCGCTCCCTCGCCCCCAATAGAAATTTCACGGAGGACCACTGCAGCCTGGCTCTCTAATTAGGCGAATGAGTTCACTAGGTTTCCCAATTGCAGTGACAATAAACCCCTGTAATGGTGGTATGGCGACCTTTATCTGCCAATCTCGAAGATCATCCTGCTCATCGCTGCGTGTCCCAATCGGAATAAGTGCTTCCATGAAACCTTCCTCCAACCCTGCCGAAGCAGTAATAGATATCATAATGGACCCTACCCTTTGAATCAAAATTCTCTGGTGCAAATAATTAGCAACAATTGTCAAATTTCGAACCTCCTCAGGCACTTCGAGACATATGTTGCCGATTTGCTCATTCATCCGAAGTAAAAGGGCCAAGCCAAGATCGTGTTTTGCCCATGTCAGATTTGCGCCATGCATCAACAAGGCAATATATATCTCGGCAAGCCAGTAATAAGACCTTTGGCATGTATGATGACTGAGGAAAAGCATAGAGCAGGCTCTAGACAAGTCAGGGTGGATTGGACGAAAGCTGGGCCCCGTGACATTTTCTATCTCCAGGATGATAGTAGCTTTCTCCAGATTCTTGTCAGCTTTACCGGCTCGTTAAGGGAGAGAAGCTCGATTCTAACATTTAGACACTGGGGTAAACCAGTTAAGTGGTAATGGATTCGAGTCATCAGCCACTGTAGTTGAATCCAAAGATGGTGAAGTCATTGTTCTCTAATAAAGCCTTTGGTGAGGGGCTTTATTTTTGAGAAGGCCGGTGGGATAAGAGTGTCTCAGTGCTCTTATCGAGCTCTGAGCTTTGACTTGGATCAGTGTGATTGAGTAAGAAGAATTGAATCTTGTCGCAGATGACAACATGTGTATTCGCTGCGAGTAAAGCCATTATATGTTATAGGTGATTGTTGGGTCATCAACTTAAGGAAAGTTTGATATCTGCAATTGATACCATCGAGAATATCGTAGAATCCCAAATTGAGAACGCGATCTGTTTCTGTATGTCTTGCGCTTCATCAGTGTCATTTTGCGTAGCCTTCCTCTGAACAGGGAAATCCAAATTTGAGAGCCTATTGCTTGTGCTTTCGTTGGCTGAGGGGGGGCAATTGTATTGAGGTTGAGTCGACAAGAAGTTCGAATGAAAGATCCATATTCGATTATGGGAGGAGGAGGTACCTTTAGGTAACCAAAACATGAGAGACATGAAAGAATAGTTCACGGTGAACTATTCCCTTGGATCCTATTGGTCGATTTCCGGGGTGACAGGTGACACTTTGTTTAGAGCTTCGTGATTAGAATGTTGGATCCACTCGTCTGAGGTCCGAGCGCAAGCATTCACCTGACTAGAAATCGCTGGTTAGAGCAGAAATCCATCCTACGTCTACAACGTCAAGTGTAGGGGTGTGAAGAGAAAACTTCAGTCCCATCGATACCAGTCTGTGGTGCGTCAGCTTAGCAAAGCAAGCTGCCCTGGGTGGACAATCTGATTGAAATAAAAAGTACATTGGTGATGATTCCATTCGCTGGCTTGCGTAGCACCACCATTTCACTCTAGACTTCAGGAGAATAAATGTAGCATGGTTCTCTGAACATGCATACCAGGTCGCTAGGCTTCCCGACTGCGGTAGCAAGAAATCCCCGTAGAGACGGTATGGCGACCTTGATCTGCCAATGTTGAAGACCATCTTGCCCATCAATTATTGTTCCAATAGGACTCAATCCTTCCATGAAACCCTCTTCAAAAGCACCCGATTCTTCAATAGGCTTTAAATCTTGCCCCTCTCTTCGAACCCAGACATCTCGGTGTAGAAACATAGCAATAATAGTCAAGTTGCGAGCTTCAACGGGCAATTTGTGGCTCTCATCATGCAGTTGCTCGTTCATGCTGTTGTATAAGTTCCTGCAAAGATCGTCCTTTACCCACGTCAAATCAACGCCACGCATCAGCACAGCAATGTATATCTCGGCAAGCCAATATCCAAGCCCTCCACTCGGCTGATGATTGGAGAAGAGCGAATAACAAGCATTAGACAAAGCCGAGTGGATTGGGTAAAAGCTAGGTCCATTGGTGTCTTGTATCTCTAGAATCAGAGTAGCTTTTCTCGGATTCTCGTTAGTTTTTTCCACTTTGTCACGTCGGAGAAAATTCTCTCTCACAATTTGGCACTTGGGCAAGGTAGTAAATTGGAAGTGTATATGATTCATCCGTAAGAAGTGAAGCCATTGATTTTCAAAGAAGTGATGCAAGATTGAGCCGACTTAGAAGGAGAACGAGCTAAGCTGTGTGTCGGTGCCCTTATTTATGTGCTTCTTTCAGATTTGACGCGATCGACGGGAGAAGAGTCAATCAAATACATACGAAATCGATAACCGTGGAAGGGCGATACGCACCCGCCCGGCGAACATGCCAGCCAAGCCCTATGTCGTCGAGCTTTTACGAAACGTGCATGTATTCATTAGAGTGAGAAGTACATGTCCGAAAAGTCTATATTCGCTCCCAAGTTAAAAATCAGTCGAGGTCAATTGACCCTTTGTGAACAGTGTGTAAGCTTACGTGTTGATGATTTCTTGTCTTACCTGACATTTCTGCAAATAGAGAATATTTCGCTTCCCATTACGTTGGCTGACATTTGTGCATTAAGTGGATCATTCACACTTTTCCTGACAGAGGTGTTGCTGTGTGGTTTGGTCTTCAATTGATACCGACTGTCAAACTACTACTAAGGGTTATCCTAGCTTTGAGGGACGAATGCTTGGAGCAGGCGCCTCCAAGAAGAGATGTCTCAAATTATAAACCGCCACTGAATGCAATCATATTAAGTGTTCATAGGAGAGTGCAGACAGTACAATCAGAAATGCAGTATGTTGTGAGTTGGTTTTCATGATCATTGGCTACAGCACAATTTTCAATCTGCCATCTGTCAGCTATTTCGGCTTAGGATACCTTGTCTCATTTGATTGCAAGCACATGATAAAAAATGATTCAATATAAACAAAGCTTGATCACGCCATTTAGTCCATTCCAAGACAGGAATCCGCGTAACAGAAACAACAAACAAACCACATCAAAATGCTCCCATTTCTTTTAAATCAAGCATTGCCAAACTCTGACTGGTAGGAGCTGCTTGGTGTCAAGCCCTGGCACGTCGGACACCTCCCCGGTCTTCCACTGTCGCCAGAAAGTACCACTCGCGGAAGATCTCGCGTGGTCCCATTTGCGGGACGACAGTAAGTCCTGCCGGCCCGTGCTTCAGCCGCTTGGCATCGTAAGATACCTATGTAGTGCGTGCATCCGCAGCCATTCTGGCCATTATAAAGCTCGTATCGAAGATGACACATTCTGTAAATGTCAACCAAAGAATTCAATTCTCCATGTGTTTTATCACTGTCGACATACTTTGACTGAACGCTGAGTATTGGATCGTGTACTTGATGTTCAAGCCCGAAAGGGAAACAAGGCAAATCCAGATGGTGGAAATGGGCAGTAAGAGGAGCTTTGGGTAAAAATTCACCGATATGGAGGAGAACAACGGATTCTTATATGCTTTAACTACTCTATCTGTTTCTACGTGTTGATATCGGTCTAAACTAATGAGAATCATGTATCGACAAGATGACACGGAGCATTTACCCATAGCACTACCGATCATGTAAGTGGTGAAGATTCCTGCGTGATATGCTAAAGACCCGAAAAAAGTTCACTTTCTTGGGTGCATACACAAAATTAGTGGCGGTAGGCATTCTTGATTGGCGCTCCGTACCAAAAGTACATTGTAGTCATTCTGGTTGAAGCTATACCTCCCAGATGGATGGTATGGCTGTCTAGGACCTGCAGCAGGGGAGATTCCATCTTGCCCAGGTATTTCGCATGTTTCATTATTACTCTCCCTAGATACGATCTCTCACATCCACGTACGCCCTTCAACAGGTTTCTCAGGCCGTAGGTCCCCGAATATCAATCCGTTAAGGAACAATGGCAAGAGTCTGGCATTATAATATCCGAGCAAATTAGAAATTGCTATCTAGTTATTCTGTATGACTCGGAAAAAAGAAGAAAGCAGCACTACAGCTTCGCCTCTCGATGGTCGGGTACAGCTTATGTGTAATATTAGTAGTGCTGTGGAGGCTGGGTTGGACTCGTGCAGAAAATTATAAGAAAAATATTCAGCGGTCTGCTTGCGTCATGGCGGAGATTAGAGATTACAAACAGAACCCCCGACCGCCGCTGATTGTATCAAATAGCAGGTTTTGTAAATCTGTCTTTATGAGTACAGCCTGTCATCCCACCACCGTGAGTCTCTTTCAAACAGTCGTTCCAACGTCTCGTCCCCAAGGGTAGGTTCTATCAGTGTATTGTCGCATCTTGCGCAGGAAGTTCTCGAGCTCGAGTTTGTTTTTGAATGGTACCATACGCCTAGAGAATTTGGTCAATTACCTGCCAGTAGTATGACTGTTTGGCTAGTAGACCTTCACTCACTTTTCCCCTTCAACATTAGCAACCCGATATAACTCATGACAAAAGTCTTCGCGTAGAGGTCCAGTATGTTCATCCTTATCGAGGTCGATGATTATATGAAAACGTTGATTCGAGTCAGTAATGTCGGGATTCGGAGGTTGAAAGTGCCAGTAGTGTTGGTGGACAAGCTTCTCTACCTCCTCAGTCGGGCGTCCGTCAAAAGTGAGGTATAAGTTGACACAATCGACAATATCAGAGTAGGTCATATCTGGAAAATCATTTTCACGAAGTCGCAGGATTACTCTTTTGGGTGGCATAAAGAAGTAAATGCTTGAGTTAGCTGACAAATCGAGGCGGAGGAAGTGAAAAGTTATCGCGAGCAAATTTTGAGTGGATTTGAGAGATCTTATATATCCAAGCCGCGAGCTAAAATGTGAAATTACAATAACCGACCGTGGCTACCTCAGCGGTTTGGACTTGTGCAGTAGGGCATACCCGCGAACGTATTGGTGCACATTGGCGCAGACGGGCACCTATACTCGATCCTTTTCCTCAGTTATAACGGACATTTGTAGCCCATGAATTTTGTACCGTACACATAGTCTTGATTTTACGGTATGTATGTACATATTGAAGAGGGTTAAGTGCTCACGGTAGTCTGGTCTCATCAGACAGGTCTAGGCATAAAGGAAAACAAAGCAGCACAACCAAAATCACCAGTTTGCGGTAGTCTCGTAACCTCTCACTGCGACCGTCCCAATGACATCAACAAGCCAGGAAACAGGCGGAGATACCATGCGCCGTCAGAAAGCAGCGTTCTAGGCGGGAAAGGAAGGATGTAATGATTACCAACAAGAATGGTATCTCCTGTGCTCGAGAATCATGAATGTAAAGACTGTCTTCAAGTTGGATAATTGTCCCGCCAGTTCCTCTTCGTAGGAAAACCCTTATCCCTAACCCATAAGGCAGCCAGGCTCCTAAAGGCCACCTACTTCTCCGCACTCATCAGGCTCCTACCCCATAAGACAACTGCGCCTAAGTACATATGCCATGCAAGCTTAGCGCGGACTGACTGCCATCAGCCAAAAACAAATCCAACCTCTGAGCCTTCAGAGCTAGGAGGTGTGGCCCCACGGCATGCAGGACAGCCTCCTGGTTTGAAATCATCCTGCTGGTCGATCGCTCGGGGAAGATCACGAACTCTCCCGGTTTCTGGAAGGCAGGGGTTCCGTTTGGACGTTGTAAGGCGACCCGGCAACGCTGAATTCCCGTGGAATACATATGACCACAGCCACCGCGACCATTGTATCTTTCGCAGAGTAATTCACACATCTTCTGCTAGTGTTAAAGAATAAGTAGATATTCGAGTACCTAGTGCGGTAGGGAGAGGGTTTCATGTACTTGGGTCAATCGTCCAATCTCGTACCAGGTTTGAAAGAGCACAGGAACTAGTCCTTCGGGAAGCTTCAGATGTAATCGGAACTGAAAGATGCGTCTGATTATGCCCTGCCAGACAAATTATTTTTGAGCCATACGTGATGGGGAAATAAGGTCTTTTGAATGCTTCTATGATCTGGACGTGATTGTAATAGCTCGTTCATGTGCATACATCTGCTCTGTAGATTGGAAAGGGGATACACATTCGCCTAACGGTCTCCTGCACTGCCAACCAATAAGTACGCCATGGTTGTGTAATTCAAGGCCATGAAGTCGAGCTGCTATCACCTCCAGTCTATTTCACCCAAATGATGCAATAAGTGAATGGTTCAAGAGGGCCGACTAGCTCAAGTAAATCAACAAAATGAGTTTCCGGCACATAGAGAATCCAATCAATCGCGTTTATCTGGTGTTCGTCGAGAGCCCAGGTTACCTTGCCTGGAGTGGACAGACATCTCCGCCAGCCCTGGAGGAGCCACGAAAGGTTCCCAAATTATTACAGCTATCGAGCGAAAAGAATAGTTCACGGTGAACTATTCTCTCGGGTCCTATTGGTTGAGTTTCAGCTATTCGGGGGACCCTGCCGTTTAAGCTTCGTAATTGGATATCGGGGTCCACTTCTAGTCCGCGTGAGAAACCAACACACGCTTACCCGTAATAAATTTCAGATATTAACACTGGCGGCTATATCGGCAGAGTAAATAAGGAGTACACACAGACCCATAATCCTCATATAGCATCTGGGTAGTGTCCCTCTCCCTTCGTTCCTCCTTCAAAAATTCAAGTAATGTTTCAACCTTCTCTCAGAATACTAGTCTCAGGAGTGCATACTCGATTGATTACTGGAAGCTGCTGGTGAGACAACTAATGATATATGGAGTATTGCATATCTCACAGGTAATCCTCGACATCATTCGTTAAATTGACTGGGATACTGCCATGTGCAAAGTGTGAAGAGAGAAGAGAACAACATACTACCGATATGCACACACATGGAGCTTCCGATGACTCTTCGGACAACAGGCATGCACACGTCATTGTAGAGCTGACTGTGATTCCCCATCTTCCTATTTCGAGAAAAAGATGGTTTTTGGAGGTGTAATCGATGCTTTGTGACTCCTCAATTCAATTTTATACCAAGGATACAAGATCGAAGACGACAGTCGTAAATAAGCGTCTTTTGTGGGTTTAGCTGCCGTGGAAAGAACCATACCGACCACACAGTATGTACGATGCCAAGAGTGTTTTCTTGTTTGTGGTTTCTTTCAAACTGGAATGGTGACCGAATATCCGGGCTCTATACGGAGTACATACCCTTCATATATGATCGATCTGGAAGAAACACTCTACCATGGAGAACCTGTTGGCGCCGAAGACATGAGACAAGTGTGTTGGGGAGAGTCCTACTCCTCTATGCAGATCGCGGGCCTATAGCGCACTAGCTCGGCAGGAAAGGCTGCTCTGGAGTGCGCTGAGCTAACGATATGTCTACCCCTGCCTGTGTCTCATCACGCGATTTCTATGTCTGAGCGTTGTGCCATTTCCAGTGCGTGGCCAGGTGTGCAGCAGCACACCCCTCTTACTTAGCTCGAAAAATTTTGAATCAGTATACCTAGGCTTTCCCCAGTAGCACAACCCTGATTTCCAGCTCTTTGCCGCACCAAACCCTATACATGAGACTCAAAGGCAAGAAGTGTACGCTTTGATGGATGTACCGACAGCACTTGCAACTTTGCGCAACGCATCGCTTGAAAAACTACAAGAGCATACTGACGACGCTAAGTCAACATTGGAAGTTTTACGGAGCCGACTTCGTCTTTCTGATCATGAGGCACCGGACGCTATAGGCTCATCCCAATGTCGAAGTTGCGGAAAACGCTCCCAGGTTAGTCGAAAGAGGCGAGCTCAGACAACGACTACGAAGACATCGCATCCATTAGAAGCCGCCAAATCAACCTCTGCCATTCCAGATTTATTGGAAGCTTTGAAGAAACAACTTGCTTCCGTTCAGGATGTATTCACAGAATTTCCCCCGTCAGATTTATATCATATACACAAGCGCTGCAGGCGGGACAGAAGACTGGACGATATCCTACGAACAGAAAATAACCGGAAAAGAGCGACAGCTATCGACAAAATATTCAGGAGTGCTGCACAAAGGTCACTGGCCATGCAGTATTCAGAAAACCTTCGCGGAAGAGCAATCTCATCTCGCCGGGACCAACTCTATGATATATTATCAGGTTCAAACGCCGCAGCACAAAAAGAGGTGCGCGGTGGACGATCAGGAAAAGTGATCTTGTGGGTAAGAGAGAATCTAGGATTTGAAGACGGGAGAGATGAAGACATCGCCAGGTACATCAGCGTCGGATTGAAGCAAATTGTGTTGGAAGATCTACTCCAGGAGAGGCTCGATGTCGAAGACCAAACGGAGGCAAACCCGTCTGGAGTCGGTGTGCTCACTACTCTGGCAATCAAGTCTTTTAAAAAGCTTTCTCTACTGGAGATTCCGCAATTCCTGGATCACATCATCGCCGCTGAAGTTGATTCACCAGCCCTGGGGTCAAAGGGGACCAAAATAGGATTCCTATATTGGATCAGTGGGCTCTCTCGAAAGATTGCAGAATTTCTAGCTCTTTATGATGGTAGGTGATCTCCTTCTGAAAAATAGTACCCTACTTCTATCAGGTCATTTCATTAACAATGCTGTCAGAAAGCATTGCGATTGAGAACCAGGCAAGCCAAAATGCTACGCGAGTTGCTCGTGAAAGTTGGCGCCAAACACCCATTTTGACATCGCCCCAAGATGCACCTGCGGACTACGGAACCCCGCAATCACGTTTGCGGGCTTCAAATACATACGCTGCTCTGTCGTCATCGGCAGCTCAGACCGAAAGCCCCTGAAATTCAAATACCCCCAATTTTCTACTCCAATAGATCGCAGACGCCTAATTTCTCTCTGACAAGCATGCCACTCAGAAGACGCATGTCAGGCGCCACTTCTATTTCTGAGCCACTGCTCTCCCATCCCAGTCCAACTACATTGTCAGCCAATGGGCTCCAAAATAAGAGGAAACGAGTCTGCCTTACGCATGGTAAGTGTACACCAGGTGATCATCGATCCGCGTTGAATTACGAAAATGTACGCGACATGGAGTGACATGCAATATGCGCAAAAAAACACTAAAATCCATAATTTCTGGTGCTACAGGCGAAGAAAGCGCCATCCCTCCCAACGCGCTTATACAGGTTAATTCTTCCATCATGGCTGGGAGCACCTGCGACGGTGCAGAGGAAGGGATACAAACAGATATCAACATCAACGACGCATACTGGTCAGTTATATTGTCAGACACGCCTAACCGAGCTATAAGCGGTGCAGACTGGTTGCAGTCGTCTGTTGGTATGAGCGGTACTTTTCCGGAAATGGGTACGAGGGCATCAACCACTGCGGGCACTCTGGCCGACCAGACAAACTTTTTCGTACCTGAGTTTCAAAACGAAGCATATGCAATGCTTGACTTTCACGATGGATCAAATCAGCTCCCATATTCTTCGATGGTGTGGCGTTGCTCAGCATCGACACCTTTGACATGATGCCTCATCACCCTAGCCAATAGATAACTTCGGAGTTGCGCATCGCTTCCTGTATCAGATAAACGATTTGATGTCCGGAATTATCGCAGGTTTCTTCGATACACCTGTATCGGATCTAACTTTAATATGCGTCACGATACTGGTTCCTAGTACAATTTCGATTGAGAGAATGGCATGATGATACCGTAAATTCGTAAAAGAATGGGCCCGATTCCATGAACAGGGGGCTCTTGTGATGGAACAACAGCAACAGAGTGAGAAAACGACATATATTGTAAAGACTCTCCATTCCACTGGCCGGCCTCTGAATGGTCAATCCCAAGACTTGGTGGTCTGACTCTAGTATGATACTCGAGGAAAGAGAACGACCCAAAGTCTCACTCGACCGTTGTTTTGGCCTTGACAGACAGCTTGGCCTGGCATCAACCATTCACCTACGTATGTGTTAGTCGCCTCTTTGTGAGCCATTATTGAATGACATACGAGGAATGTTGAAAACTTGGTATTCTCGGCTTCTTTTTGCCGCAGAAAGGGCATATCTGACCGGCGGGGGTGATGCCGTCCTTGCAATATGCGCAGTCGTCTCCAGCCATCGTGTAGGCCTTTATCGGATGGCTGTAATGATTTTTATTGTACAAGAAGTGTCTGAGGAAATTGCAGATGAGGCCAGATCGACCCGAAAACAGTAATATATTTAGTAAATCAAGATGTTCTGGGTTGGGCATCAAGTTGAAGAGTCGGTTGGGCATTAAAAACCCGATTAGTAACACAGTGCGTAGGTGCCTGTGACCATGATGCGGGCCCGGGCCAAGGAGGGGGCAAGGCCGAGGTGTTGCGTAATGGGACGGATAATTGATTTTGCGGAATATTGTCTTGATCATTGCGGGGAACTTGCCACTCTAGATCGCTTCAGCCACGCATCCCACTGCTGGTTCTGTTGTAGTTCTTTTTCTAAATGACTTCGCCGGCTTCTTTATTATCTTCTCCCTTCGAAGAGACTTGTATCTCACCTGCGGTTACCGTAGGTGAGGCTCAAGGATTCTTTGAAAAGCACGGCATTTTCTACGCGCCCGACGCGGAGATTGGCAGTCTAGTGGCAAAACTAGGTAGCGAAGCTGTTCATGGAAAGATTCGCATGGAGCGATTTCCTATACGCGATACAGTATGTTCGCTGATCAATCTCATTGTGTGCCATACTTATAAATTACAGCGCCTCCGAGCCATTATTGAACAATTTACCCCGTCGTTCTGTTTCACTCTTGGTCCAGATCCTTGTTCATTTTACGCCTCAACGATCACAGAAAATCCAAACCATCGCGCCGTAGTCTATATGTGGGGTAGGAGGACACAGTGCGAGTTTTCTGAACGCTCTCATGTCGGCGAGCTCAAGGGAACTCTGGCATCCAACGGCCTAGTCCAGGTTCCATATTCGTGGTTGAAGAAGAGGAACCTGCAAGACAAATCAATCAAACTTGAGGACGGTGGCATGTAAGGCGCGCTTCTTCTTCTTTCTCGACTTGTCACTCACCACTTGTAGCATCGTTGTTCATCCCCGACTGTGCTTCGCAGTGAATGAGGGCTATGCGATTGGTTGGGGGTGTCGAAAGAAATCACGCCCAGAGAGCGACAGCTGAACAGTGACGACTTGGAGCAGACTGCGCTTTCATCAGCAAGCTGGAGACTATGCTTGAGCCACTGACATGGATCACGAAGAAGCAGCCTGACAGAACTCAGAGTCAAAACATACGGCACTCCAATTTTACGGTTTACGTCCTCACGAAATTATCATTATGATTGTATTTAGCCTTGGTCGCGCCTTTCACCTGTATCATAGCAATCATGTCCTTGCATCTTCAGCGAGCATGAAGAACCATATCATGATAACTCCACGTCTCCCCCGTCATCATCTACCTGTACCAGTCAATCTCACCAACATCCGCTGTCGAATTAGTAAGACCACTGACGTAGCAAAGACGAATGCCGTAATGCTGCATACTCACGCCACCATGACCGAATCTGACCGACTCGCTCGCGAAAGTCGAGCCCCAAGTTTGCATTGGGAAAAAAATACACTGCGAAACCTGTTGAGGGTCTTGCAGGACGTGCCAGAGGGTGGGCGCTAAGTAGGTCATTCACTAAGTGTTACTACTGAGTGAATCCCTACCTGTAGGTGGGATTGTTTTTAAAGTGAACTATGAAGTGCTAGAGGCGTTGACGCTAGCCGTGGCGTTGGCGCTGGTTGATAATTTTGTAGAATTTTTCAGATTTGATGCTGATTAGCAGAGATGCGAGACTCAACGCAAAATTCGTACGAAGCCCAAGAGGTTAACGCTATTCCCCAAGCCGATACCGGTCGAAAAAGCTCACGCTTACTCGACAAGGTTGACTTCTGGTCGAAGTCCAAGCTGGTCGAAAATACGTACTTGACGCGGTGGTTGGAGGCTTGATGCGTAGGCTGAGCCGAAAGTTGCGTGGTGGCCGAGATAGCCTATTTGATTGGACCGAATTGGGAATCATGTGGGGCACTGGGGTTTGATTCGAAGTAGCGCTACGTTAGACAGAACAAGTACTCACAGAGGAAAGGAAGTATACGGATAACAGCAGGGAGATACCCCTCTAGTCACCTCATAAAGCTAGTCCTATCCAGCAAACATCCAGAGGGAGAAATATCGGCAGGAAGGCGTATCTCATCTCCAAAAACGGCGCTAATTACTCGCTGGCTATGTCATAGCATATAGAGGTTCGTGGCTTCACATTGCATTAGCATATTGTTGGTTTCAGGTTCCTTGCGATGACGAAAACCAATGATTTCTCGGCCAAGCGCCATAGTTGGTCAATTTAGCCTCCTGCAACATCACTCTGGCATTAAGTTATAGCGGGTAAACAACCTCTTGGCTCACTTATAGATGTGTGTTAGTAGTCTTACTTCGAGAGTTAGTATAAACAAGCTTCACCAATTCGTTGTCAAAAAAGGCATCGTCATTTATAAGCTACTCATCAAGCGCACCCTCAAGTAAAGGTTTTTATTAGAACTGGTCGCAGGAGTAGCTTGGTTAGAAAAAAAAAGAAAGGCGATAGAGGAGTAACGGATGTCCGACTGAGTGGCTCGAGGAAGTCTCGACGCTGTGAGACTCGGGGCCGCGTGAGCAATGGCAAAGATGCCTCATGTTGCCCAAGGATATTGCGAGGAACTGCGACAGAAGTGAGGAGCGCAATGTACCGAAAAACGGTATTTTTTGAAATCCTGGCGAGGCAGAAGACTGAATTTATGCTCCTACGCACGGCATCCGACAAGCGTGCCGGGCTAACCCGGATTCGGTCCACCGTAGCGAAAGGATACATGATAACCAACTACACCATCCGGCCAATCAAAAAGTTATGAAAAACTGAAGCAGTCGACAAAGTTGGTAAAGTCTCAGGGCGAGAGAGAAAAGGACAATCTACGGGACAAATTACGGTAGAAAAATCGATAAAATATTCTTTGCTGGTTATCCCAGGTCCTGGCGATGTCGCACTCCCTTTCAATCCATCCCAAGTCTGTGGAAGTTCGTTGCTCTTCTTTCTAATACCAACTCCTGGCTAGCTCGTCAATTCCTAGTGCTATGTAGTTCTTCGGGATTACATAGTGAACTAGCAATATTTCGGTCAATCTTTTGTTCAATGTTGAAATAAATGGAGGTTTAAGATCTTCTTGGTATCGTAACATCGATTTACGTTAGTTGATGTTTGTGTATATTTGAATATCGAATTTAGATATTTAGGAATGATGAGCTCCCCGCAATAACCAGCTTCGAATGTAGTGAAACAACAGCCAAGGAAAAAGAAATAGCAGTCAGCCGTGGTTTATATTCCTAGCACATTGCCGGGCATCCAAAGGGATGGTTCTTATGGTCCCGTGCAGGAGAAACGAGCTCCAAAGGGGGCAGACAATGGCAGAACAACGGCGGTGGTGCGTTGAGGAAGGTTATCCTTGCTTTCGACTTTTTCTTGGGCAAGAAATGGAGTTTTGAAACCAGACATTTGCGGGTTTGGCACCGCAGTCAGTTAGATGTCATCATGCCAAGTGAGCCCAAGATGCCCCCTCCAAACCTTCTACTTGATTAGCTCTTCAGCTGATTCCTTCACTCAAGCGCGCACTTCTTTTTCAATAAGACAGATTACGGTCCGCCGACCAAGACAACCCATCCCATGCTTTCCAAGAAGTCTCTGATGGAAGAGTCAGGAGACCCACTGCAGTATCTAACAATGATGGTGCCCAGAGAAGCAATCTTTCTGAACTCAGAGTCGATTTTCGCCAGCAGATCATAAGCAAATTGGGGATTGTCTTGATCTTCTGTGATCAGATATTGACAGCTCTGGCCATAAATGAGGGCTTCAAGCGTGCCTATCCCAGTGCACTTATTCTGAAGAAGCTAAAGTTCTTGTAAGTCGTCTTCCCCGAGACGAATTTCTCCTTCTTGGCCGTGGACTCGTTCCGTAGCCGGAAAGGAGATGCGTAAATTTGACAAGCCTGCATTGACAGAGCCAATGCCTTTTATGAACGATCTCAGAATGTTGCTTCGGTAATTCGCCTATCTCAACTTCTTCGAGGGGTGAAGCTGATTCGCACCGTATAAGACCGATCTGTACTCGACGGGATCAATCATCGCCGACAAGTATACGCCGCGCCAGCCATGCATGGGTTTTGCGGGGTATGAAAGACTCCAGTGGGCTTACCCTCGATCCTGGAGAAGATGTAGAGAGTCGGCACGTGAGCACCAGTTTGAAGATCCGGTAGCTGAACCTCAACCAGCAAGACAAATAGACCAGCAGACAGTCGGCTCAGGTGGTTGGGAAGTTATTCTTTGTGATTCCCAGCCTGGCATAGTGGGGTACGTGATTCGTTTATAGAACAGTTGGAGACGTATCAAAAACGTTGTGTAGTTTAGTAGTACTAAGCCCAAATAAATCATCAGTCCAGATCACATATATGATACCAAGTTATGCCAATTACAACCTACTTTAAGATCGGCATAGGAACCCAGACATCAAGGAAGAGGCTTCGAACTACGTCGAACAACGCCAGGAGGAGACCGTTCAGCACAGCTTCGAGGCAGTATATGATGCCCAATCAAAAACTCTCCTCGGTGAGGGTAGGTCCCCACCTAACGGCAAAACCAGCACCCTTGAGTTCTGACCGAATACATGAATATCCAAATCTCATTTGCATACATAATTTTGGTGACGGTATTCGGTTTCAGTCCATTACATTTGTTGACCAGTTCTGAGTCAGCGCAAAATAATGTGCGATACTTGGGTATAATTTCGAAAGCCCCCTGAAGTCGCACAGAGGCCATTCCAGCAACCCGGGCTTTTATCATCTCGTTGGTTAAAATGAATTGCAATGACGTCCCACTTGGTTGTAATTTTTTGTCTGTATTACGGACATCGGTATACATGATACTTCTAATCAATGTGGGGTACCAGATCAGGTAGCAGTGTGACGACAACACATACATGCATTAGTTTCGGCAGCGGAACAATTATACAATCGCTTACCAATGTCTTGACAGCACCAGTGGGCTAGGCTTGTTGACAACCTCGTCTCACTTTCATTTACAAACATGCTTTCTATGGTGTATACACGCAGGTTCCTCTACTCTCATACAAAATTCATCTACGATGGCGCAGTCAAATCCTAAATGCCGGCGGTCTTCGCGATAAATTACGTCGACGATTGAACCACTTTCGAGACGAATCCGAGTCCCATTGAACAAGGAAACCCAAGCACAAGCGCTTGCCACAACTAAGTCAGTCACTCCATTCTTTCTACTTGCTGCTAATGTGAAAAAGCCTATTGTCCCTAACTCAAGGTAAACGCTTGCGACGATACATTCAAGGCCATTGAAAACTGTGAGGTGCATGAGGAATCCGTGGGCGTCCAAAATGCTGTCCGAATCCAACCAGACCAGGTGGTTCTCAAGCGACCAGCCTAGAGGCGAATTTGTAGCGCCTCAGCTGACCCTGAGGGTGAATCAGGCAGCGTCGACATCTCTTCGGGCCTCTGGAGTGCAGCATTTCGTGAGGCAGTGGAAGGTCTTCGGGAGGATATTGATATTGCAACTCTCAAGGAAAGATGCCACGCAGTTACTCAAAGATCTCGAAAGATGTTGCAAAAAGAGGCAACACAGACATCCGATGTTCTGGAAGGGTTGAAATACTTACAAACCTTACAAGTACCCCTCAGAGGTTCAAAGACGTATTGGACCTGGCAAGTCC